GAAAAAATGCAGGAGTACCGCAATAGTAACAAGTGACAGCAATACTCTATAATAATTGCGGGCCAATGGCATGCGAAAAAGCTTCATTCTGGAGAAGGATACGACAGAACATCCGTTGAAAAACCATGAACAAGCCTGCGAATATTTCTTTATTTCCTCATTGTTTTCTTCGCAAGGAATACGGGGGAACTCAAATGACTTTCTGAAAACGAATTCAGGTATGGCAACATTTAGCAATGTATACAACATATTACATAATATTCCTTCGGAAGTCTCAATGAAATTTAAAAAAAAAGTGTTCATTTTACGTCTAGTCAACAGATTCCAGTTTTAACCTTGATTCATTAAAGATGTAATATATTTTAGCAACGGATTTCAAAGGCATTCTGATTCGAGCTACCCATAGACCCACAAGCATATATTTATTGGGTGATATGAAAAGACGAGTACTAGAGACGCAGTGAATCGGTGACGGTTAGCAACATTAGCACTTTTATTGATTCCTTATCAATCAGCTAGATTTGTACATTTTTTGCACAGCTCGCCTTAAGCATCAAATCCCACAAGTGCAGTTTCAAGTATTTTGTGGCGTCTGAAGCTGCCGCAAAATCCTGGCGGGATTACCAAACCATGGCCGCTATTGCCAAACCCATGGTGACTCAATTTTTAGCTTCCACGAACTCATGGTGAAATGCCGTTACCGCGGCAGCAAATTAAAAACCAATGACTAGCGTCATTAACGCACGTTTATTGCTGGTTGGACAATCGGAAATACGCCATTTCGCCCTTCTGCAAAAGGTGGTGCCAACGTAACGGTATTGGTTCACAGCATCGAATTTTGCAACACAAAAACATCCCCCGTATTCGACAGAACACCTGGTGAAACTACATCCGCACCACAATAAAGCTCAGCAAATACCTGGATTTATGGATCTTCCCACATAAAAAAGAAACTTGGAAAATAAAAGCAGCAGGCAAGAAACCACTTCATCGGAATCGTCAACATCATTTAGAACTGCCAAAACCAACAGAGATAGAGGAATAACGAAAAAATAATTTGAAAAAACTACAACTTCCACAACTACTAGCATGTTTTCCCAGATAGCCTCACGCAAGTATTGCCCTATTGAAGGCGTAAAACTCAATACGATAATAACATCACAAAAGTAGTGGAGGTGGTGAGACGAAGTAAACCACAGTGAGTAGCGAAGGTGATCTCTATTTTGAAGAATGAACCCTAGAACTTCCGTCGACACATGCTGGGCATAAAGGACTTTGGGCTAGATTTCATCTGTGTCGTCCTGATTCGTGAACAGTAAAACGAGAATATCGGTCAGAGACCGAAGACTTATCGATCGAGAGTTAGGGATCCCCCAAAACAGCGCTATTACTCCATAGTGACACCTTGTGTCCCATTACTAATTGACACCTTGCATAATTTGCCCAAAATCAATAGGCTTCTGGTCCGAGATATAATGAATGTACATGTAAAATCTGCAACATATCCAATCTCACTTTCGTGAGATATCGCGTGCATCTAACAGTCAAACAGACAGACAAACAGACAAATACCTATCAACATACTTACCGATTAAAATCGATAAGTAAAAAAGCAGGGAAAATTTTGCTGACGTAACCACGACATGTCGGCTGAAATGGCAGGGCTGCCTCTGATGGTGACAAATATTGGGTAAGTTGGAACATCCCGAAGTATGAGAATCAAGATGGCGGACAAGATGGTATGATCTCTCTGTCTCTTTGTTCACACATAAAATTTGTGACATATTTCGAAATTTACCCGTTGCGTGCTGAAAGATCCTTAACTCTTCAAAAATTAGGTCACATTAGACCACATTCAAATGGCCTGGTAAATGATGTAAATGAGTGCCTTTCGAAGATTTCAAATATTTTTGTCACCTTTTACACCTACTGAACCTTTACGTTTGTTTCATAGTCAAATGTACCCATAATAATATGTAACGAATGCCGTCAATCTTATAGGCTTGTTTCGTCGACGTACGCTTCAATCATCTTATTGGCATACCCGGGCAGTATAAAACCTGAGAGTTTGCTTGATGACAATGTTGGGTTTAACAATCGAAGCTAGATTTACAATTTAAGAAGACAATATAAAAAAGAAGAAACTAGAACGAAGCGCGGTTATCTTTGCTAGGGGGTAGTATTAAAGCGGTGGGGGCAGCATATTTGAGTTGAGGGAGATAGAACAGAGGTGAAAAGGTTGCGACAGGGAAATGGGCCGAGAATAGGAAGGTTGGGGGTGTTAAGGTAGCGGGGCGAATATCGGGTTGAGGTTGATAAGGCTGGGGAGTTAGGACAGTGAGTCGACATGAGGAAGGATGGGAGACATAGGCGGTGGGTCAAGAGTAGGGAAGGTCGAGGGAGAGGGGGTAGCGGTTTAGGGATATAAAGTTTCAAGGAGATAGGGCGTTGGGTCGAAGAGAGAAAGGCTTAGAAAGATGGCGCGAGGGTATGAAGGCTGCAGTAGACAAGACAGCGGGGCGAGAATAAAAAAGTTGAGGGAGATATCCGAGTTACGTTGTGAATATTGCCTCGTTTTCGTAAATTCCCGGGAGAGTACCCGATTTTTACTTTAGTTGCAGTTGTCGTGCGGACTAGCTAAAATTAGCTATCAGTTTTTAACCGGATAATTCTAATACAAATTTTGGTTTCAAACATGTAAACCATTTATAAGAGTTTTAAATTCCTGCATGTTCGGACAGGTTGAACGCTTCAAGAACACCTTTTATTTGAATTTAATTAAACAGCTGTTATTAAAAAGTAATGACAACCGATTTTAGCATCGTCTATTCTAGCAATTTATTTTTAAAATTAAATAAACAAGGCAAGGTTTACAATCGCGCTTGAAAATTTGTCCGAGTAAAAATTGCCTGGTCTGTTGGATAAATTTCAATTGTTACGTGACGACGAACTTTATGAAAATATGCCATGTTTATCAAAAATACAACTCGGGGTAAGCGTATGTGGATGAGCTGTAAATATATCACAATTTCACGAATTAGTTGCGTACTGATTGCTACGATATTTGCAGCTCATGGCTGGTTACGTTGCATCTGATTAGAACAATTGAACCAACGATAACGATATTCTCAAACGGTCACCCATGCACGTACTTCCCGAGCTCGACGTTGCTTAGCTACCGAGATCAGATGTATTCAACGTGGTATGGTCGCAGGCGCGACGTACGGTTTCTATTCGGCTATTTATATTTAAGAAGCTACGTTCAAACCAAGAGAGCGACAAAGCGTAAATTTTTTGATAAAGTTATTTACATAAATTTTCGATTGTTATGATTATTGATAACTAAGCCACTTGTGTGATATTTTAGTTTGATTTTGAGAGCAATGGAAGATATAGAGTGCTCGGGCAAACATGTGCGCTTGCCGTAAAGGTTCCGTCATAAACAAATACAAAAATCTAGAATGTTCAATTAAACTTGCTTGTCGTTGAAGCCAACGACACTCGGTATTCCCAATCGGTCACCCATACAAGTACTTTCCGAGCGTCAGTGGTAACTGGGGCTGGGCAAAATATTCGAATAACTAATAGCGAATCGAATATTAAATTATTTGAATGGCATTTTACTATTCGAATATCCGGTACCACGTATATTGCTTGGACACGGAACTCGCGCCTCTCGAAATCGATCGTGAATCACGCGAGAATTCAGCTACAGCGCTCGCTAACAGACAAAAGCGACAAATTTGAGAAATCGTTGTTATTGCGTTGTAGTTGGGATTTGCTTTCTTTTTGCGCGAGAGTAGATCGTAAAATCAATCGTGAATTTCGATGTTATAACGCACACTGTTTCGTTTGAGAATTGTTGCGCCTACCATCATCGGAAATGATTACATTCGTTATATTTCGAACATTTTTGCACTGATAATTATAGGACGTGACATTATCAAAATCGTCAAATTAAATGGTGAATATGCATATTCCGTAAGTAAAATTGTGAATTACTCGGAAACGATTTTAGCTATAATGGTTGCCGGGATATTTTGTTAAAAATAAAACGTTGAAACTTGAAAAAAGTAATTATAATGAGTGTTTGACCCACTTTTCGGCACAAAAGCACTTGAGCGCAACATGTTTTTTAGCATTAGGTCGCATATGTAGAATAAAATATCATTCAAGAAGTGCTGTTTATTAACGTCATCTCGTCTTCTGACCACGTAGAAATTGCCTTTATTGTCAAATTATTTAATCATATTTTAAATCAACATTCAGGATTGATGCAATCGCTTTGCGAGGTTTATCTCTCGAATACGAAAATAACACAGACACCATAGAAAGCATAAGAAAGTTAATTATGATAAATATCTGAATCACGGTATCGATAATATTACCGCTCGCTTAAAATTCGGACGGTAAATTTACAAAAGTTGATAAATAAGTAAGACCAACACCAACGCAAAAAATTGGAGTAAAATTAATTTGGGTTTCGAAATCAATCCTTAATACCTATAACAAATGTTGCCGACGTGAACGCACGGGTATGCCCGAAATATAAAATTTCGACGTGCCATCCCGTAAGAATAAATCCTTATGGAGAATATGGATTACCAACTTCAGGATATCGCCGTCAAAAAGATCGTGGTGACAAAACCAATCAGCGATTAGGGCGAAATTAACCAGTTGAAAACGCTTTGTTGCCGATTTTTTCGATGTCTTATTTGATTTTCAAAGCTAGTATCGGCCGACTAAAAAAAATTCGTTATTCGACTATTCGGTATTCGTTAAAAATATTCGATTATGCTCATCTCTTGGTCGTAACGTAAATAGACAATCGAATTGTTTACGAGGTATATGACCATATAAAATCTCCATGCAGTGTACTTTTCTACGCACTCCTGCTACTAATTTCACTGTTTGCAAAATATCCATCATGTATATAGAAATGATCAACATAAAAATATACCATATCGCACACAAGCTGTATATTTTCCTTAAAACTTAACTTCAACAATATTGAACACCGATTCACATTTTACAAAGCTACACTTCTTTTAAACATTCAAACTATTTTTTCTTCAATTATTCGATAGCATAGGTCCGAGTCTGCGGCTGCAGAAACCTTATCTTCTCATTCCAATTAAATTGTCGGAGATGGTATAAGCTGAATCTTTACAGCACCTTAAAAAATTACAATTCTATTTTACATAAAACATATACCATATCGTATTAAAACTATGGCTTGAAATCGATATAATGTGACGTCTATTTTTGCCTCAATATCTGAAATAAAAGTATGGGTGGCTTCAATTCTTCCAAACTCTTCAGAAAAAAATGAACATGACTACATGACTACAAAAAAAAATAAGTATATCTAGGCACCTCTATTATTTCTTCCGTGATAGTTTCCTCTGTTTGGATCTCTTCTGATATCTCGTGCTCCGTATGCCCATAGGACATAGATATCCTCGCCAGGCTGTGAAATTAGAAAGTAAAGTGCGATTTTCAGTTCTAATGGGCTTAAAGTACATGAAGTAGCTAGAATCGTAAATTACTCTATAAAGTTACGAGATCATCATGACGCTCCATGGATCATGCATTGCTATATCCAAGGACAAATTTCAACCAACACAAGCGACGCGGAAGTGTCCTTAAAACAGCGTCCTAGTTACCTTTTCACATTCTTAAAGTATTTGGAATTTACTTGAGATACTTCTTTAACTGCACTTTGTGCTATTCCCGCGATAACATATATAAATTAATGAAAGCTTCTCTGAATATTGGCGAATGAAAGTATCGCCCTTTTTAGTAATGATTATATAGTTCTAGTAATCTAGTATATAAGTTCAACATATAAAAGTAAAATTGTTACCATGATCGAAAAATCATTTGGTTCAGAAGCGGTTAGATTTCGCTCAAACATGACTGTGGTTGCGAATCCTGTTTGTGTCGACACCAGAAGTTTAACATCCTGTAATGAATCACTACTCGGAACTCCGTTCTGTAAAGCGTGAGAATCCTGCAAGATGAAATGTTTGTTACTTTGGTATTTTATTGCAATGTACGTATGTTATGTTTCTGGTATGTTACTCATTAACCCGTTGTTGGGATATGTTTGAACACACTTTTCAGTTTCAAAATTACTCATGACATGACAATACCAATATATATCCACGATTTCTACTCCTCGATCCAGCTATTATAAGATCAGCTCCAGCCATTGTTGGACCTGATGAAAATCCAATGCCAATCCATCCTGGAGTGGGAGCAGTCACCTAAATATTCAAATCAAACAAATTAGCTGATGTATCTCTATACTAGAAATGATAATGACATTTCCAAGATTCTGCGTAAAATGATAAATTTACCCCGATGATAATTTTATTGTCATTTATTCTCCATGTAAACTTGACACGACCGTCTTTCCCGAATGCTCTAGATCCTCCAATTTCTTTTGCGGGACTAGTTCCTGCAAACAATATAGTTTTACAAATAGTAAATCATATTAGAAATACTAAATAGCATAAATTTCTAATATTGCTGTCTTGCTAATCAAGTGCATGTAATTTGTTTGAAATACTTCAACCTTTAATTGCGTTATGACTATTTGATCTATCATTGAAGGAAAATGTGAATATATAAAGCAAACTTAAAAAGAAGAAATAGGAACTATAATTTTCACAACTCAAGATTAGATTAATTCAAGGAGAAGTTTTGCGAGAATATAAAAATAAAATATGAACCTGCCGCCGAAGTAGTCGTCACTTTTGGGGTTGTGGTGGATTGAAATGTTTCTGGTGGCGTTTCTGTTGTCACTGATTTTATTACAAAAAAATGATGATGATAAATAATTCCGTGCTCCCGAAGTATGCGAACCAAAATGGCGGACATCGGAATGTAATATGTGTACTAGGTTAGGGTTAGGCCATAATTTTAGGTATAAATACTACGGGAGGCTCTTGGCTAGTCTTCGAACTGATAATAGGACTAAAATAAGGAAAATTGGAAAAAAATCATCGCCTAACCCTAACCTGTTACCCATGTTACGTTCCGATGTCCGCCATCTTGGTTCGCATACTTAGGGAGCACCAATAATTCTTTATATTTATATTCGCTAAAAGGAAATGCTCATTGGTACTAGTTGAAGTTGGTGGAGTCGTCGTGGCAGTAGCAGCTGGTTCAGGGTTACTTAAACGTATGTTATATTTAATTATCTAGAAGATTTTTAAAAGAAGTGTCATTGATTTACCTGGTTTTGTGGGCGGAGCCTTTGTAGCAGATGTTGTTGTTGATTCGGTGGTTGTAGATTGTTCAGTTGATGCTGGGTAGAAATGCCAATACAAAAAATAATTTGAATTGCAATATTATATTGTGTTGCTACAATAAAATAAGTGTAACAATCTGTTTATATTGCAAAAACTACTATATAATTTTGTAGGCGTACACATTACTTTTATTTATCAGAGAATATGACGCGCAATTACCTGTTGTAGGTGGTGTGGTCGTCGTAGAAGGCTGAACGCTCGTTTCTGTTGCTGTGGCAGTTACAGTATATATGAAATAAATAAGTAAATTTAAAAAGAAAATGAGGGTTTCTTCAATATTTGACACTTATCTTATCAAAATTAGAACATACTATGCCTAATATTAATTATAAATAAAAAACAAGTTCGATGTTTATTTAAAAACTGTCAGTACCACAAAGGGAGCTAGAACTTTACATTACATACGAAATTCAAGCCGGGTTAGAATCAAGTAAAATTTGAAGTTTTTGATCGGTTTATTGTTTTTGCATATTGACTGGTTTTTGAATAGGAACTAGACGTTAGGTCAATACGTATTTGAAATTGCAGATGAAACAATCGATTTTATTTAGTGAAATAATTTATATGCTCCCAATTATTTACCCGGTGCGGCTGATGAGGTCGTTGCTAGAGGCGTGGTCGTTAATTCTGATGTTGTAGTTTGTTCAGCTGAGTAGAAATGAGAATAAATGGAATGACTTTGGATTTTCTACAATAAATCATGTGTGAGAAGCATGCTGCCCATATTGTCAGAAACTACTGATGAATTAAAAAAAATCTCGACTTTTTGGCATGAGCTGTTCTCTCTCGGTCAACTCATTCCTGTTGTTAAGGCCGTTTCGATATATGAAATAGATCAATCAAATTGATAGAAAAGCTGAGGTTGCCACATCGCTTGGCCACTTTCTTTATTGAAATTACAATATAAAATTGATATATACTTTGATATTTAATTCCCATTTTTTGTTGAAAAATACGCATCATCTTTAAACAGCCGCCAGCACGGAATATGGTGGAAAGTTAACATTACATATCACAGACTTAAGCAAGCTTGACTGATTGCAGAATACAGTAAAATTAGTAATTGTGAGATGGAACATATTTATATTGGCGTCGTGTGGAATTTATCTCAATGTAAAAATAAATAAGAAAGATTTTGACCAACCTTTTCTATCTTTCAGAAAATTTATTGTGCTGCTTCCTACAGAAACAAAATGTGAAAAGTGTCAAATTTGTTTAATGCATTTATACAAATTGAAATTCAGAAATCAATGCATCAACTTAACATTTGCTTCAATATTACTTAATATTTTTGGGTGGGCTACGTACGAATAAAAACCGCCTGGTCACTTTAATATTATAATTCAGGGAGGCCCAGGTTGCGATATTAAACGACGCAAAAAATTTTGAGAAAGCCTTGCGAGCCGCAGCGATGAAACCCCAAATGGACCAAATTACTGCGACTTCATCTACTTTAAATATGTCAAAAAATGAGAGTAGCATGGGGTTTTTATTTTATTTTAAGGAAGATATATATAAAGCACAAACAAAAAAACAACAATACGTTGTTTCTTGCTTTGAATCTGCGTTTTGTCACTGCTGTCACATGGCTCACGCTTGAAAATGAGGTGTGTTTTTACTAAAATAAAGGCACAAAAAGTCGAGTTCAAAGTGTGGCATTGGAATAAAAGCGCGCCTCAACCCATCGGCCGGTCCTAGTCTACACAAGACAATACATTCTCCTTGTCCTCTCCTATTCTTTTCATTGCTCTGCGCGATCTTTCACTTATCATCGCTTTATTATTTCTGGGAAAAACGCTCACGGTCGCATTGACAGGTACCAGTAACCAAAGGCGCATTATGGTATCATGGTCATAACGATATTATCTGTGCGTTACCACCTTACCGCAATGAACACTGATAGACTTTCGTTTTTGCGACATCGTAGACTATTTTATATTTGTCGCTGATAATGAGGTTTGTATTCATATTAAATGAGATATGTATACCCTACGCATTTTTCATGCTTATTATTACCAAGCAATGGCACAGGTTCAAAATCAAGCGATAAATAAAATTATTTCAAACGCACGGTTTTAATAATGGCAGCATCGGAAGAATGTATCTTAAAAACATTTCACACAGAGATATATTTTTTCGACTGAAGAAAACCCACATGTTAATATTTGGTCGCTCAAGAGGAGAGTGTGTTACAGTATATGCTAATTCTAGATTCCTTTTAAACTCCCGACACAATCAATTTAATCAATACAAATAACGACGCGTTAAAAATAAAAATATACTCTTTTATCATTAATTTACGAAAGGTAAGAGTTTTACATTTCATAATTTCATACAAAGTCAATCGATGTTCCACGTGGGCTTGTTTTATGCATATAAACGATTATAACGACACTTGATATCTGATATCCGCGAGTCGTAAATTATATTCTCAAAAATAGTTTCACGATTTTTATCGTTCTATTTCTGAATTCCACCACGTTAGAAACAATTTCTTAGAAAATGGATTGGTATTTTGCGACACATTTAGAATTAGTTTTGAAACCATTGGCGTATATAATCCCTATATTTTTTATATTCATGTAATGTTTCGAGACTGTCACAATTTAATTTTGTTGTCGTTATATTTCGTATATATATTTGTGTTAGGATTTATGTTTGTGTCATATTTCATATTAGAATCATATGGCAGCGTTATGCGAGCATCGCGGATGCAAATAATTTGTACTATGCTTACAACATTCACGAGAGTGCTGTTACATTCGATGATCTTATTCAACCAGTTATCTTATTCATGAAACAACGAAGAACGAGCAACTTGATATTGTTACCACCAAATACGAAATATGGTTGACGTGTATAGTAGACGTTTGAAATTGGCATAGTACTGGCAAAGGAAACAGGAGTGCGAGAACTCTGGAATCTATTCACGCTGTTGACGACACACAATTTTAAGTTCATTAAACTTACGGCGCCGTGCATTGCATGCGGCCCGCGTGCCAGGGTTGCGTCCACCCTCTTATAATTGATATATATATATAAATATATATTAGGAGTGGAATAATTCTTTATTTAAGCAGAAAAAAATTTTCAGTAGTTTATTCCTACTAAACGAGTTTGCGGAATTCCTACCCTTATTTACGAGAAGACCCATGGCATTTACCATTTATTTATATTTTTTTGAAATCTTCGGCTTGGCCATATTAAGCGTAAATTAAAAGCTCTTATTTCGTTCTTGTAAGTGTTACTTGTTCTCACCTTTTCTCCACCAATGGTAATCTATATACTCTGGAACCTCGTCCAAATCTCTGAATCCATATGCCCAAATCACAGTAACGTTTCCAGCCTTAAATATATTATGTGCAGTACTTGATCAATAAAGCCAGTATATAATAATGTTATTTTAAACGTAAGGCTTGTGTTGAACATTACGTCAGGTTAGTTAGACGAACAAAGAGTTTATATGAAATACATGTGTTCATATGAATTAGAAAAGATGTTTTTTTCCTCATTTGCTTTGTCTTATCATACTCTACCGTTATATCTCTATCATCAGTTTCGTCTCCCGTTTTCAATTTTCTTCTTATTGTCAAGGAAGTCTTCCCGTCAACTTGGCTTGCATCCATCAGCATTACGTTTTGCAAGTCGTCAACTACTGGCGGTCCTATCTTTTCTGCATGTGCATCCTGCATCAATTGAAATCGTAAAACACCTTTTTTTAATTTGTTTTTTGAATAAAACTTATCAATTCACAGAAGCTATCTCTCAGTATAGATCTTAAAATGATCAAAAACAAATTGATTTTCTGAATTGATTAGGTTTTTCCTACTTACCAGTAAGTAACTTTCGCCATTTTTCACTCCACCCATTATTATGTCTGCGCCAGCCATAGTACCTTTTGGTGAAATTCCGAATCCTACCCATGAGATCGTATCGGCAGTAATCTAAAAATAATTACAATATGTAACCATATAACAGAGTTATTGTGGACACAGTTCAATCTCTAACACAGTAGAATAAAAAAAATATATCTTATGAGGTACGTAGTGTGAATAGACATTAACTTGAGGGTTTTTTAAAAACAAAAACTAAGTTTTATAGTTTTAAGTTCCTTTCGAATCCCAAGCTTGATTAATATACTACTGACACCCAGTTCAATAGTTCGCATACAATATGAGTATTCAGGAGCATTAAACAATTGCAATTAAACAATTAAATTAAACAATTAATTCAGGCGCATTATGGATATATAAGCTCGAATTCGCACTCATATCATATATAGCAATTTCTTATAAAATCGTTTTGAAATTTTAGTTTTAAACTCACTGAAACCTACTTTAGTTTATAGTGAAGAAAACTTGATAGTGATGAAGTATGTCCTCGTATGAAGTAAATCATGCAGCGTTAGCTTGGTTTTTAAATAAATATCACGTAATAATATTTCAAGTGATGATGGCAATTCATGACACCATATTCATTGCTTTTTTTTATACTTCAATCTTTTCAAACACAAGTAATGTCACTAAATTCATAAAAATATATTCACTTTCATTGTGATGGCTTCGTCGTCGTAATTCCATTCCACGAGATATTTTTTATAGAGCTGCTGTGAATGAGCAAATTCTTCGGCATACAGATGCGAAAATGACGACAAAAACAACGCGAACGCTAACACTGAAATCATCTTGACTGTGAAAATAAATTATTCGGAAACCAATGAATAATATTTGGATTAGTTATTTAAAACACGATTCGAAATATTTATTTTTTTGTCTAGCAGGGGAAACATTAACTTCGCAATTTTTTTGAAGAATCTTTTTAAAAATACGACATGTACCGATTTGCGAACAATGTTAAAATGATGATCGATTTTTTTTTATACTGGTGTACAAAATATGTGTGTATTCTATATCAGCAACTGTTGTGTATTCCCCAAAAAATAGAGTCCTAATGAGTTTGCCAGAATTCTATGTGGAGAGAAAAAGAGAATAATATTAATAATTCAGAAAATGGTTACTACACTTTAGATCGCTGAAAAATTGCACTGAATGACGATATATCAAAAATAATAGCAAACAGCAACTGCAAAAATTGATTCTCTATGTCTTCTGGGTGCTGTCGTTCCGAATCTAGATTTACAAATGATTATATTTTTCAAAATTGCCTGAATTTTACTTTCCGGCCTAAATCGGTTCATGTGATAACATTGTATACATGTTTCTTTATGCTAACATAATATACGTCGGTGTGAAGCATATATACTGTTGGTCTCAATTTCCCCTGAGGGCGGTATACAAAACTTATGTAAAATTCGAAATAATGTTCACATATTTAGTTACATGTGTGATGGGAAAAATCTACCAGAAGCATATTAGAAATATCTTCTTTGATTTTTCTGAATCTCAAGTTGGTCTTAACCAGGAGATAAGAGAAGCATGTGGTGGCAATACGTGTTCAAATCTAATTCACTGCTTCACACTATTCAAGTGATTGTGGCAAATGATAAGGCCATATTGCGTAATTTCACAGGATGACTCTAACAGGAACGAGGCTTGTGGTTAAGTCGTCATATTTCAACATCAAAATATTCAATATTTCATTGATGTCAATTGTTTTGCTGTTGTACAATATAACCTTGAAGTACACTATAGGAAAAGGTTTACTTGCAGTCCAACGTAACTGACCCAATTACAAATATTGTTAATTGTTCTTTTCGAATAATCTATTATTTATTTATTTTTGGATTAATAGGATCTAAGATACGTAGTCTAACATGAAAGCAGAAACGTCGATGAGAGAAGAATTGTGATCTACCACGGATACGCATGTAATTAGGTAAGGAATACTGTTCAAGTTACACTCTCATGGAACATTGAGTGAAAGAAAAATAACACAGCCAAAACTTGAAAGTACCTCGATAAGCGACATCTTATTCATTGAGTAAGTATTAGACCCTAATCCGCTTCAGTTGTTCTTATCCCAGGGAGCGCATTGGAAATTTCAAACGGAGTGCGAAGCCGTATTAATTAAGTGTTGTTGCGCTATTTCCATTCGTCAAATGCTGACAAGAAGGCTTGAACTTGCTCAACCCCACTATTTAATATTCAGGAGGTTGGATTTCGAGACTGTGACTTTTTGTCAATAAGATTATAGCATGTTATAGCAGCAGTATTATAGCATGGTTGGGGACAGACGTTATATATTTAATATTTGTATTGTTATTGCTCTGTCAGCGTAATTGCCTTGCTTAGACTTGGTTGAATGGCAGACACCCATACATCAACATGTAAAATGTGGTTGTATAATACCCGAACGGGATCGTGGTTTTCAATGTTGGTAATGTACTGATTATGCTAGCAACCGGTTTCCGAATCCGATAAGGTATCTGATCTTGTTATTTACGCGTTTAATCTTCCAGACGATGGATGTCATCCGTATAAGCAGAGATTACAATATATAACGATAACATAACTTCACCAATTTAGGACCAATACATATTAGAATGGACAAAATTAATATACCCCAGAATATCCAGGTCGAGCGGGAAAAGCCTGTTAAATATATATTTATAACATATGGGTATAGTTTGTAAAAATTACATGTAACAAATCAATAATATTCTATTTTCTGAGATAGTAGGTAATTTTTGAACTTGTTTGTTTCCGCAATTTAAAGTAATGTAATTTGACTTTCGCGAAATTATCTAATTTTTACCTTCGTTTGCTTAAAACATAATTACTTCTCATGTACATCGCATTTTTATACGATGTTAAATGCACCTTTCACTCCGGACATGACTGTGCAAAAGCATCCTCTGCTAAGTAAGAAATTACCTTATTTTTTAATGACCGAAATATTCTCTATTTTTCATCGTTTACCCAATTCCAGTACACCTTGGATGAAGCGGAGGGCACGGCATATTGAGCTGAAATGTTCTAATCTGCGATGCCAACATACTCCAGTAAAGCGCTTTACCCGCCAGGCAGTTGCGCCCCGTTCAAAATAAATCTTAAACCATTTTAACCCATTTTTTATTTCTGTCTATTATAAAATTTTCGGGAAAATACCTTTCTTTCGTTTCTTCAAAACAAATTAAACGTGAATACAGTACATTGAGATTTATTTCATTAAGACCAAAACAATAAAAAAAACATTCACTGATTTATTCCTATTTATATGACAACAATTCAGCATCACCGAATAGTAAGTACATGGTTCATATTTACAGAGCTACAAGAAAGATCAAAATCACTGGAAAGTTTTATGGCCAATCCATAGATGTGGGTCGTAACACCATCTTCTTAGCACCTGCACAAAATATTTGAATTAGTAGTAATGGGCGCTCTGACTTATTCCTTGAATGGTTAATATGAGTATGTATTATATACTTTGAATAATGTAAAGTTGGATTACTCAACTTAACAAATCAATAATATAAAATAATACCAAACGATGATGTTCAAGAGACCATCAGGGCGTAGAGTTTATTTTAAAATTCATAATTATCAAAAATGAACACTGTTTATACTCTCACTGTTCTAGATTCATACCTCGGTTAGTTCCGTGATAGTTATCTACCGTTGGATTTCCAACAGGATCGTCTGTTCCATACGCCCATAAAACATAAATTTCCCCTGACTGAATAGAAAAAAAACTAATGTAAAAATAAAATAAGGAAATATTTTGAAGACTTCTAAAATAGTCCGTATTTCTCTAAATATTGGTATTCAAGGAATGTAATTTTTAATGCGAAATAAACGAATAAATCCAATAACTATAAACTGTAAAAATAAATGAAATAATTATTTTGTCAGTTTTCAAAATAATAATAGAATGACTGTCAATCTAACTAACCGTTATTGCAAAGTCGTAAGAATCTGGGGCGGTCATTTTTCTTTCAAACATGACTCTGGTTGAAGTGTTATTCTGTGAAGCCATTAGAAGTGTGACATCTTGAGAGACATCTGCCACCGGTGTTCCATTTTCAGTGGCATGGGCATCCTGAATTGAAACGATATTTTAGAAAAATAGTTCTACGCAGAGAGATTTTAAAACAAGTTTGACAATAATAGGAATTTGTTTTATTTGCTTGCTCAACAATAAAGTATATCACTCTTGCTCCGAGTTCATTACTTCATCGTACACAGCCTTTTATCTATAATTGGGTAATCAATCAATCAATCAAGTTCCTTTGAAATGTTATTTAATTCACTATCTGATCTTGTGGGTTTTGTCAAAATATGGTTGACTGATATACGGCGTCAAAATGTTTGTTACCAAAATATATCCTTCGTTATCGTCTCCTAATCCCGCTATTACTAAATCAGCTCCGGCCATTGTTGGCCCTGAAGAAAATCCAACACCAATCCATCCTGCTGTTGGCGCACTTATCTGAATGTAAAAGTCGTTTTTTTATTCTAATTCATTTCAGCTCAAATATATTTAGGTAATTCAATGAGTAGTCTTGCTGCACACCAACACAAATATATTTCTGTAACGTTTCGTCTGACCAAGGTCAAACTTCCTCAGACATACATATTTCAACTAAAGCAAGAATAGCAATTGCAAGCACATTTATATAATGGGTGCCATGACAACAAAACAATATCATAACAATGTGAGTTAACAACTTTAATGAAAGTGGTGATTGTAAAATTAATTAACAGCACCAAGTTTAAAAATTAAAAAAAAAGTAAAAATTGTATTCACATTTATACAATGGATGTCATGGCAACATAACAACATCACAACAATGAGATTGAAAAAATTAATAAAATTGATGATTGTATAAATAATTTTCTGCACTAAGCATAAAAAACGGAAAAGTAGTTGGTCTTGTAGACCCAATCGATAGCATAAATATGTTAATGTGACATTAATTTGACATGACAACCCGTAAAGCTATTTTTTAGTGAGAAAATAACAACCCCTATTCTTGGAGTGTAACAAAATGATTTACCGCAATGATTATGTTTTCGCTGTCTTGACTCCAGAAAAATTGTACTTCGCCTTCGGAATCTAATGCAACTGTTCCTCTTGCTTGATCTTATTAAAAAGAATCTTATTAACACGAATAATTCAAATGTGCATTAAACGTATTTGCAGTTCCATCGATATTAGAATTCAAGTTAATTCAGTTTAACATGCATAGTTTTGGATGCCATTTTCAATTTTCATCAATAAATTTTGCTACTATAACAGTAAAAACATATTCAAACATATTCAAAAGAACATGAATCGAGAAAATTTAGCGTTTAGATAAACTGCAGATGAGAATGGCAGTCATATTGCGGGTCCCCAAGTTATGTAATGGTATAGTTAAACCAAGAAATCTTCAATAGATTTCAATAATCTTCATTGAATCAAGCAAATATTTGTTTTATTGTCAGAACAAAAAACAACTGCGGACACTGCAAATAAATATCATAACAATGTTATTTGAGTGACATATTGCGAGAGATGTCGAGGTGAAAGACATGTTCAACAGCGACTCCTACAATGCGTTGCCAAGTTGTCATATAGTATAAAAAGTAAGTTACAGGAGATGCTGCACTAACTTGTGACTATTTATGTTATATTGGTAACAATACCTATCACGATACTTGGTTCTCGTGTTCTCGGAGTCGGTTCAGATTCTGAAGTTGTTTCTGAGAAAGCAGTCGATAAATATGTTGAAATATTTGAAAAATAGTTATTATTCGAAATTGGTCAAGGAGCATATTTAATTTATATCAATAAATTAATATAATATAATTTTGATAAAGCTGAATAATACCGTCAGAAAAAAATTGAATCTTCAATTACAATATTTGATTTCATGAATAATATAATGTGAAATTTGGTTATACTCAAATCATTAAATTGTTTTAACTGGACTTTTTTTTCAGTTCAAGGAAATCAAGAAGTACACGTATTACCTGGGGTAAACGATGACGTTTCTTCTTCAGGCATACCTGGTTCTGTAACAGAAAAAATTGATTGTCTGGTGGTTTGAGATTTTTTTAGTTACATGAGTTTAACTTAATTTATTAATTAAATATATTTTCAAAATCCAATATTTTCTTGAATTTTTTAGTACACCAATTACATTTATTTATACATATTTATGCCACAATTCACTCGTTTTTGTCAAAGTTAGGGAATTCGCTCGAAAAACGTAGAATTCATCTTGAATATTAATAATATGTAAAATATACCTGGGATGTATGTGGGAATCATTTTATTTCGTAGAAGCTCCACTTTCTTTGTTCCTGTAACAAAGACAAAATTTTAGTTAGTGGTCGCACGGTTTACCTTTAAAATCGCAAATGTAATGCAGGAATCCTTGAAATTTTTATAAAACTTATCGTATGGTTAGAAGACTTAAAAAAGTTAAACTAGTATGAATTATCTATTTCAGCACATTGACAGTTTGGTAAAACCATCTTCATATATATGTATACTACTGCAATATAGCTCACCTCTGTTCCATAAATGATAGCTAAATTTGCCTGGATGACTGTAAATATCATATGTACCATATGCCCAAATGATGTTCATTTTACCATGCTGTAATAAATTGAAATAGTTTTAGTGAGCAAAGTAGAAAAGAATAATAATAGTAATTTAATATGTAATATAAAAGAACGCATTATAATTCTCGCTTTGCTTGTTTCACTTGAACTTGTGAATATACGTATCATCTATTTTTTGCATTGCATCATTATATGAATGAAATGGGTATTTATATATAGAGACTCACTAAAGGTTTCAAAGCCCATAATAATAAGTTTTTTACAATTCTTTAACCAAATTTTATAATCTGCATCTTAAAACTTCTGTCAAGTAGACGTAAAGGATATATAGAACCTACATCCAGGTATTACATCTACTATGCAAAAAATTATTACTACTATGTTATCGTTAATACTATTTATTATGTTCTTAATAAATCGACTGCTTTTTATCTTACTGTTATATCCATGTCCTTGGCATCCGATGTTTTGAGTTTTCGTCGTACAATCATTGTTGTGAAATAATTATCTTGATTCAATTTCACCAGCTCGACATCTTGTAAATTGTCAACTTTAGGAGACCCATTTTTTGTTGCGTATGAATCCTATGTATAATAAGGCATATAAGCTGAAATATATACCTATACAATTTCCATACTTACGCATACTTAAAAATAAAAATAAAATTCAATCGTTTCAAATATGTGATATTTTTGGCGTCATTTCCAATTGTAGTATTGACAAGATTTTCAAGAAAATGTATACAGTTAGTTTTGGGCGCTTTCGACTTTAACTACAAATAATACAATAATATGGAATATAGTAAAATGAAGCCATTTGCAATCATCTTTGTATTCGGTTCTTATATTTTTTCAATTTAAAAGTCTACGATATGCGCACACTCAAAATGTGTCTTTTAACCTGAGTTGATGTAACAACTTACGAACAAATATCTTTTGTCACGACGAACGCCACCAATTATGATATCAGCTCCTGCCATTGACCCTCCTGGTGAAAATCCAAAACCAATCCAACCACTTGTCGGTGCTGTATACTATAAATCATATACATTTTGGTTAATTGGACATTTCATAAGAATAAATCGTAGTGTATGTATAACTTAGGAATTTTTGAAAAAAGTCACGCATGAGATTGATTCCGCATCTGACGAAAAACTTGTTATCAACATTTTAACTAAGTCATTCATTCAAATTTGTGAGATATTAACATTGGACAAAATTAAGATTATTTATTATTGTAGTTGTAAAAATATGCTATACTACTTGCTTTGAATGTAATTTCATCTTCTGAATGATACCACGCTAATGTGACGTCATCTTCATCGTCTTCGTCATCATACAGTTTAACCGAATATTCAAAGTCTTTTTCTGCTTGGGAAGAACATATAGTCATCATCGTTTTTGACTTGTGATTCAACATTTTGAATGATGTAGAGTTTTATAGTAAAATATGATTTGATGATCATTTTAAATCAGAGATAATAGCGACAATTGAATGCTGCTTATCTTATATAACTAAATAAAATAAAATAAATTAACATGAAATTAATATGAAATTTTCCATGTGATTGAGGTGTATTATTGATGAATATTAATTATATTTTACCGTACATTTTAGAACATTTAAGTTGAATTCCTTCGTAAATCAATCAATCGATCATTTTTTGTAGTTTCGAATATAAGAAAGGTGTTTTTCAGGTGTTTGTATAAGATGTTACGAGTTCAGTCAAGTTTAATACTTTATAATCATAGATGTCAAAGATGAGCCATATTTTTTGCCACTGCTACATTATTTATCATCCATGTTTTTTATTATACTATTAAATTTATTCTATTTTATACTATTAAATATATAAAAAATATAAATGATACCTTCATTCAAATTTGTTATAAAATTCACTTGTGCTTCACCTAAAAAGAATAGAAAGATAACAAAAGTAGAAACATTTGTTCGAATCAATGATAAAATATTTTTTATTTTATACCTTATTCAGTTTTACTGTGTCAGATAAAAACTCACACAATACTTAATAAAATTATAACTATTTAGTTCATACCTCGTCTCCACCAGTGGTAATCGTAATATTCTGGTTCTTCGTTTATATCCATGAATCCGTATGCCCATATTACTCCCATCTCTCCAACCTAAAAAGTTACTCTTTTTAAATATGTAATAGAGGCTAAGAACGCAGCGCTGGCAAGAATCTTTCGATTTTTACGTCAAATACTATTTGTTTTCATATTTATTCTAGGCAAATGGCTTCAATCAGTGAAAGCAAATTTTTTATTCACCAAAATAGAAGCACTTATATACACTCAGGGAAGCAAAACTATCGAAGTCACTTTCAAGCCCTTGCTAACGTTAAAGTTGCTCTGACTAGATTATTTTAAATAACCTTAATATCTCTGTTAAATTGATCATCAATCTTCAACTTTCTTTTTATTGTCAACGACGTGATACCATCAATTTGACTTGAATCTAGTAATGTTACATCTTGCGATTCATCTACAATAGGTGGTCCGGCCTTCAATGCATGTGCATCCTGAAAAAATGGAAAACAACTTACATGAACGATTAATTTAATATAATGCAATAATTGCATGTAATTCGCCTATCACCATAAAATCAGAAATGCAACCTCTGATATTCTAAGCGTATTTACTTATGTTTCCTAAATAATTATACCACTATTGTTTCAAAGCAATGCTCAATAAATAATATTTATATAAGTAATGAGATAGATTTTAATGGTTGATATTGGTAGTATAGCCAGTGCTTGGAATGTGACGACCTTGTATCTTGGTAGTATAACCAGTACTATAAATTTAACCTGTTTAATTGGTTATAAAAACATTCACCAGTATGTAGCCTTTATCGTGCTTAACCCCTCCCATTATGATATCGGCGCCAGCCATTTCATATTTTGGTGAAAGTCCAAGTCCAATCCATGACGTTGTTTCCGCAGTCAGCTGTAAATAATATTATGAGAAAACAAAATTATTTGTATATAATTCGTCTGCAATGTTGCAAAATTTTACTAATTACTGAGGAAGTTTGTGGACTAAAATGTGGAATATTTGAAACGTAAACTAGCGCAAATTAGAATTGAAAAAAAAAAATACATACCCGCATTGTGATACTTTCATTGTCATAATTCCATTCCAGTAAGTAATCATGATGCAGATGCTGGGAGTGTGCAAATTTCTTCCCCGATGCCTGGCCGCCCAATAAATAAAGACATACTAGAGTCAGTACAGTTATCATTGTAAGGTCAGGTTAGTTTGTTTTGCGCTGTGAAAACATATTTCATTGCTCTGTTATATTTCAAAATTGGTAGGTTTTTCCATTCGTTTATATTTTCTATGTTTTTTGATTAAACACCAACATATCTTAGCTAAAAGTTTAGTGCCGAGTTTTCTATTCATTATGTGAATATGCTTCACACTTTTCCGTCCATATATTGAGAAAAAAGATAGATAGCAATAAATAGAGATAAATATTATTATATTATCTTATTTTTCAATATTGAAACCGATAATTTGTGTGAAGATTCCATGCTAATGAATAGAGCGCATGGTCTTCAGATTCTGCAAACGCCGTTATTTAAACACTGATTTATATTAACATTTTTCCAAAATATATCAGCTTACTTGACTGCCACGGTATTATAAGTAAATCGGAAGCACCAATAATGACAAAGATGTTTCTTACAATAACTCTGTTTTCTGTTCATTTTTCTAATTCTATACGTCTCTCATGCAATTAGTATAGAAATAATTTAGATCCATATTGATTGATTATTTTAAAAAGCAACTAATGAGTAAAAATTTGCCTATTGTAAAACGCTTCATTGTAGTAGGCTTCACTCCTATCTGCAAACCATGGCTTATTAAAGGCGTAAATGGCTTGTTTGCGTAGAATTGTTTTTCGTTTCGATTTAACAACACTGACTTAATGATTGGTGTGACATTTCAAAATTCGTCATTACCACGTCGTTGCTAATGGCGCGGGACAAAAATGGCAACGCAGTAAAAAATGGTAACTACTATATGGTAAATTGTAACTTCTTTTATTAACAAAACCACGTAATTTGTATGTGCATTCCGGAATGTTTTGCGATTTTTTTGGTATCGCACAAACAATCAAGAAATACTTTGATTCCATCATGAATCATACTTTTGTGAACTTTCAACGGGGAATTATCGGCGCTATACCCTGAGGCTCTATAGTTGACAGATTATGTAAAAGTAATAAATTATATCATGAGACTATTTTGCACTAAAAGTTGTCTAACATACATATATATATATATAGTATATTCCAGTCATAAACGGACAAATAAATAATTCTATTTCACAACAAGTACAAATATAGAGGCTATCATTTCATCGCTATTCAAACGACCCGGTTAGCAATTCGGTGGACATGGACCACTTGTCGATTTAGGCCCAGTTTAGAGTTAAGGTTATTTTGTATAAAATATACTTTTAAACAAAAACGCATTGCATATTTCAAATAATTTTGTTCTCCCCAAAGATTGTACTCACTAGAATATTGATAAAAAAGTGACGAAAACACTCGGTTTCAGCTTGCTAAATAATTTGCGAGTTTATCGAGTTTGCATTTTCCCTCCGGACAAAGATGACGTTCACTCAGATATTATCAGCCTTCTTGAAATCGTCCAAGAAAAGAATATAACTGATGTGTACGTACAGTCTAGTATTATGATACAAAACAGTTCTTATTAAAATTTTCACAAAAAGTATTGATTGCAGCCCATGTCTCATATTTGCAACTTTCAGTACATTATTTCAATCCATCCACTTAGGACATAAAGCAAAAAAATCAACTCTATCGGACTTATTAGTCATTATTAGTTATTTGTAAGTTGCAAATATTTTAAAACCGACACATTCAAAATTCTCAAAATATGTGTTCGTATCCACGCATCAGACATTGACGTCATTTTTCTGTGGAAATTACCTATATATTCAAGTTCAACTTGTTGTCCTACAAGTTATTTCTAATAAACGAAAATAATTTTGAGCATCGAACTGAGCATTTTCAGTATCCAGATAAAATAAACTAAGCAAAACACAATGCAATTTTGACGAAGTCAACTACACTTTTTTAATTTCCAGGAAAATTTAAAAGAAGAACTATTTGACTACTCTGATGCTATTTCTTGTTCATTACAATTACATGTCACTTTTCCTTACGAAATTTAAAACATTTGTTCATAGACAAGCACTGAAAACATGGACGCTTGCTGAAGCATCTACTGTAAAAGCATATTTCGCAAGATGGGGCACTGGATACGTATATTATATGCAGGGTACTGTTCACTTTTGTTCTTCGCGTTTCATTATACTCTATTTGTCAAAGATATGATTACTTCACAAACGAAGTTGGAAATTAGGAATTTTTTTAAAGCGAATTTTTGAATTTGCTCAAATCAAGGTTACAAACCCGCAACAAAGAATAAAAAGTTCAACAGACCCTATATTGGCATTACTAATAATGTGTTAGTAAAATGTATTTGTGGGAAAGTGTGTATACAGATTATTTTGAAAAATAACATACGCCACAGCATGTTGTGTAAAAGTAGTAAAATAATAACTAGAAATAAATCTCGTCGACATCGCAATAACTGTCTTCAGAACAATAACTTAAACGTTTCCGAATGCACTGAATTAATTTTTTCTTGATATCAACAGCAGAAATCTCTAAAAATATCAAACTTGAAAAGCAACTTTCTAATATTGTAGCTCAAACATAAACTATCATATATCCAGACGCGTCCATTTGAAATTTATTTATTTTGCCATGTTTCCACTCATAGCATGTCAAATGGTGATAATTATCCAACAGGATTCTTAGGAAATTATGTCAGGAGCAGTGTTGATCCGACTTGATCTCTAGTTCACCATGTCAGATAGCAGTATTCATTCAACTTGATCCGTGTTCCATAATTTCAGATAGTGGATCGTATTGATTCAGCCTAATCCTTGGAAAATCATGTATTAGAAAATTAAGGCGAGTTTCAATGAGTTTGAATTATGATGAATGTAGAGTGTAGACCTTAAAATCGGCATGGCTGTTTAGCGCCCACATCAGAATATGGTTCTGAAAAGGTCGTTCTGCTAAAGTAAGTTTGTCACTCCAAGAGGACGCGTACAATATCGTCTTTTAACATCTCTTTATATTATTGTGTATGTTACAATGCAAGTTGTATAGCAAACAGTTATCTTAGAAAGCACACAAAAATTTTCACATGCCTTGTGTACGGCAAGATATTTCAGCATATTTCAGCAATTTAAACTAAAAAAAGTATCAAAATTATAAAAATTAAAACCGACAGAAATAGATACACACATGTCTTATCTAGTAAAATAACAATTCTGTTCGGTTACAGAGTGAGAGATTTCACATAACACCACAGAAACGAAATTTTCAATAATTAATAACAAAGTGCTTTGGCAGTTTCCAGATTATAAAACATTCCAAAGTTGATTGAAAAATTGTTCGTTAAATTTAGGTTATTGTTATCAATTCTAAATATACCAAAACGACAATTTATAACTTGCACCAAAGATTTGGAATCCTAAGAAAGTCGAATCCAAAAAGGACACGATTTGCAACAACGCGCGAGGGTTCAATCTGGAATAAATATGAGGAGAATCGTGGGCGAAATCGGTGATGAAATTGGTGAAACTGAAAAACGAACGAGATACTCAATTAACATCAATTCCTTATCGATGCATTCTGTATGTGCAATAGGTATGTATGAATTAGTGACTCAATGTTACTACTGGATTTAGGTGATATTATCCTAATCTTTTTTATCGCATCATAACCAAATATCCAGGAGCTTCATTCCCTGTATTAATCCTCGAGTTTTACACAATGGCACATACTTTTTTTTATAGGTTTATAACACTACCCACTTCCCACGAATTATGGGAATTCCAATTATATATAAAACACTTTCACGATATTTATTAGTTTTACTTTGTATTGATGACGAAACTCTAGAAAAATGATACGGATGATGGTATTAAAAGTTTTGGTCTGTCTAAAGTCTAAACCCAGTAGGCATTTGTGTTTAAAATTGTCCCTCAGTAAATACTTTTTTCCGTTTACGTTATAAGTCCATGTATTCGGAAGTGTTGATACGACATGAGGTAAAATGTAAGCATCACTACTTCCTCTTACTTTCTCACATAAAAGAAAGCAGCTTTATAGTGACGGAGATGATCAGTGTTTATCAAGCGCTGCTATCGAGCCAGTTTCATAATGCTGGCCGATGATTCACACAATTATGAAGGAATCAGGAAATGAGATCATGGTGCCTAAAAATCATAAATCCAGAACAGTTTTATTACCCTGAAAACAAATTATCTTTTATAAATATATATATATGTAATATCATGTAATTGGTGTACACCTTTTTTTTTTAAATTAGCCATGCTTTATGTAAGTGTAATATCCTTTCAAATATTGCTGAAACAATCTTCAAGCTTGAATGTTTAAAATTGAAATAAAATTAGTTTAATTTGGAATTTGCTATGTATTTTTATGCTCAATTCTTATTTTGTGGTTTTCTTCTTGTTGTTACCGTATGAAAAAATCGGTTTTCTCATTATACTGGATCAATTGCTTGAAATTTTCAGTGATTAAAGATTGTATTTTTTTTATTTATTTTAAAACGTTCTGTGGGCTCTTCATGATTCGTTTTTCACTTCGAAATCTTCTGTGATTACTTCTTGAAAAGTAATACAAATTATTTGTCGCGGTTTTTCGACAACCACGACCACTTCTCACTTCTCAGTCGTGCTACTCTTTTGCGACGCGAAAGTAGGAAGTTTCTGATCGTACCGGTACTGTACAAGGTAAGGTAAACTATCACTTCGCTTAATCTAAGACACTCTCCAGACTTGAAACTATAAACCCAAAGGTTACGTCGAACTATACTTAGACAATTTACGTAGGAATGACTTTCAATACAAAGTTAGAAGCGGTGGGAAATGCATAACAGTGACCAGCATTGGGCGTTGTTGTTATCATACATGAACTTGTCGAGAGATTAAGGCCGAATATGAATGTTAAAATTAACAATAGAGCGATGCTCAAAAATATGGACACGAAAGCCCAAAACGAAGTAGTAGTAGTAGTAGTAGTAGTAGTAGTAGTATACCTTACCGTGTACAGTACATTGCCTAGTCTACTCTACGTACGGTCAAAAAAACTCCGATTTGCGTAGCACGGGAGTAGCAAGAGAAAGGTCTCAAGGATACTAACAAGAACAATAATAACATCATAATAATAATCTGCTCAAATTTATGAACACGGGGTGCAAAACGAAATATTTTATCACCAATTCCCTTAAATCATACGCGAAAACTTATTAGTATGGTGTCAATAACGGTACAGGAACTGTCCTAGCTTTTCCAGGTCCTGGGACGATGATCCATTCTTCATGATTCAGTTTCAACGTGAATTGAAATACCAACTGATCCGAGTCACCTCTATATTACCAGATCAGATACCGAAGTCTACCGTTTCCCATAAAAGGAGAGCTATGCTCAAATATATATATAAAAATAAAAGTAATAGACCTCTAGCGAAAAATACATTTTTTAAACATTGAAAATTTCAAAGCAATTGGTCCAGTAGTTAAAGAGAAAAGCGATTTTTTTCCATGACGATAAGAAAAAAAATACCAAGAAGAACAACAACAACATAATAACAAAACAATCTAAATTTTGATGACGTCATAGCACACAATGAACGAATCCCATATAGATCACAGAAATATTTGAAATAAATAAAAGTAATAGCCTTCTGGGGAAAAATACAATCTTTATCAGTGGAAAATTCAAAGCCATTATTCCAGTAATTAAAGATGAAGGCGATTTTTTCTTAAAGATAGGAAGAAAAATTATGACATAAAGAACAACAATATAATAATAACAAAACGATCCATAAGTCAATTCCGTGTCCAATATTAATATTAATAATAACAAAACGACTCATTTCTATATTTCGTGTCTAATAATACAATAATTTAGAAGTTGACATAGTAAAAATAGAAAAACCCACAAATTTAAATCTTACACGTTTACTTTATCCAGAGCATCTGAGTCATTTTTAGCACGTTTAAGACTTGGTATGGTAGTTACTATAGTTGAATAAGAAAATATAAAGTTAGGCACAATTTTAATCGGATAGATTAAGCTAAAAAATTCACAAATGCTTCACAAAGCAAATTATGCCACAAACATTGTTCTAAAGAGAGAAAATGCCGACGCTATATCTAGTCACGAGTTTCAGAGATACGAGGCGTGGTGTTAAGCTCTCGATATCGATAACGTAAACAATCAGTTTTTATTTAAGCTTTGAGAGGTTACAATTGCGCCAATCTATTTATTATATAAATCTCTTTTCCGCAAGAGTAAAGTTGTTACCACCGGGCAGTTATATGCTTAGAATAGCAAAAACAAGTTTAATCGTTTTACATATAAATAAATATTGGATTATATAGAGGAAACAGAAAAAAATTCACATAACTCGAATTGATATGAATAAATGTAATCTTTCTCATCTATTTTTATAACATTATTCCTGTATATCACAATTTGCAAAATTAGATGTTCAACTTTATTCAACTACATTACAAAATTTTATTTATACTAAAATTTATTCTAAAAATGCAGATGCACCATATATATAATGAATGTCTTTGTCTATTCTATTTCAATCCACAAAATCAAACAATGTCTTCGAAAAGACTTTTCAGCAGCAACCTTGTGAATAGGAAAATTGTATCTATCGGTGAATAATTAAAATTTCCATTTTGTTTTCAAATAGCTATCCCTGAATTTGAATAATTTATTACACGACGAATAATTTAATGTATCCTTGCTGACATACAAAAGTCCCGTTTTGTAAATCGATTTTAAAACGATTTTTTAATGGATCAGATTTTTATCTGTATCTCTTCTAAATAGTTTGGCGTCGTATATTATGAATATACATTATGAACACCAAGATCACACTATTTTTGATTAGACATTTGAAATTGAAATATATATACCGGTAATCCGTTTTACATGGTATGTACTATTTAAAATATCAACTTAGTGCTGCACATAAACTTGACCCTCCACAAATTTCAGTCTGTAATTTTCAGTACAATACTTCTTTGATTAACATATACCCAAGTGCGCAAAGAAGTATTCGGTTTTCAAAACATTACCAAGTCACTGATATCTCAATCTAGTAGTCATATTATAGGTATAAAATGATATATAACCCAATTTAATTATGGTTACCGTATATAAAATGATTGATACTATCGCTGCGTGGGGTAAAAGTTAAAACAATGCGATTTAATAGCCCGCTCTGAGGTCTTGAGGTAAACAAGAGAAACGTTAAGAAGTTCTCACTATGATGTAAAATTGCGTGCGATTAAGAAGAAATAAAGTACCAGTAAGTTGTACTGAAACATTTTTTGAAATTCTTTGAACTATAAAGCTTGACACGTCAGCTAATAACAAACGTGTTCAGCTATATATATTTACCAAAAATAGCTATAAAAGCCGCAGGCAGAAGTGGCCTATATGTCAAAGTAGTGTCAAACTGTATATATATCCACGACTAATATCCAAGTATCACAATGCATGTATTAGTTTTATCGTATGGCATAAAAATGAACTGTGTTGAGTCCGAAAAATGTCGTCAGTTTAAGGTTTAGAGTGATAAAGTGTATTCCATAAATACTTACTCAATTCATTTTTTTTTCATAATTACTATGTTTTTATTTTTAAAAAGAAGTCGAACCTAACCATTTAAATTTTTTTTAAACTTTTCAGTATATCTATAAAGTTTTATTGTAGTAAAAAAACAATAAGATGTCATTTCGTCTTGCTACGTTTTTGTTGATATTCAGTCGAGTATTTTTGTCATTTGCTCTTGAATTCAAATATTCAGAAAATCTGGGATCTGATGTTGCTTTATCATGGAACTTTGCGAACGAATCAATAACAATAAAGGTAATAAAATTAAATATTTATACAGAAGTTCCTTTAAAGAACTAAGCTAAACACTACGATTTGAAGGCAATACAATAAAAATAAGAGTGAACAGTAATATAGTGTTCACATGTAGTAAATATCAACCAGATAAACCTTAAAATTGTTACAGGCATCTCATTCTTAATATTGAATTTTTAGTTTTTTTTAGTTTTACTTATATTTTACGAGACCTTACCCAAAACATGCATCAATAAGTTTTTTTTTAATCTCATTAAAAACGGTATGATTTACAATCCGGGGTCTGTTCGAAATCAATTATTTTTTTGTACTAGCATTCAAAATCGTTCTCTCAAAACGAGATTTGAACTCAACTTTCTCAGCTTTCACGAAACTTTATTAGCGCTAATATCGTCCTACATAAAAATGCAAGTTGGCTGTTACCACCTGCAATTACGTGAAAATCCCACCGACCAATACATTTTCAGTTAGAATTCATATTTTCATGATGATGTAGGTGTCAGCACCAACCAAAGGATGGATCAGTATCGGAATTTCGCCCGATGGAGGTTTTCCAGGATCAGATGCATCTATTGGTGGTTTGAATGGCAGTGGTAAATACGTCGAGGTATGTAATTTAATAGAAAAATGAGGTGAATGAAAATTGGAATGTTTTCAACAATGGTCAAAACAGCTATTTATATATATATTTGCATAATGTATGTGCTAGTGGACTTCTAATTTCAATAACCAGTCGCGGAATTAATTCGAAACGTTTTGAAAACGTCGTACAAAGAAAACTAAGAATTTTCAAGTTTTTATAAATAGATGTGATTCGTGGAAGAAGTATATAAAAGTTGCATGTCTACTCGTCATTTATACATCTCTTCTGATTTACGATTAAGTTTAAAATGAGTAGCTTTTAGAACCCTTTCTCAAATTTCATTATTTTTGTCAACACAGCATAACGTCAATCGGAAAATGATACCTATAGGGCTGTATAAGTATCGGATTTGAATAAGAAAAAAGGATTTTCTCGACGCTCACTCCTACATCAATACATAGGAATAACATTTTAAAAGAATCTCCGAGATAATAATAGTTAATCATACTGCAATATTCAAGATGTTTGGACAGTTACGGCATAAAGTCACATTCTTATTTAGTACATGCAATTTAACAAAGCTTTTGTGGAGATTAGATGATGCAATGCCAAAGTGTCAAATGATTTTTCCCAAAATCAATCTTTGCTATTATCAGTTTGGACCATATAAACTAGACAATATAATATCATTTTCTGTTAATCTTTTCAACCTTTCAACTGGTACTCCATATTATACAGGATGTATACGGGCCAGAAACAGGCGGTCCGAAACCTGACGAATCTCAAGATGTAGAAATTCTTTCTGCCGAAGAAAACGATACATCGACGACTATTATCGTGCAAAGAAAACTGAAAACAGGGGATCAGAATGATATTGATATTCAGGCTAGTAAATAACACATTAATATACCAATGTTAGCATCAATAAAAATAGCTTCAAGGTATGGGGTTTCTAAATTTTTAAATGTGACTAAAAGTCTTGTACTGAACGAGTTGTTGAAAGCAGATCGCATTTTGCCAGTGTTTGGAATTTGGATTATGACTTTCGCGATTAATTTATCTGTGTATTTGAAACAAAAAAGTTTTACACGGCGCGCGGTGTGACAATAAACTCCGGCCTCTTAGGGGGCAAATGGCAAATGCTCAAAATTATGAATATTTGGTTTGTCTGCCTTGGCAAAGTAAAAATTGACTTTTCGTGTCAATATCCATCTTCAATACTGTTTGCAGAGAGGAAATCTATATGTACTGTGGGCTTATGGTAGCAGCGATGTCTGGGGACGTCCAGGACCTGGGAGCCGACCAAACCAGCGAGGTATGAAATAAAGTTTTATTTGTCTTATATGTTTATTTAAAACAATATATAGTGTATACTAGAAGAAGATAACTGTTATATTACTTTTGGCCTAAACTGAATATTTCAAAAATTGCAAGTGAACGAAATTAAAATAGGAAAATTTAGTTTCTCGTAGAGCGATAGAATATGTTCATCCTCATTAGATTCCAATTATATTAATATTCTCTTGTTTATCAGGTGTTAAGGAAATGGTACTGGTACCAGACACAGATGATGGTAAGGAAACCATAAATTCTGTCTTCAAACAATTAAAATGCTTAAGAGAAGAAAACGATTGAGGGCAAGATTATTGGCAAAAACATTAATATACTGTGGCCAATATATTTATTTTATATAAAAAATGGTGAAAATTATGCTCCCACTGATTTTTGTAATTTTGAGAAAGCATTTTTATTGGGGGCCCTATATACCCATTATACAGTTTGTAGGATATTTTATTTTATGTTTGTGTCTATTTACTTTTTATTACCGCACCACGTGATTTATTCAATATTTACTGCGATTTTATAGTTAAGATAGTTTCACCGGCAAAATAAAACGGAAAATCAAAATGTATTTACGTTTAAAAAGTCAATAGTTAAATCCCTATCGAAAGCTAGTCACTACTTAGGTATTATAACAGATATTGTATTTTGCAGTTAACTTCATACATACAACTATGCTAGACGAAGAAAAAAAAATTTCACTGAAATGGTACTACACCGATGAAGATATTACTTTCAAGGTAATTTATAATAATACCACTAGAGGTGTTTCATAAGTTGAACACTACTTTAGCAACTCAATTTTGTATTTAAATGAATGTCATACAATGTTCCATGATTTAATTTTTGTAAAAAAAATATAAAAATATAAAAGAATATAGGATTGAAAAAATATTTCATACAGTTTTTAGCGCCAACTACTGGTTGGACGGCTCTCGGATTTTCTCGTGATGGAAAGTTTCCAGGTTCAGATGCTTGTATAGCAGGAAGAAAAGATAACATGAATTATGTCGAGGTAAAGAATTGTATTTTTTAAAGCTTTAGAAGTTAATGTTGAGAAATAAAAGTTTGTACTATGTAAATCAAGTATGAAACACAACCACAAAACGATGCTCCCGAAGTATGCGAACCAATATGGCGGACATCGGAACGTAGAATGGGTAACAGGTTAGGGTTAGGCCATAATTTTCCTTATTTTAGTCCCATTATCATTTCGAAGACTAGCCAAGAGCCTCCCGTAGTATTTATACCTAAAATTATGGCCTAACCCTAACCTAGTACACATATTACATTCCGATGTCCGCCATCTTGGTTCGCATACTTCGGGAGCCCCCACAAAACTATATTAAAACTCATTCAAATTAAATCATTAAGTAAAGAATAATCATGCCGTATTTTCTGAAATTGACTGAAAACAATTTGAATTTTTGTTGAATGTTGAATCGCATCGCTTCTATTCGGAATTCGGAAACTTACTTACACCCCAAAATGTTACGATAAATCCTGAGTAGAATAAAATAAAGAGTTTTATAAACGATATAAAGTAAACCATATATAAAAGATATAGATACTGATCAAATATCTTTAAACCATCTTTCGAATTATTGAAGTTGTTTTTTATATTTTTCTTTAGTACAGACTTAATCTCCCTGTAAAAAAATTCCAATACTATATTCATTTCTTAGGATGTGTATGGGCCAGAAGAAAACGGTCCCCCTCGAGTCGATGAATCACAAGATTATGAAGTTCTTTCAGCGAAACAAGGTTCCGATTCCACTACACTTGTAATAAGAAGAAAATTACTCACTGGAGATGCACATGATGTAGATATAAAGGTGTAATTTTGAGTATAATTTCAAAAAGGTTCCATACTAGACACTGTTCACATAATTAAACTAGTATAGGTTTATAAATATTTGCAAAATATCATGTTTTATCGTGTACTTTAAAGCGTTAGACGCGCTTATTTCATAATTACAGGACTTGTTGTAAAATGCGATTTTTATTGAACAACTGTTAAAAGTTGGAATTAATGCTGTTTATTTTGAATTCACAATATAAAAAATAAAGTTTTCTGAATGTCAAACTTGCTCAAAATAACAAAATTGCAGGCCGGAAAGATTTTTGTAACGTGGGCATTTGGGAATATTGATGAATGGAAAGGTCCGGATCCTTCAACAAATCCTGTCGAAACTGGTATGTTTATGTTGTATTGGATTATAATTTTATTTCAGATCTAGATTTAAATATTTGTATAATAATATATAAAATATCAAATCCTGTAAACTCCAGCGAGGCTACCTCATGCGTAATTCAACATTCTACAACCACCGGAAAATAGCCTTTTAAGACATATACAGGGTGATTGAAAGGTAACTCCCTATTTTAAAAAAACTATAGTTTATTTTTAAAATATAATTTCTACAATTAATGAATATGAGAAGGAAGTATAATGCATGGGCTTATTGAAAAGTAACTCCCTATTTTAAAAAAACTATAGTTTATTTTTAAAATATAATTTCTACAATTAATGAATATGAGAAGGAAGTATAATGCATGGGCTTTTATTTAAAATTCAATATGGGCGCCTTTATTTGCCACCAGCTTCTCAAGTCGACCAGGAATCGCATCAACTGATTTCGCAAGAAACTCTTGCGGGATGGAAGTCATAACTTCACGTATTCGCCCCTCAAGTTCTTCCAAATTTCTTGGTTTGGTTGAGTAGACTTCCTCTTTCAGCCAACCCCAGAGAAAAAAGTCGCAGGGTGTTAAGTCAGGACTTCTGGCAGGCCATTCGTGCGAACCGCGACGACCCATCCATCTTCCAGGAAATTGAGCATTTAGCCATTCACGAACAACAATAGCAAAGTGTGGAGGAGCTCCATCTTGCATGAAAATCAAATCTCCAATATTTTCCCAAGCACTGATAATTGGCCAAATTTCATCTTTCAACATAGCGAGGTACCTTTCGGCATTCATGGTATCGCGAAGAATGAAGGGACCCACAATCCTATCAAAAGTAATTCCACACCATACCGTTACTTTGGATCGATTTTGCATTTTTTCACAGGTAACACGAGGATCTTCTTCCGCCCAGTAGTGGCAGTTATGACGGTTCACAAATCCACCTATGTGGAATACAGCTTCATCACTCCATAGAATATTTTTAAAAAGGTTGGGCCAATCTCTAAACCAAGCCAACATTATTTCACCAAACTCCATACGAATGTCAAAGTCTTCTGCAGAGAGTGCTTGACAGTAATGCGGCTTCCAAGCACGCCATTTAAGCTCGTTTTTTAGCACATTACGTACACAATGAAAGGAGAGCCCACTTTCTCTTGTTGCTTGACGAATTGACTTATGTGGGCTACGGGTAAACATTTCTTTAGCAACTTGCACTACCTCAGGATCTCTGGATTTGGAAGGACGACCGCTTCTTTGAGTATCAGCCACAGATCCTGTGGTCATAAGTTTTTTATGACAATTCTTGATCGTCTTCGGGTCAATTTGGGCATGTTTTCCCTTAATAGTTCTCCACCATCTTTGCACTTGAACAATGCATCCCCAAACTTCATAACGCGCGGCTATCTGGGCACGTTCCTGTAGAGTAAGACGTCCAGTCATTTTTGTAGGGTTTTGAAATAAAATAAATTTGAAAAGATTGAAATTGAACAATATTTAAACAAATCTGAAAGGAAAACAAGAACATAAATTAAATTGCCATATATTAAGTAATATATACACATAAATTTAGAAACATGAAACATGATATAGCATTTGAATAAATTGTATTTATTTTAAAATAAGGAGTTACTTTTCAATCACAATCAATCACAATAAAAAAAAAACCTATTAATACCCAACAAACGTTTGGTATTAATAGGTTTTTTTTCCTAATAACTTTGGACAACTGAAATAAAATATTTCGAGTCTCAGTTCTATTTACTGTGAAAAAGGTGTTCAGATTTGAAACGCGGTCGCGAGCTTGACATAGTGATAACTATTTGATTGATATTTTTACACAAATTTTGTCTCTAACTTTGTTTTCAAACTTCACAGGGGTAAAAGAAATGGTTCTGATTCCAGAAGAAAGTTCAGAATAAGTTTTTGTGATTATACCAAAAAAATATCAGAAGAATTTATCCTATCATCAAATGATACCGACCAGAAATTTTGCATTGTATTATGAATTTTCATGTAAATAAAAAATAAAACAAATATTGTCAGTATCGTGGTGTTGTAGATAGTCAAACATTTCAGCATATTAATGAACCTCACTAAATATTTCTTCATATCAATGAATTAATATCACGGATAAAAAGGATTCAGTAGTAGTATACCACACCAACCCTGTGTCATCATTATACTTTTCGGTCAAAATCTTAATGTTCAAGCAACTTTAAATTCTACAAAGTAGCACCTAATCAACTCGACACGGTTACTGCTGTTAGGTCACAAAACAAATGAAATTGCTTTTACAATACATATCGTAGAAATGACATTAAAAATGCAAGCTCTTCTGTAATTAACTTTAATGTTTACTTATTTACTTCATTCATCAAATCACAAACAGAGGCTAATTACTTAGGGCCGAGTACTGGTTGTTACGAATGATCTAATATTAATATTGATATTGTTATATGATATTGTTTTCCCGAAGCCTATTTACCAACTAAGTGAACCCAATGAAGAAAAGGTTATATGACATCGTGTATATCACAAATTGACATTACATTCATATCGCCCATCAGTGTTTCCACTATCTAGTATCCGTTGTTTCGTGAAGGCAATCGCCATGCTCACGAAGTAATATAATAACTATGCATTAGTTTGTAAACAATATGTGATAAAATGCCTGCGTCAAATATTTCAAACAGTGTTTCCCAAACTGTGGGTCGCGACCCCGTATGGGGTCACGTGTAGATTTTCCGGGATCGCCTAATTTCTGTCAAACATGCGCACACAAGTGAATAGGATTTGAAAATTGAAATATGGAATTTGTGCTGGTCGGCATGTATCATAAAAGTTTCTAACTGTGATTTTTTCAGTAATAACTCTGACCATTTATTGTCCAAACGGTGCCAAAATTGCTCGAAAAAATTTCATGTGGTACTTAACCGTTCCAGCTGGTCTACCGGTACCGGTGTAAATGTGATTGAGTGATAGTGTTACAAGCGCCAAGAATATTTCTTTTTTTTTATAGCTTTTTTGATCATGTTACATCAGAATGAATAGTTGGCCCGCTGGTACAAGAATCGGATTTTTTGCCAGGCTATGAGTAATTAAGTTGGTTTATTATTTTGTATCAGTGTAGCTTAGTGGTTATCGAATATACCAAGCAGAGTTGCTTTATTTGGCGATTTGCCCTCAAATTAAGCGAATGACAAGTACGGTATTGATTGCCAGGCGGCGTCTTAGCCGAGCAATTACACTTTAGGTTTCGATCAGTTGCGAAAGCGCTTTGTTCGCGCACGTGTCTAAAATCTACGAGTAGGCTACGTGTTTTGTCCTCATCGCCTCCACATAAAAGTTAGCATTTTTGTATTGCAATATTACAAACCACAAGTTCTAGCATATAAAAGGCACTTAAAACATGTGATTCCGCGCGCGTTTTTTTCAATTTTACTTTCATGCTCTGTTTTACTTTCGAATTAGGTGGAGCAATCTGTAATATGTTAACATTGAACTAAAAATAAAAAAGACACTTTTAGAATATATACACTAAATAAGGTTTGAAATTTATATCTATTTAGGAGCAAGCTTACAATATGTACGAAGTATTGTACGCTTCCTTACAATCTAACATTTTTATCAAGTCCGTCTATGTTTCGCCAATGAACCTTTATAATTCTGATCTAAGAGATTTTTACACTGTGGTTTTCATACGATGCCATGTGTTATCAAATCTTCCGCGGTTTCCTCGTTTTATTCGGCGCATTGCTGGAATTGTTCTTATATTTGGGCCAATGTTCAACGTCCACTTGCAGTCGATATACAGGTGGTAAATTGTTCACATTGAGGTAATTAAACTGATATACAGCACTGTTTTTTGAAGTTGCTCAACGTTTCTAGTTGTGGGGTCGCGAGTATTTGTAGGCTTTGATTTTATGGAAATGGGGTCGCAAAAAAAAAAGTTGAACCACTGATCTAGCATACCCGGTAAGTATGAAAAATAAATTAGAAATTACACCGAAGCGCTTGGTTGTGTTCCTAAAATAGCAAACTCTCAATAAAGGTTATAATAGATTCGATTTGGAAAAATTATCTTGTCAATTTGTGTTTCGTTCTGTAAGTTAGTAATCCAATACGTAGTGTAGTCAGCATTCAATTAAAATTCGCCAGCTATAATTCTAGACCTATAGTAAAATTTTTGGTTAGCAATTAAATTACTAAATCGTTAATGCAGTGTAGGATCACTAATTTTCAGCAATTACATATTCCATGACGCCAAATATCTTGAACTCGACGTAACGCCAATACTAATTGAGCGCCTGAAGGGAGAAAACTTTGACGTCTTATCGTTTCCCTTATTTTTCGTATAGTAATAAAAAATCAGCATTCTGTGACTAAAGATTTCAAAAATAAATCACAGGCAGAGAGATAAAATATCAACAAATGGTACTCTTTGACCAACAATTTTATGCAGATACAACGCAATAAATGTCAGAATTCACCAACAGTACTTGAGCGATGTTTTCGAAAATTCATTTGTACATAATAACAGTAAAATTAAATTAATTTCGGTATTTTATTTCTAACAGTAAAAGCATGATCAGACAGAATTTTAAAATTATATAATTACCTATCATTTTGTTCAATCATTTACACCGGTTACATTGAAGATTTGATCATAGATCATACTCATACACACAATATTATGCAATAAATGACTATTTCAAGCTTGATCATTCTTTGAGGGTGACTTTTAAAAATATTTAATTTGGATTACTCATTAAAACAAAAAACTAATACGCTGTTGACTATTTCACATTTGTTCTGTTTCTACAAAGTGCAGTTTAATTTTTTTTTTCATAAAACTGTTACGAGAATCTGGTGTTTTGATATCTAAGATCTAAACGTGTTTTGTCACGATGAGGTATTGTTTGGTTAATTCGAGATGTAGTTTCCTACTGTTTCTAATGTTTATAAGCGCATCTGTCTTTCCTTCTATTCTTTGTGCAAGAAGCGATAAAGATGAATACGATTATATGGAGGATTTGGAAGATGATATAACTTTATATTGGACAGTAGACCGAGATGAAATAACATTCCAGGTAAAATTCCTAGAGAATACTGATGTTATAAAAATGCTTAAAACGTAAGATAAGCGCATGAATTTTATTTATGAACTCTGTGTACTGAGCAATAATTCTCTAATAACAATACACATTTAGTTTTGTTACAGTTGCATGATTTTACTTGCAGATATCGGCGCCCACCACAGGATGGATTGGGTTTGGTTTTGCTGAATCAGGAACAATGGTGAATGCTGATGTCATTATGATGGGAGTGAAAAGTAATAGAGAATACGTTTTGGTGAATGGAAAGTTTTTGAAATTCAAAATTTTAAATCTAGAATTTACCATACCGTGATTAAGAGAACCATTAACTAATCGATAATTTGTAATATTTATCAATTCGTACAATCGTGATTTGTGATTTGATTTTACGATTCTTGTATAGTACTGCTATGTTTTTGAAAGAATGTACCTAATTTTTTGCTTTTTTCAGAGATCAATCAATAAGGTCCAGTGCAAAACTTTTTTTTTTGTTTTAATAGGTATTTGATGTTTTGCGTTTTTTCTAGTTCAAATAAAATTTTATCATAACATCTGATAACATGTTAGGTAAAAATAAGATAATAGACAGAAAAAAAGTTATATACTAGCATTAAATACATTTTAACGTCTGAAATATGTAGTAAAAAATAATTTTTTTTAGGATGGATATGCATCAAGAAATGGAATACCATCACGAGATTCCGAACAAAATGTTGAAATATTGGATTGGAGGGAAGATGACGGAAGGACGACTATCACTTTCATGAGAGAACTTGAAACTTACGACGTTGATGATACTGATATTGAGGTCTACTTTAAATTGATTATCACAAAGATAACGATATTTAGCTCGTTATTATTTTTCTTGATTGCATACAGTAAAACCTTGAGCAATATTATTCTCTTCATTTATTAATTGTATTTGAATTTGATTAATCTCAGTAATATTATGTACTTACCTTACTAGTTCACAAGGCCCACATGCTTAAAAGTGATCCTATCGCAAATTGTCTATTACAGGAAGGTTTACTCAGAGTTATATGGGCATATGGTGAAAATGATATAGATGACAAACTATCTTTTCAAGATTATCACAAAGGAAACAGCGGTATGTTGTTGTCAATTACAAAATAATTTTATACCTTGTTTATTCCACCGAATTATTTAAAAATAGATTAAAGCATAGTCCCTTCTTTTTGTTGTCCGACAAGTTATTGGCGACAAGTTGTAGCATTTTTAACTATCTCTGAAACGTTATCTAGCAATCTATTTTTATCCTTTATCAACGCAAAAGCTTTTTTTAAAACGTAATGGATCGCTATAAAAAGTAATAATTAGTTGTAAAAAATATGAGCTTGACGTAAAGTTAATTAGCACTTCTGTTCTCATACAAATTCCTATTCTGCTTCACTATTGAATGAATATTGCCATTTTGAAATTATCACAAATGAAATATTAATGAGTATAATCATAAAATCCTATTTTACAAGTAGTTAAACAAAAACGATTACGCTGTGTCGAGCAACTTTGATCAATTTAAATTAGAAAAAATAATGCCCTGTGATATATTACCATTATTCCGTCAAGTCTGAACATTCATTTAAACCATTTTTTACCGTACCCTGCTGTGAACAAAAAAATGTATCTGATAAGTTTTGAGTAAACTTGGAAAGTGGGAATTGTCATCATTTGGAAATTCTTTCCAGATAACTGGTATTTTCGTGTCTATATATTTCTACATTGTCCACGCGCTTTGTTTTGAACTATTCGAAACTGAGAATTATCAAATTGTGATACAATAAATCATTATGTAAATCCCCTTTCCACCAGGTTCAATGCGCTTAGAATTGATACCTCCTGATGATGACGATGATGATCGGAGAAGTGAAGGTGATGACGATGACGATCGGAGAAATGAAGATGATGACGATGACGATCGGCGAAATGAAGATGATGACGACGACGACGAAGATCGTAAGAGAAATCGTAATAAGAATCGCAATAATAATCGAAGTCGTTATGAAGATGATGATGATGATGACGACGACGAAGATGACCGAAAAAGAAATCGAGAGAAAAATAGAGATCGTCAAAGTAGACGTAATAGAGAACGAGATAGAGATGATGACGATGACGAGAGAGAAGAATATGAGGAGAGTCCAACGGGTATGTCTAACGAAATAAAAAAAGATCAATTTATATGTTTTATAAATGTGTTTGATAGTGCATAACATACCCGCTACAGTTACGATGACAAATATTTGGCACAATTACTGTAGTTGCATACAATAACTTAGCAAATGACTATACACGATTGTTGAACATGCACATTCCAAACTTCACAGGGAAGGGTGATGAGTACTTGGATTGGGAAGATACCGTTTACCTGGAATGGATTTACGACGAAGAAACAATCTCATTTAAGGTTCACTGTTTATTTGTGTTTATTATATGTTCCTTGTATGACTTTATTCTTTTTTTTTCAGGAAAAGTAATAAAATTGATAAATATTGGAACATATTAAGCATGCTTCAAATATAAAATCTCACCCTTTTCTCATTGCTGATGCTTTTAATTTTATGAATTTATTATATTGCCTTCTTCCATGTCATACCAGTTGACTGCTCCGACTAAAGGATGGATGGGGTTTGGAATATCAAGAACAAAAGACATGACAAGATCAGACATTATTATAATCGGAGTTGCAGATGGGCAAGGATACACCATAGTAAGTTAAATAACTTTCCATATACATAGTAGTAGCATTACTCAATGATTCATTAATCCATGTTTTTTGTACTAGAAAATAGAATAGAGTTATTGTATTATTGTAACATAGTTTCAAATAAGTGTTGCTTTTAATTTTTCAAGGATGCGCATTCTTCCAAGAATGGTGTGCCCGAAATCGACAAAAACCAAGATGTCAAGTTAATGACAGCATACCAAAATTCTACCCACACATCGATTTCATTCCAAAGACCAAAAAAGACATCAGATGACATTGAGATTACGGTTAGTTGACTTACTATTCATGGTTTACTCGAAATAGCTGATAACAAGAGTTGCTATGAAAAGGAGTTTTGTCTGTGAAGCTATTCCACGGGAGTATTGCGTGAACATGATAGAGGATAAAATCTATCTAATATTTTTTCAATGCGTTATGAATATAATGATAACCAGTGCCTAAATTGTCCTGCCGTTTTCTTGGCTACCAAATGTGCGTTTAACACTATCATATTCCCGATCACAATAATTATAATTTTAATCTACTCATATTCCTAATTCTAGAAAGGGTATCACAACGTAATTTGGGCGTATGGAGAAAATGATCTTTATGCTTTGCCTTCGGGAAAAGATTATCATGGAAGAAAAAACAGAGGTACTGTTGCATGATCTTTTATTGTTGATTTGCCTGACCTGTTTCGAAGCAATCTTCATAAGAATTTACATTCGTTTCCTGTTGCAATTTAAATTCAAAAAGAAGTTTGTAAATAGTTCCAATGACATCAGTAGTTTTTTATAAAAAATAATCCCAACCGTAATTTTTATTAAATGTCGCCGTTTGTTCCTCGACTTATTTATTATATGATTTGAAAATTATTTTCATTATCGTAGATTAGAGACAGTTGTGTGTGTAGTCACTACATGCTATTTTGTTCTTCAATTATCAGCCCGTATGCAACTGCTCAAATGCAATGACAAAAAAGAACAGAGTTAGCTAAATGAAGATATCAGTAATTACTTATCGATCTTTAGATCGGTAAGTATGTTGATAGATATTTGTCTGTTTGTCTGTTAGATGCACGCGATATCTCACGAAGGCGTGGTTGAATCTGCTCCAAATTTTGCATGTGCATTCATTATATCTCGGACCAGAAGCCTGCTGATTTGGATGAATTATGTCGTATAATTAGCGAGGTATTAATTAATTAGTGATGGGACACGCGGTGTCACTATAGGGTCATGAATCGAAACCGCAGTTTCGATCGATAAGTCTTCGGTCTCTAACCGATATTCTCGTTTTTTGTTTAATCCGTACATTATTTCAATAGGTTCGACTAGAATCGAGTTTATAAGAAACATATTGGACTGGGACAAAAGTAAGTAGCAAAACAATATATTAATAATAAATAAAAAATGGACCTCCAGAAGTATGCGCGCCAAGATGGCGCACAACCTGAACATAGTATGTGTGTACCGGTTGGAAGGTCAGGTTGGCGACATCTTGGTGCGCATACTTCTGCAGCACCTAAAAATGATATATATAGTCCCTATATGTGACCTGACATTAATAAAATTAACCTGTTGACCTACCCATGAAACCATTGTGATTTTAAGAATTTTTCGTTGTAATCGCCCACCAAAACAGGGTAACTTTTATAAAGTTGCCTGTTCGAAAATACGACGAATTATGAGAAAATTTGACTATATGTATGGCTGGAAAGATATCATAACATTGCAATGTAATGCTGGTCATGATGAAATTGAATATTACAATTATTGCAAATTACAATTACTCACAAAATTACAAAAACATTGTTATATTCAGTTGCGTTAAAAAGCCTTGACATCTCTTCTGAGAGTTATGAATAGGTATGTCTGAATAATTCTACCTTTTTTAGAATTAGAACAAAGTGACGACAGCAGTTACAGTGAGAGATCACACAGAGGGAGGGATGATAAATACGCCGATCATAAAAGTCAGTTATTCAGATTAAATCTCCCATTACATGAGACTTTGGATAAAGAAAAGGGCGTTGTACTTCAATGGGCGTATGACAAAACTCATATTATATGGAAGGTATTTTTCAAAAATGTTGATTCAAAATTACCTTCCGACTTATTTATATTTTTGACACATTTATGTTTTTGCTCATACTTTACCACTTTTTCGTTTCTGGCGTGTGTAATTTTTTTTTTCAATATTGCCTTTTCTATGCAATCATTCTGATTTTGTCCCCAGACTTTTAAGTCATAATAATGTAGTAGTGAGAGTAGGCGTTTTGCAAACTGTTTTGAGCAGTTATTGCAGCAATTACTCTAAACAAATATTTTTATAAGTTTTATTACATGTAGTTAAAAATTATGTTCTTATATTATTGCGTTTTTCAGCTTTCAGTACCAACACTTGGATGGATTGGTCTTGGATTGTCTGATCGCGATTCTATGGTCGATGCCGATATCATTATGATGGGTGTAAAAGATGACGGTCGTCCATACGTTTTAGTGAGTAAAATTTATTAGATGTATAAGGTTTTGTGATTTTGAAGAAGAAACGGTAAACATCTAATTTTTACAAGACAAAAATGCATCTGGCGTATGCTAAAATCCTTAACTGCAAATTACAAATAGAAAATCGTATTCCAACTGGAAAATACTTGAACGGTGTGTACTTTCATTACTTCGACGACATTAGTACAACTTTTGTAAATTTTGTGCAGGGTGCAAGGAAATATGAGAGTTATCTAAAATAGCTTTGCAAATTAAGGCGATATCGCGGTATTTCAGAAGCTTGAGTATTTGTCTTCTATGGCTATAATTATGGTAGTTAATTAGAAAATGTTCCGCAGTCTTACTGCAAACATTACAAAATAGCCACAATGCGCTAAATAATTGGTTTCCGAAGAATTACCACATTTTTGTTGGTTTATCGAAAGTACGCTACAAGACCGCTCCAAACGTCAAATCAACTTAACTTGTTAAGGATAAGTCATTAACTTGTATTAGTTCAGAAAGCAATGAGTTGAAATGACTATGACTATGACGTTGACTATTTGTTGTTATCAATTTAGGATGCTCATGCTCTTGCGAACGAAGTTCCAAAACGAGATCAATCTCAGCAAATTGTTTTACTTCAAGCTACACAAAATGATTCTCACACAACGATGATCATAGCGAGGGCAAGAAATACTAGAGATATTGACGACAAACCCATAGAGGTAAGTGTCAACCCCGCTCACATTAGCAGACAAAAATTTTTATAAAAAAAATCATCTAAAAATATAGGAATCAATTCACTTTTCACTTGTAACAAATTTTTTGGAAATTTTTGGAAAATCGGAATATATAGAATTAGATTAAAAAAGTATATATAATCAAATTACAGATTTTTTTAGAACATCATTCATGTCATTTTTCATCTAATTATTTTATTTTTACAAAATTTTTACAAAATTCTGATATTCTGATAATCTTTTTACAGAACAGGGAAATTTATGTTTTGTGGGCATCAAGTCGGTTTGATTTAGATGATGAACCGACAAAGGCGGATTATCATTTTCGCGAAAAAGGTAATCCACTGAATGATTGTATTTGCTAATCGGTTAAACCAGTAATTTGCACTATTTTTATGTTTTAGCTACTTGAGAATTCTTAAATCTTTTCATGTTGAAAATTCAAAAATTACATGAATTCAACATTCATTCATTTCACTTATAAATAAATTGCTTTATTTTAAATTGAATATAGGTTTTATAAGTTGTTTCAAATCTGAAAGTCTTACTGCGCAACACCATTTGAAAATGATTCCGTGACATAGATTTTGCAGCTTTGATACCTCCCTGTTACACTTGTAGTTTCCTAGGAAATTGTTAGTCCATAAAAAAATTTCGAGAGGAATTTTACCACTTTACGAATTTTACAGGAATTTTTCGAATCCTACTTGATTTATATTGAAGTTTTACTTACCATTAATGTATAATAAAGGGTACATCTTTTACTTCAGGATATAAAAAATTGAATTTTATTCGGCCAATACCAGAGGAAGAACTTGTTGAATTAGAACGTAAGTTAATAATATAATTCGTAGACTAATAATAATTGTTCACCTAATTTATTAATATTCATTTGTTAAATTTGTGAATTATCAAATACGATCTATTCGTATCAAATGCAGGTATTTGCATGACTTTTATTTAAATATGATTCAAATATATTACGCAAGCCCCTGAAGAAGATGAAGATATAGACCGTGATGACGATGATGATGATGATGATGACAACTTTGATGATCGAAACCGCCAAGTAGATTCTCCAAAACGTAGATCTTCGCCTCGTACATCTACGCCAGATCGAGACAGCGATTCTCGAAAACCAACATCAGTATATTTGGATGAAAACGAACGAGTTCTGCTTAGATGGAATCACGATGGAGATTCTATTGTTTTAGCGGTTTGCTTTTAATGAATTTTGCAATAAGCATCCTTAGTACCAACAATATTATATCATGCACTCACGATCTACATAATTAAGATTTAATGGCATCATAAAATAAAACAATAAATATTGATTTTATCGTAAATGAAATTGATACCCTCCGTTTCGATATATTTAAATATGAAATATATTATTTTTTATTTGTGTTGCAGATTGCTGCACCAACTCAAGGTTGGGTCGGCATCGGATTCTCACCTGACGGCACCATGAAAAATGCAGATATGATAATAACTGGTGTAAAGCGATCTAAACCATATGCCCAGGTACAATTAATAGTGTAAATGCATAACTGAATAAAAAATAGATTGATTTTATTTTTGATAAAGTATATCAAAGTAATTTTAGTATCTGATATTATAAAACAATATTAACTTCGTGCAAAATAGAACTTTAATTATGTATATTCGTTTGAAATTGGAAATATTTATCGCAGGATACACATGCCACAGAGAATGGACCTCCTATTGTAGATGATACTCAGGACGTGCAAATTTTACACGGAATAGAAAACAGCACCTATACAGCAATTGCCTTCAAAAGAGCTCACGATACATTTGATTCAGATGATTACATTATTCAGGTAACATATCATCACATTCTTTCAGATAAATGAACCTACCTCTAAAACGTGAGATGAATGTTTTTAATTTGCAACAGAGCTGTTGAGATTTAAAGACATTTCTGCTGAAGTAATATAAAATAGTATGTGAATAATAAACTTCTGTATAACAGGGAGGAAGCATCAATGTCATTTGGGCGTTTGGTGACGATGATCTTGATGATGAACCGGACTCAAGTTTCTATCATTCTTCAGATAGAGGTGAATCAAGAATGGATGTATTGGTCAAGCGCAATAAAAAATCGATATTGTCACTTAATACGATATTGAAAACGTAATTGAGTGAAATTTGTAGCCAATGAGAGCTTTTTACAACAACCTTTTCTTACCAATAAATCAGACTACTTTGGTAACGTTGGATTGTATATTAAACTCGACTTTTTATCGCGTACATTATTTAATAAATGTTCGATTACTTGTGTTTCAAAATAGGTTTATGTTTTGTAAAATATTGGTGATACTTCCAATAAAAAGTAAGTAAATGATGTACAGAATATCACTAAAAAATTTATTTTATTAGGATCAAAAAAGGTCGTCTTGCGTCCGAATGCTCCTGTTCCGGAAAGTGAAGAGAATGATATTGATGATGAAGAAGCTGATAGAAATCAAGACGACAACAGATCTAGTAACATTTTTCGTTGACAGCCGTTGATAATTTTATCATTGAAAACCTTCGAAATCAATACCTTCGAAATCAAGTGCTATCAATGTTTATTTTTCTCGTTTTCTTACTAAAATTCCAATTTTGTAACAATATATAGAATTTTGGTTCTGTTTAAAAAAAAATTTTGTGAAGTGATTTAGTTAATATAATACATGTATTCATAGTTAGGCCAAATAAAATAGAAGAAAAGTTACATTTACAAAAAAAATTTAGACCTAAAAATACGAAATGCACAATTATGTCTGATGAAGTTTATTTCGAAATTAATCGATAATTAGGTTGTAGTCATCGATCAAGATTTTACAAATATGAAAAGTAAGTTTATTGGCTTTCCCTGATTCGAACAACGTATATGCTTGTAGGTAATGGAAGAGATGATCCAAAATCGAGTTCTGAATATCTAGATCATGACGAAACGGTTAAATTAGAATGGAGCTTGAAGGATGAATCAATTATATTCAAGGTGAGAGCTTTTTCGCTTTAATCTTGTTGAAATTACATATTGATATCTTCTTGTTATGCTCGAAAATTAGACATAGCGAAAAAAGTATTTAATGAAGTAAGAATGTTTTTATCCACCTGTGATTATCAGCTTTCAGCGCCGACAACAGGATGGATTGGCTTAGGTTTTTCACGGACTCGTACAATGAAAGATGCGGATCTCATCATAGTTGGTGTTGCAAGAGATGGCGAACCATACGTATTTGTGAGTTCAGACGTAATATATTTTTGAAAAAAGATTCGATGAATTTTTCCTGGTGATATGATATGAGAAGGATTTCAAATATAATTTAAGTATAAAAATTCACACGACCTATTTAAATATTATGAGAACTTGTTTGGTTAAACCAATAAAATGTCAAATCCAAAATCCGAAAACTTGTACTAATTTCTTGTTCCGAAAACATGCCTTTGTAAAAATTCTTTAAATTTTTAGGACACTTTCGCTGATGAGAACGGAGTTCCCGAAGAAGATCGATATCAAGACGTGAAGATTCTACGCTCTTCAGAATCTCGGGGTGAAACTGTTATCGTTTTCCAACGAGAGATCGATACCATGGACTCCTATGATAATAAGATTCCGGTAATTTTTTTTGTTTGCTGCACTACATGAATATTTGAGGCAAATTCAAAACCCAACGCTGAACTTGATATAGATTATTTATAGAATATTTTTCATATTAAATTAAAACACTTTCTTCAAAAAAAAAAGTCTTCGCACTGTTCACGCGATAACTATATATATTTTTTTAAGTTATTTATTTTAGCAAGACTTTTGATATGCAAGATTATTTGAATGAAGAAATACTGTAATCAAAATGAACCATGTCGCATTTGGTGAAGTTAATATTTTTGAATTAAGATTGACTAGATAGCGAGAGGTACAATCGCTGAAGATATTGTATTCTTTCTCAACTTCATACATATCATCTAACCAATACAATACATGTTTAATACCTTAAGTGGAGCTTTTCAGTTTTCTGATGTTTTATGCAGGAAGGAAGACTTAACGTGCTTTGGGCGTATGGGGATGATGACATTGGATCAGATATTAGAAGTTCAGATCATCATGGAAGGAACAGAGGTAAAACTAAATTGATTTTCATGTAGAAGTTGGAACATGCCCATCAATATATTCTCCATAAACACTTTCAGTAAAATCAGGCTTGCTAATACATGTTCAAATTTACTTAACAGCGAGATGAAATTGCGTCTGCAAGAATCTCCTAATTTCTTTCAAATTTTACATGTTTTTTTGTTCAAAGTTCAGCCTTGTTATAGTTTCAAAACACTCTGACTTTTTTAAGACTAATTAGAATATAATTGAATATTATATGGTGAACAATGAATATTACACGACTCCTTGCAATAACTGCAATGTTGCATTTCACATTGTCAAGTAATAAAAACTCATCTAACTTTAGTTATGATAATATGGCCTTATTTTAACATATTTTTTTAAAGGAATAAAAGTAATGTCATTCATACCCGGAGAAAACGATGATTTCATTGAAGACGTTGGTAAGGATCATTAATTCATAACTTATGAACAGCAATAGTATTTTTTTCTAAAACACAGCTTGGTTAGTTATGTATGCTATGCTATGTATGTATGTCTGTATGCTGGGGAGTGGGGAGTATGTACCTTACATTGCACGTTTTTCTTCTTTAATTATTTTACATCTCATCTTTCACCATAGTCCATAAATATCTGCTGCATCTTCTAAGATTATTTTTATGTATTGACTGTTTAACTATTTCATGGAAATTATAAAGAGCCAACAAGAACTTCAATAACAACTACAACAAACCGGGCAGTGGAGCCAACGCCTGTCACATTCAGTAAGCTACTGTTATGATATATTTATTGTTATGATGGCGGTAACATTTCGATAGTAGTAAATAACATCTACCAATTCTAAGTGGCTACTATTTCTCAGTACGAGTATAAGTATAAGATATTTCGCTTTGATATGCCAATAACCACAATTAGGACAGAATTCACTTGAGTGTCGCATATACGAATCCAAGTATTTTATACGTGTCGACCTCGAAACATTCAACCTTCAACTACATGCTGAACTTTTTGGACATTATGTTAAATAAAATATGACGATTTTGATTATTACTCAGACGAGGATACAACAGCAGAACCTCAATCAAATGATTCCGATGATCCCATCAGAGTATTTCTAGATAGCGATGAAACGTTTGAACTACTTTGGACTATTGAAGATGAAAATATAATTCTTCAGGTTTATTTAGAATATAATATTATAAGACTAGTGCCAGTTTGCTGATAGAGCGATATGCCGTTACCCAATTATTCAAATGTACTAAAGTGTTTTTCAACTTCTATGGAAGCAATTTTCTTTAAACCTAAATGAGAAGTCGAAATGCTATTGAAGGTACAACTTGGCAATCATTTTATGTAACAAATTAGTCAATCAACGACTTTATACTTATATTCAGGTAAAAGCACCTACGTTAGGTTGGATAGGAATTGCAATTTCGGAAGACGAACAAAGGACAGGAGGAGATTTCATGATAGGTGGTACCGATGGTGGGGAAGCATACGTATATGTATGTTATATTTATATTGGCATTGATAATGTAGATATAATAAACACTAAACTGCAGATAGACATCGACCTGGTTATCATAGACAAATTTTTATATGGTACTGATTCTTTGAAAATTATTGTTTATTTATTGTTTGTATAATATATTTATCATTGCAGGATACATTTGACAATGCTGGTATTCAAACGCTTGATAATTTTCATACGGTACCTATTCTTTGAAAATTATTGTTTATTTATTGTTTGTATAATACATTTATCATTGCAGGATACATATGACAATGCTGGTATTCAAACGCTTGATAAAATTCAAGATGTTAGTTTGATGGTTTCATTTGAGAGAGGAGATGCAACGACAGTCGTGTTCAAAAGATCTTTAGATACAAGAGATGATGATGATCAACCTGTTCGAGTAAGTTCTGCTTTCATATTTATTAGATTTAATAATTTATTTTAATAAATCGTCAGACATGTATAATATCAGCATTACGTTAACATGCCATTCAATGTATTAGAATGTTTTATGGAGTTTCTGAGAGCACTAAGTTGCCAAAACTTGCAACACTAAGTTGCAAGCATCAGTTATACAAAATACCTGGAAATAGCTTTAAAACACACACACCTGTATATATATTAAAATGTTTCATTTTACTCGATTTTTGTACAGGAAGGCAAAATGTATATTGTCTGGGCATACGGAACAAAAGATATGGTACAAGAAGACATTGCTACGTTTGATTACGCTAAAATAGGTAATTATTACAAAAAGATCGTTTGCAATGAATATGAATTTATAGAACCACTGTACCTGAAAAAAGTCTTTGTAATAAAACTCTATTTACATACATCCAGGATCAAAACAATTGGTGCTTATACCAGGAACTGAAGATGAAGAGCCCCGAGGTAATGTAAAACAATCCATCGCTTGAATTCACCTTGAGGAATATTGACGAATTAAGCTGTTTTAGTCACTCAGGGAAATTGACCACTCTGGAATTTTCTTATTTTCAAATTAATTTTTTTTTATATAAATTAGGGATTGTGCACCAGTACAATCATAATTACATTCAAAAGCACTTTTAGGCCTTGTAGTTGTAGATAAAATAGGAAATTTAATTACAAATAAGGGCAGAAGTATACTAAAACAAATTCTAAAATTTAAAGAGAATAATACCCAAATTTTTGTACACAAGATTGAATAAGTAACTGAAGTATAGCAGTAGCCTATGAGAACTACACGTAGACTTATTATGTAGTCATTCAAATGCTTCAAATCCAATTTACAAATAAATTCCACCACTGTGATAGTTCACGTTAGTACTGATTGGGTCGTAGCTAATCCCCAAAACATGGCCGATTATTCTGAAGAAATGATAAATCATATGTCAAAAATGTGTTCCAATAAATTACAATAAATATCAAAGTTTTGGCAATACATCTAGTCTTGAATCCCTCAGAAAAAAACGAAAATAATAAAAGTACGTAATAGATCAACGTTTCCAAATCAGGAAAGGAAGGAATTTTAATATTTTTGACGATAAATTTTGCTTTGTATATTCTGTAATATTACTAATATTTCTAAATTGTATATTATAACTATAATACTCATTCAATAACACATATATAACAAACTATTTGAACTGTCCAAATAACGGGACTTCATAGTGAGGGCGAAATAAACAGTTCCAAAATGTGCAAAGGGGTAAATTTCACAAAAAAGGTTGGGAACCACTAATTATTCCTCCCTCCTTCCTCAACGACTTTTGCAATCTTCAATTATTGACCTCATCAATTTAAACAAGACTAAAAACAACAATTTATCAGTATTATTCTTAATCATGGCTACCATAAAATATTTCTGGAGGCATCCGTGATATCTAATCTCGAAGATTAAATAATTGATAACTAATTAGAAATATTAACAACTTTAGACATCAGCGAACTCGAAAGAATTGCATTTGCCACAACTTCGTTTCCCGAAGATGAAGACGAATTTACAGAGAGTTCTTGGCGAGAAGAAACTACAACACCCGAGCCTACAACCACTACGGAGGCGCCACCAAATTTTGATGAATCGCCTGTCATATATCTAGATAATGGCAAAGAAGTTGAACTACAATGGGTCATTGAAAGAGAAGTAGCAGCTTTTAAGGTAAAATATCAAAAAAGTACAAACCAATGTTCCTCTGTTTTGAACTTTCAGCACGTTGTGATCACATGTTTTTGTCATTTTTATTTGACACAAAAAACAATAACAATATACTGTATTGAACCCTAGTTAGCTATTCATCACTTTTACAGCGAAGCTTCACTATTATATTCCATATATTAGGTTGTCGCGCCTACGATTGGATGGATTGGCGTTGGATTATCATTCGATGGTACTATGAAGTCTGCTGATATGATTATAGCTGGAATAGATGATGAAAGACAATACATTTATGTAAGTGAATTTTTATTGCTTGCATGATTACTTAATTAAGATGGCTGATGCGCCTTGTTTTATATATATATATAAATCAAGCTATATCATGCCGTACTATAAGAGTGCTTAGCAATATATCAAAACTCAATAGCTCATTTCATATGAGTATGTCGAAAATGTATTTTAAATTGCACGTATCAACACAGTAACATTCCTGATAATAATAGAAACCCATTTCTCACAAAGCAATTTTGTCTTCAATTGTTCAAATTCAGGACACCCATTCTGACATAAACGGAGTTCCTGACGTCGACGATCATTTCCAAGATGCCGAATTAATTGAAGCATATGAAGTTGAAGACAAGACTACCATTATATTTAAAAGGAAATTGAACACGAGAGATTTAGATGACAACAAAATTAGAGTAAATATAGTGATTAATTTGATATTACAACATGCTACCTGGGGCTACTGAACTTGGTTCGTCTAAATTACGCTCTGCACTTATTATGTAATTGGAATTAAAATGACCGCAGTCACTTTAATATAGAGTGGTCCAAACCCAAGCCCGCGGGCCACACGTGAACCGCCGCTTCATTATCTGTGGCCCGCGTCACATTCGGAGGGTAATCAAAAAAATCGCATTTCGTGTTGTTTCGTCATAAAATCATTCAGAAAAATCTTTTGACATATTATCATCACTAATGTCACCAAATTAAATAGTGTTATGGCTAGCTGGGGAAACTAACAAAGTTGAATGATGTGCTTGGCAGTCTCTAAATTGTTATCTGGCTTTCTAACTTTTGGGTCGGGAATATATGCAAACAATATAGGCATCATAGAAAACTAAAAATCGGATGCGGAGGCTGTTAGCCTAGAATAGCTATGCCTGATAACTATGTGTTTGCACAATAAAGGTGTTTGTTTTGTATTGCACTGTTTACCTATTTTTGGCACTATTGTGGCCCGCAAACAATGCAAAAATAATTTTGTGGCCCGCGGAGCCGACAACCTTGGACCACCCTGCTTCAAACTATCTAAAATAAACAAATTTCAAAATTGATTTTACTTTTAGGCTGGAGAAGTTAATATTATCTGGGCTTACGGAAAGCGAGATATACAGGACAAACCAAAAAGAACTGATTATCATTCTAACAACAGAGGTGGGTCGTAAACCAAATATAAAAATGAAGCACAAGATTTCAAGTTTAGCCAATATATGGAAAAATATCAAAAATGCATACAACTTATTCCCTATAAAAACAGACTTAAAATTGATGTTTCCATACAATTTATGTTTTTATTTTTATTTTATTTCAAATCACTGCCTATACTTTTGAGTTTGATGGTGCAGCACACCATCCACACATCCAGCACAGAGCATGGTCACTCGCAGTCAATGAGAAATAAAATATAATGTCCTCTGAGTGAAGTTTTAAGCCAATTTTTGAGAATTACATTCTTCATTTCGATATGTAACTATTTTTAATATTCAACAGGATCAAAGATATTGGAACTCATTCCACTTATTGAAGGTTGGTATTATCAGTGTTATCTGCACATTAAAAAATATGTTGAGTGCAAGTAATTTACATGTATGTTTCTTGGAATGCTATATATCCTTAATATTATAAATTTGCAATACAAAACTTAACTCATTTGGAAACGATAATAATTCGATAGAAAGTCGTCAAAAAGTCGTCCTATTATTCAAATAATTTATATTCTTTTCAAATAGTAAATATATTCTCGGTGTTTTCTAGAAACTACATTGTCAACTACGACAACAAGAATAGCAAGAACAAGAACAACAACCGAACAAACAACAACACCATTTGATCCATCAGTGTCCCAACTTGTAACTCTTGATGATGCAGGAGAGGTCACGTTTCTGTGGTATTTAGAGGGAAGAACCCTGGTGATACAGGTCTACATTATTTTTACATTATTCTGCACTCGCAATTTTTTTTTATCTTAGTTTAATATCAAACTACTCAATAGTTTTTAAAGCTTCCATTCATTATTTCATACAAATTTGCACAGATGCAGAAAATTACACGTCCCGCTCATGCTTGCCCTTTTATTCAAATATTAATTACGTGGTTTGTCTGGATTGACAAATGGAGTTAGAATTCAAACTCGCTAATATTCGATTTTTATTCATCATAAGCTACATCGGTTACCGAATTAGGTATAAATAGATGGTTTGTAATTTAATTTATAAAATGTAACTTTTTTTATTATCACGATAAATTACAATGATTATATCTTGTATATTGAGTCAGTCGTTATTTTGTTTTAGATCGAAGCTCCTACTTTAGGTTGGGTGGGATTTGGATTTTCTTCAGATGGTCGAAAACCTGGATCCGATTTCATTATTGGAGGAGTTAATGGCGCCGAAGAATACTTGTTTGTAAGTTAGCAGATAACCCACTAATAATACTATACAATTTATTAACGCTAATTAAAATTTTCCAGTGATTACAAAAATATGTTTGCGTTGTATATTATTCATTGTAAAAAAATATGCATTGTTTAAATTAAAACAACGTGACACAAATAATATTTTATTCTAGGACTCCCATATGGACGAATCTGGTATACCGATATTAGATGAATCGCAAGATCCGTTTCTACTCATTGTCTCTGAAAATCAAACGCACACAACTTTGGTTGTTGAAAAAAGCCTCGTATCACGTGATATATCTGATGCATCAATAAAAGTAAGTCACTTATACCTTATGGCTTGAATATCGACTTGACTTATACTGGACAAATTTTAGAGGTTTGATTTGTTTCGAGTATATTTAAATTTTGAAAAAGATGACCCGAGTTGCGACATGATAAGAACTGCAACGTAATCAGAATAAATATTTGGACAATGGCTTTGATTTTTTTTATTCGATATTGCCTTCCTAAAACAGCCTGTTGAATCAAGTCTTTATCTCATTCTTTGTCGAAAAGACTTGAAGGTATTTTTTTCAAAGTAGAGTTAGAAATTGTAAAAACGACTTGCGCTTGATGGTTGACAAATTCGTCTCAATTCTGATTGTCATAAGCATTCAATATTTACAGTGATATGAATTAAATGTATTTAATAAAACAGGAACAAATGAACATTATATGGGCATACGGAGAAAAAGATATCTCAAGTCTTTCAGAATACAAATCACCAACGCGAGAAGGTTAGAATTTTTGTTGCTTACCTTATTACGAAAATTTTGTATATTTATAATACTTCAATAAAGTTGTCCTATTTTTACTGCGAATTTACAGGAATGAAGACAATAGTACTGCTTCCTGGATACAAAGATCCAACTGAAGGTAATATTCATTTTAAATTTCTGACATAGAGAATTCGAAATGGATGGAACATATTCCAAACAGTTGTGCAATTGAATCAATCGAAGCAATGAAGGTTTTGGAATTCAAAACTTAATTTTTAAACTTTAATATGGTATAGCAAAAAACGTTGAAATAAAATAAGAAATGCATCTCGACGATTTAAGAAATAATACTTGAATGCGTGCTATTCAGTAAGTATGAGTTATGAATGATCTCATTGTGTACAAGATATTCGTCACCATGATACGAAACTCTTACGTTATGCATTGATTTGAATTTATACCAACCATATGTCCATATATCTACATATTTTTCAATTTGTGATTTATCATTAAAAGACTTGCATCTTTTTTTCTAGGACGTCGGACGACAGTGGCAACGACGACAGAAGAGCCTTATGATGACGTCACAACAGCAATACCTGACATAGAAGAGGAAGAACAGCCCAAAACTCGACCTCAACCAACTGTCATATTTTTTGATGAAGCCGAAACAGCAGTAATGAGATGGATTGTCGATGATGCAATTACTTCTCAGGTACTTTTCTTTATAAAACGTTGTAATACTGAGATAACACCAGCATATTTTATTCATCTCATTCTTATTATACTTTTGCGTTTTCCACATTCCGAAACAGCATAAAAAAAATTATTTTGATTTGCGTTTTAAAAAAATATAAGAATTTGGTTGTTACCAGTAACATACCTTTATTGATATTTTGATCAACATGAAATTACAATTTATTTATATATTTATATACATACCAAATATTCATGAAGTATACTTAAATTTTAAAAGATTATTGTTCCACAAACTGATTGGCTTGGAATTGGATTCGTATCAAGAAAATCAATAGACAAAGTTGATTTTATAGTGGCAGGAGTATCATATGTTTACGTAAGTTTTAATACTTTTTCTTGAAAAGAAAAATTACGTTCATCCCCTACCAGGAACTATTATTTTTAAAATTTGTTTCTCCATCCATATAGGATTGTTGATACGATAATAGCATTAGATTCAACAAAGAGGCCTTTTATGGTAAAAATTGTTTCTTGTTTTGCTGTGATTGTTTCATGATAAACAGCAGTACTAATAATATATTTTATTTAGTTGCGTGTTAGCTTATTCTCGATATTTTATATTCACTTAGGATTGTCATATTGTTGGAAACTCAGTTCAACTTGACAAGTCTCAAAATGTAGAGTTAATAGTTTCTAATACACTGAATGGAAAAACAACAATTGTTATAAAAAGACTATTGCAAACAAATGATGAACACGACGTTGATATAATGGTAAATATTTATAATAAATATATTTGTGAATATTCCAAATTATTGTTATTATTCTTGTCTACAAAATATTAAATATTGTATTCAAATGTTCATATTGAAATTGTCCACAATATTTTTTCACAGCCGGGTACAACTGATGTATTATGGGTGTTAGGAAGTGGAGACATGTCTGACGGATTCGACGCTTCAAAAATTAATCTTAAAATGATTGGTAAGCATTTCTATTATGAAAAACATGCATTTTCGATAAAAACCATTTGTCACCATTTCAGTGATTTAAAATTGATAAATAATTTGTTTTCTGCAAATACTATAATGTCAACAGCTGGAACTTTTCAAAACAAGAAATTCTGAAATAATATATGTTATACACTTCTATTTTAGAATCAATAAAAGTAAAACTCGTTCCGGGTGAAGATATTGGTAAGTTATCGACGGTTTACAATAAAGTATTTTCTATCTACCATAATTCTGTTGAAAATGTCTACCAATATAGTTTTCAACACCAGAAAATAATAAAAGGTTTATTCAACATTCATATTATCATATTATAAAAGATAATAACAAAACAAGATTGCAATCGTTCAAATTTGATTAACCTTTTTTAAATATTTTGACTCATTCTTGGAATGCAATGTTGTTACAGTAGTCAGGAATGAAAACGAAATCTATATTAAATAACTAATCCCAGTACAATTTTTTTTTTTTAAATCTGAAACGTCAATTAAGTTTGAGATATTATTTAATTTTATTACGTGTTGACAACCGTTCTAAGGTATTTGATTAAATTGCGTTTTTCATTTTCAGAAGATGAAGAAACCACCACACCTAAGCCAAGAGCAACAGAGCCTATCACAACTGTTCCAGAAACAACTTTGGCCGAGACTACTGAACCAACAGTTTCCACAACCACGACATCACCCACAGAGGATACAACAAAGGCAAAACGTCGGACGACAGTGATAACGACGACGGAAGAGCCATATAATGACGTCACAACAGCAGTATCTGACATAGAAGAGGAAGAACAGCCTAAAGCTCGATCTCAACCAACTGTTATATTTTTTGATGAAGCTGAAACAGCACTAATGAGATGGATTGTCGATGATGCAATTACCTCTCAGGTGCTTTTCCTTTCAAAACTTAATAATACTAAGATAACGCATTTTTAATACCAGCATATTTTATTCATCTCATTCTGATTATACTTTTGCGGTTTTCATATTTCGGAAAGAATGATACTCATTTTCATTTTGATTTGCGTTTCGAAAAAAAAAAGTAAGGAATTGGAAGTTAACAATTATATATACCTTTATTGATATTTCGATCAACATGAAATTAAAGTTCATTTTTGAATGTATATATAGAAATTATTTCATAAAGTATATTTATATTTTAAAAGATAATTGTTCCGCAAACTGATTGGATTGGAATTGGATTCGTATCAAGGAAATCAATTGACAGAGCTGATTTTATAGTGGCAGGAGTATCCTATGTTTATGTAAGTTTCAATACTTTTTCTTGAATAAGAAAATTACGTTCATCCCCTGCCCTAAACGCCTATTTTTAAAATTTGTTTATTCATGCATTAAAACAACGATTCCAATTTTACTTGTCATATTCTCATGCTATATTACCGGGCACTTAGACTTATTTTTGTTTGCAGTATATTACTATGTATAAGAGTATATACAATTATTTATTTGTCATATATATAAGCTATTTCGGGTTGCCGATAAGACATTAATTAGCCTTGTTAGATGCAGCAAAGATGCCTTCTTATGGTGAAAAATGTTTGTTGCTTTGCTGTGATTGTTTCAGGATAAAAAACAGTACTAATAATATATTTTATTCACTAATTGTGAGTCACCTAATTTTCCATATTTCATATTCACTAAGGATTGTCATATTGTTGGAAACTCTATTCAACTTGACAAGTCTCAAAATGTAGAGTTAATAGTTTCCAATACACTGAATGGGAAAATAACAATTGTTATAAAAAGACTATTGCAAACAAAAGATGAACACGACGTTGATATAATGGTAAATATTTATAATAAATATATTTCCGAATAATCTAAATTATTGTTATTACTATTACCTATAGAATATTAAATATTATATTTAAATTTTCATATTGAATTTGTTTACAATATTTTTTCACAGCCGGGTACAACTGATGTACTATGGGTGTTAGGAAGTGGAGACATGTCTGACGGATTCGATGCTTCGAAAATTAATCTTAAAATGATTGGTAAGCATTTCTATTATGACATGCATTGTCGATAAAAATCATTTATCATCATTTCAAATTTTAAAATTGATAAATAATTTGTATTCTGGAAATATAATCATGTCAACAGCTGGATCCTTTCAAAACAATGAATGCTGAAACAATATATGTTACACATTTCTATTTTAGAATCAATAAAAGTAAAACTCGTTCCGGGTGAAGATATTGGTAAGTTATCGACGGTTTACAATAAAGTATTTTCTATCTACCAAAACTTTGTTGAAAATGTCTACCAAATTTAGTTTCCCAATATCAGAAAATATTAAAAGGTTTATTCAACATTCATATTATCATATCATAAACGACAATAACAAAACAAGAATACAACCGATAACATTTTGATTCATTCTTGAAATACAATGTTGTTACAGTAGTCAGGAATGAAAAGACATGTTGTGTTATATATTAAATTCCTAATCCCAATACAATCTTCTTTTTTTTAAATCTTAAATGTCGAGTAGATCCGAGATGTTATTTGATTTCATTACGAGTTGACAACTGTTCTAAGTTATCTGATCAAATTTATCTTTCAAATTTTATAAGATGAGGAAACCACACCTCAGCCAAGAGTATCAGAGCCTATCACAACCGTTTCAGAAACAACGTTGGCCGAGACTACTGAACCAACATTTCCCACAACCACGACATCACCCACAGAGGATACAACAAAGACGGTCAGACAAGTTATTATTCCTCCAACGTCGCAAGCAACAGTTCAATATACCGACACTGTAGATATAGTAATTACTGATGTCCCCACAGAAAAACCTACTCCAACACAATTTGTAAATACTGCCCCATGGACTGAAGAGAGTCTGCAAGATACTACCAACTCGGTAGAACAAGACGAAGATAGCGACGCCACTTTGGTATTCTTAAACGAGGATGTCAGTTTGCAATGGAGTATCAATGGAAATAATATAGTAATGCAGGTTGGGCGACATACATAAACTTTTATGTAATAGACTTTTTTTGAAAAGTTTGAAATATACTTAATTTATGGAAACAGACAAATAGCCATGAAAAAGATTTTTGATTAGAATCAACTGGATTTTGGAAACACGACATTTATTTCCCCATAAGGACTAAAGTTGCAATTTTCAAAATAATTCTCGTTATGTTAAGAAGGGTAATAAACTTTCGATTACAAGACCCCGATCGAAAGCAAATATATTTCATTTCTTTTTCATACCCTTTTATATTCTCTGATTCGACGTTTTATACAGTAAATGATTGAACATTTCAAACTATTAATATATAATAAAGACTTGTGTGATCTTCAATTTTAGGTTGTTGCACCAACTCTTGGATGGGTGGGTATTGGATTCTCTAAGGACGGGACCATGACTGGAGCTGACATGATGATTGGTGGTATAGATAGCGGTTCTCAATATGTTTATGTAAGTGAATATTTCATTATACTGTACGTATTTACATGACTTGTATCTTAAATCCCAATTTCATTCACATTAATTCCGTTTCATAAGTAACTGCCCAATAAGAGCGCCCAAACATTGATTAATATATTTAAAATACTCTTGTGGTTTGAGATAGTTTGTAATAATAGAAAGGTTAACAATTTTTTTTTTCAGCCAATGTACAGAAATAATGTCGCATAAAATAGTATTTTTTATCCATATGATGCAATTTTTAGGAACTTTTTTAAATGTAACATTTCTCAAGCTCCAAACTTAGACATATTAGTTATATATGAATAGAATACGATTTATCCGTTATTGACCAAACCTCGAAATGTTACTCTTTATTTACGATTTTTAATTACCAGGATACTTTTGCTGAAGTCAACGGCGTTCCAAAAGTTGATGCCTTTGAAGATGTTGTATTACTGGTTGCATATGAGAATTCTACTCATACTACACTTGTATTTTCAAGAAGCTTGAATACAGAAGATCCAGAAGATGCCATTATTAAGGTTAACGCAGAAGTGGCTGTTGTGGTTTTTTTTTTTACTTTTGTGTCAATTTTATTCCGTATTCGACCCCAATTTATATAAAATAAAATAAAAATTGTTTATCAAGGCATTAATTATTAAACCTTTTAAGTATATAAAATAAAAAAGAATTATGGCAAAATTCGGATTTAAATTTAACAACAAATAAATAGCTTATTTATTTTTTATAACACTGATAATTATTTCAGGGTGGAATGACAAACGTAATATGGGCTTTTGGAAAAAACGACATGACTGATATTCCAAGAAGAACTGACTATCATTTTGAAAACAAAGGTTATTAGATGTAAAATTCTATAGAACGAATTGATCAATGGGCTTTTTATATTTCTGAGTCTACGTGACAGATATATTAGTGATTGATTCAACACGAACGACTTAAAAAATGTATTCATACGTATATGTCTACTTCAAAGTATGGTCATCTACACAATTTCATTTTCCTAAATTCACACACCTGCTGTAATCGAGTATGTTAAAAACACAACACAGATCGCTATGACTCCAATATTTAGTTTACCTTTTAATCTTGTCGATCACAAACTGCATGGCAAATGCAGAAGGAATTTTATTGTAAACTTTTTTTTTCGAAGAAAGCAGTTTTGACCTCTCTTTTTATATAATTTGACCTGATTTTACATTTACAAATATTTTGACATATTGTTGATCGTTCGGTTAGTTTAATTTTATTTTTTACAGGTAGTAAACTAATCAAGCTTTATCCTGATCAAATTGAACATGTGGATTCGAAAAAAGAAATTAAAACTGGTTAGTATTTGAGTGACAACGTTGAACATGTAAATTTTCTACTTTTTAAATTTGAAAATTTAGTCAATCTACTATTTGATATGTTTTTCTTTCTAGGACGATCTGAAAGTACAATTCAGGCAGCCAATACACTTGAATCAACACAACAATTGTTTAGATTAAAACCCGTACCTCCCAAGTCAGTTTCTCTAGATAACGGCACCGTTCATTTACAATGGAGTGCTGACGAGAACGAAATTATAATGCAGGTACATGTTATTATATTTGCCCGGTTTCAGTAACGTACAAGCTTGATTAGTGTATAAGAAAATAAAATGAGGTATTTTTGAAATGCCAGCTTTAACAGCGCTTTACATTTATAGGTTGTTGCTCCTACACTGGGCTGGGTTGGGTTCGGCTTCTCAATGGATGAATCAATGAAAGGAGCCGATCTAATAATAGCAGGCATCATTGCTGGTGAAACAGAATATATTTACGTATGTTCTCGTTGTTTATTGTCTATCAATACCATTAATGTTTAATAAACGACTCGTCTATGTTTTGCTCAGAAAAATCCATCTTGTTATGTTTGCACTTTTCTTCTATGATAGTTCATACTGCCTGCAGGGAAATGCAGTTGATGATGGATAACATATCTGGTAACAATGAAAGCTCTTATATTTAGCCTTAGTTCTAACTACAGTAGCCGACATTTTCATATACTCATAGTTAGCACCAAATAAGTATCTATTTTTAATAATTAGGACACACATGCAGATGAAAATGGAATTCCTGAAATCGACAAACATCAAGATGGTATATTGTTAGTTGCATATGAAAATGCAACACATACTACAATTGCTGTGAAAAGAAATTTGACCGCGTACGATACCGAAGATATTTCTATAAAGGTATGTACGATTATGTGAAGCGCTTAAATAAAGATTTCTCTAATTTTTCTTACAAAAGCATATAGTTCGACCACATTTCATCGGAGTTATGCAGAAAAGTTAACTTGCCCTAAATCACTATATTTTGTTTGAATAGGAAGGAGAAATGTATGTTATATGGGCGTACAGTGATCATGATTTGACAAAAGTACCAACGTTGCCAGATTACAAATTCAAACGAAGCGGTAAGCGATGGGTTTAAATTTTTATTTTTCTCTTATTCATAAGTCTTTTAACATTTCTTTTGATTTACTTGATTTATACAATGCATATTTCAGAAAGTTAATCATAAATTGTCATTTTAAACACTATTGGTCCTTCCATATCAAAAGTATATTATTTAAAAACTAAGAAAACGATATAAGGAGTGATGAGATTTGGGTCGTTCGCCCGTTCTTGTAAAATGTTGCACGAGGGAACCTGTTGTTAGTGATACAAAACAGAACCTGTTTATAAAATTTTGAAGCCCACTACTGAATGTTAAATAATGTATAATTTTCAAAGTTAAATGTGGTTACTTTCATTGGTTTTTAAATGTTTAAAGAATTCCATAATTATATACTTAACTCATTCAAGTTTTAACCCAATTGTTGTCACCAAAATTGATTGCATACCCAGATATTGACAAACCAAAAAAAGTAATTACGTGTCATATCATAAAAATGCATAAAGAATTATGTCAGAAGTTATGTTATTATGTTCTTGCATTCTATAGCGAAATAAAAAATAATTTATTTCTTTTAGTTAACTCAATCAATTTCAATTTTGCGTGAATGATCTTTGAATATTCTTTTATAGTTCAGCATTATGATATCAATAATACCATTTAAATATATTCTTTATTATGTTTATGTTCACACTATTATGTTGATTTGTATCTGAGGGTTAGTATCAAGATTCATATATCAATATTTCATCCACTTTGATTTTAATTTTTTTGTTTTGTTATCAAGGTTCGAAAGCTGTAGAACTATGTCCAAAATCAGAGCATGATGGTAAGTTCTTATCAACAATTACTTTAGAATAGAAACAATAGTTAAGATTAGAATATTTAATAATATTTGAGATAAGATAATAATTGGTATTGACTAAAAAATTGTTATTGGGTCATTTCCAGATTCAAATACAACTGCAAACAGTGCAGATGGAACGCTCTTCACCCAAACAGCCAAAATGCACGGAAAAATAATCATACTACCTCGAGGATTACTACGACCGCCTAGCTCTCCGTCAACACAACTTCCTTCTTATGCGAATATATCATCACTGGAAATAAATAAGACAAGTGTTGAAACAAAAAATGTTACTCAAATACCAAATATTAAATCTGTCGATCGAGGACTCAATAACTCCACCGCGTCTGGGCAGTACAGAGCTATCTCGAGCACTCCTGCGTCCCATGGTACTTTCAACTCGACTCCTACAATACACAAAATGCAATCGTTGAACATCGATACCACTACGACAAATACAAAAGAAAACTCTTCCATTAGTCAAAGCTATGTAAAACAGAAACAAAATGTCTTTACGAAAGTTTTTGAACTTCCGAATATGATGTGGTTGGACAAAAATAGAACTGTTTCATTGAAATGGATCACAGATAAAAAGAATCTAATCTTACAGGTGAAATAAAAGCTTTTATTTACTTTACTCTTAATATATCAAAATCTTTCTAGTCAGAAGCTGCGTAGCACTTTAGAGAAGTTTTCTTCTCGATTGTACTTGAAGGTTGTTAGCTGGGTTCCAATTGTTATTGTGTATATTAATATTATTTCAGGTATTTGTTTTTAGAGTTGGACGCTTGTTATAGATAAGAAGAGATAATAATATTTTACATTTTTTTTTATCCAATAATGTATGCAGATGTCAGCACCCACTACTGGTTGGATTGGTATCGGTTTTTCTCCCTATGGTACGATGGCCAAATCTGATATGGTTGTTACTGGAGTATCGAAAAATAAAGTTTATGCAATGGTAAGTGTAGAGCGTAAATTGTATAATGCATTTACTTCCTAGCTTGCAATTTAAACACGCCTTCATTGTCGTTCTCAGGACACAAATGCAAGACGTAATGGTGTACCAAGATTAGACGAATCCCAAGATGTAAATGCGTTGTTTTTCAGTCAGAATGAAACACATACGACAGTAATGATTCAACGTAAAACAAATACAGGAGACAGAAGTGACACTGTAATCACGGTTGGTAGCTTTTTGTGAAAGAAAATGCAGTACCTCCAAGACCGATCGAAAAACGTTAAAATGAAAAATAAATCATCTAATTAAGCATGGTATTGAACATTAGGTGTCGTCAACAAACTCACGTAAACAATATTTGAATATTTACAGGATGGAGACATGCACGTGATTTGGGCATATGGAAATTCCGATATCAAAAATTCTCCAAGAAAGTCGCATTATCATGGAAAAAATAAAGGTATATAAGGAAACCATATTCATATTATCCTAAAAAATCACTTCCTTCAATTGGTGGAATTATATTTAAATAACCCGAAAATACCTCCGAATAGCCCGAGCTTCTTCTAATTTCTTACCGAAAACAGTGCAACAATAGTGAAATAAATACAAAATGAATAATTTCTCTCAATTTTTCAATTTCAGGGTCAATGACGATAAACTTTTTAGTGGATCCAAAAAGTGGTGAGTATTTGAGCATTGTCATAAGCATTACTAGAAAAGTAAGATCTCAAAACTCATTTTGATATTACGATGGCATTCAAATATTGTTACATATATATTTATAAGTATAATTGTATTGTTATAGATTTTTGAAAGCTTTGTTAAATGTTTAATATGCATTCCAATAAAAACCCAACTGATTTAAACATTAAGTATAATCGTTATAAATCCAATGCAATTATCTGTTATCTAGGTTCTTCAATAGACTACAAGGGTTTTGTTGCTCTCAGTGCTGCTGTGGCGTTGGCGGTTATTTTGTATTCAAAAGTTAAAAGATGAAGAGAATGTATAACGCCTCTTTACAACTTTTATCCCTAATTTTACCTGTAAAAGTTTGATGTTAATTTAAATGCGCAGAGGCAATCGTAATGATGTTTATTGATAAAGCTTTTCAGCAAAAATGAAACTTTCTCGGGTTTAAATGTATTTCTCCTCGAATAAAGCTTTGAAGACATAAAAATATTGTAAATTTGATATGTAGATTCGACTATTAGGTAGAAATCGGATTCCAATTTTGGTTTTTAAGAATGCCTTTTGAGTAGTTTGAAAAGGAAACGTATTTTCGAATTCTCTGCGTTGGATTCATCATACTCGGTTGCCCAAAGTGAAATAGGTTGAAATTAATATCCTCTCCGATAGAGCATTAGCCCATTCATATGGTAAATGTTGCTTAACCAACATTCACAGGTCCAAACTATCTATATCGCCAATGAAATGATGTAATTTTTTTATAGTACCTATTTCATTATATATATTCATAGTTTAGGAGGAATTGCGACTGAGAAGAATATTAGCATGAGGTGTTTTTACCTTTTTCTCCAAACAAGACTCTGAGCTACCAGTCCCCATTCACTGATAGTATTTATCCATTAGCAACTCGAAGTCTGAAATGATATTTTCATGTCATTTTGATCAAAAACTCAGGTTAACTAGGACGAGATGATAAGCGAAGAGTAACCGACTAGATTACTATTACGCAAACCCTGCAATTATGAGTTGGTGCACGCTTACCCACCAACCTATTGCGTCTATGGGTGTAACGGAGCAATAGATTCAATTTAACTTTTTAAATAATAAAAAGCAGTCAATGTTACGTGTACAAACTAAAATTATAATGCATATCCTCAGAGCTGTAGCGGGTAATAGAAGTAAAACATTTGTACGCGATCTTGGTTGTTGTTTATTAGAACAACTTGCCAATCATACAATTGGAGATGGTATTTGGTACGATTTTCGGTTATTTCTTTATGAAAATTTGTTCAATTTCCAGTGTAAACTTGAAATTCAAATCGCCGTAGTGAAAAAATACTATGGTTAAAGCACGTGTAAACTGGAAAATAAATGATCAATTAGTATAACTAACATATAAAATACAATAAACTGACCCGATCTGTTGGTTTCGTGACTTTTATTGATGGCTGTTAGAAATTAACTCCAAAATGTTGGTATTCATAATTATAATATATATTTTACAAACAATTAGAATGATATACTCTATGGTTTGTATACAACTAAAACAATTTCATCTTATAAAATGTCTGCACAATAGTTATTCATGTATCTTTCAGGCCATGTCTCTCTCGCATATATATCTGTAAATTCCTGAACATGACGTGTCGTCGAGGTCTGTCGGCCAATCGTATTGGATCGTCCCGCAGTCTTGATTTCCGTAATTATTAGGTTCTCTGGCTCTCCAAGGAGTGTTGGATTTTGTTGACGTCACCCCATCAGACCAGATAAAACTTCCTTCATTTTGAATATCATTTAAGCCTACCCAGAGGCGAAGTCTTGATGCCCGTACTGCATCAAATATTGTTTTCTGTGTTGACGAGTCCCGAATAATTTTTGCAATTAATCGTGCGTTCCTAGATTTACAATCTTCGTCAGCAACTTGCCATGTTGTAGCTTGTTGACTAATCCAGTATTTGTATCGATTTTGTATAGTTACCCATCCTTCTTCTAATTCTTCAATTCTTGTTCTTAATTGTTCCAATTCAATTATTACTTCTGGTGATGAGTCACCTTTCGGTCAAGGGTAACCACGCAGACCCCTTTCACCTTTTTCGCCAGGGGGTCCCTGGGGCCCAACAAAACCGCTTTCTCCTTTCACTCCGGAACTCCCTTTGTCTCCTTTTGGGCCTTTTGGCCCGACGGCGCCTCTTTTACCAGGTCTACCTATTCCACTATTTGCAGGTTCCCAATCAATGTCCAATGTCAATCTAGATCGAGAACTGTCGTGTTGTACTGAACATGTCGAATCCAGAATGACTTTGGGCAAAGATACGATAAGTAGAATCAGTGAAACTGAAAACATCATGATAAACTACAGAAAACAGAAAAAATAGCACATAGTTTAATGACAGTTACTTCATTGGCTGAAGTTCACTGCTGCCTAATATTCACAAAGATGAATATAACACTAAATATGCTTCACACACTTTTTCATTAGAAAAACAAGAATTTTTTGATTCGCTGCAGTCTGGCTGCTCATGGCATTAACGGTTAACAGCGATAGGAAACCCAAGTTCCGAAAGTCGACAGTTTTATGACTACTGATATATATAAACTATTCAGCCACCTACGTATTGCGTGTCAAAATTTTCTAAAACAAGATTTGACTAGGACTGACCTAGATCTAAAACACCATGTAGGCATTCAGAAAATTGTCATCTAGTAAAGACAAATATTGATATGCATACATATTACAAAGGGGACATTGAACTTTTCAGCAAGCTACCGAATAGCTAACTGTATATACATTAATAATACAGCTATTTACTTGTTCTCGTATTTATCTATTTTGCATGCCACCTTAAACTAGCAACAGTTTCACGAAGAACACAAAATGATATTCATTCATTGTTAGTTGAAGCTTATTTTGACTGAAAAGTTCAACAAACATTAAATAACAGTTATGTTTACGGATTAGGTTTTTTTTATCTTATAACTAGCTGAAGCAAAACTTGAGAAGATATGACAAATTAGAACATCACGCATAATCATCGGATCTTTCATTTATGCATTCCAAATATTCTCTGATTTTGACTTTGAAAAATATTTTCTCCAGCTATTTATTTAACAATTTTTAGCCAAGCCCGTGTATTTTTTATTTAATTTTGATGAACTTCTATTTGCATCTAAGACGAGTAGATCTTTGAAGGTTCGTTTGGTAAGTTATATCTGTAGCGAGACATGCAGTATGAATTGCTTGTAGCTCGTATTTCACGAATTGGACATACAGACCGCTTGTTGTTGTTGTTGTTGTTGTGTTTACCTGTCACGATTGTTCTACGACCATAGCTCTAAGGGTAAGGCAGGGATGGCAAATCTTTTAAATAAAAATCGGCAAAATATTAAATTTTTACTGTGGGAAAGAAGACTGTAGGTCAACGTTTGCATTATTAAGATACTTGATGTTGTATATTTTATGCAAGTCTCATAATCCTTGTTAAGTATTATGTAGTCTTGAGCTGTAGACATGTCGCTCCCACATATTTGTTGTTGAAATATCATTGCTTTCATCAACAATCAGGGTATGAAATTTCTTTGTCTTATGCTTTGTAAGATTTCTTCCCTGGCGACAAAGTCCATGCTCTTCAAAAATTCAAAGCCTCAATTTTTGTTTCAACATGAATGTGGCAATTAAGTCTATTCTGACACACGACTATTTATTACCTCGCGGGACAATATTGATGAATTCAGCTTAACACGTGGTAGAACACTATCTATGTGAGGCTTTATTTCGAAACTTCACTTTCTTCAGCGGTAGGTATTGCGGTGAGAAAGTTTGAACAACCTCCTCTTTCTTCCAAGTTTCGCCTCTGATTTAATGCAACTAGTGCAGTGGTTTCCAACTATTCTAACCTGACGAACGGTTAAATTAAATAAAATGTATTCGCGGACGGGCAAAAAGTGAAATAGATGGAACACAAAATAATAACATATATTTGCGTTACAAAATGCAGTGCTGGGCACCCATTTCGCGTAAAAAATGCACCCAGAAAACACCTCACATAAAAAACATGTACATGCCAAATCATGTACAAACACAATTACCTCTAGCGAGTATTTGCTGTTGTTTCGTTGCCAATACAAGATTGCAAACGAGGCATAAAGGAGCTCTGCAGCGGCTCACAGTCTATTTCTTTGCTTCGTTTTAATTAGCTAAGCTAGCGAGTATAAAGTTTTTTTCGTACAAGTAACTGGTTGAATATTTGGACAACAGTTTAATTGCTCGATTACCTAGCGATGGGTATTCGTTATCGAGAGAACTCAAATATTGTGACAGTGATTCTTTTATAAATCTGGACTGTAAACTAGTGGTTTCATCGGGTTCACCATATTATCCGCCTGCAGTTGATCGGAGCCCCAGACAAAATGAATTTATATTACAATGATGCTAACTGTAGTTGCTAACTTGGCACCAGGGGGTGCTGCTGTGCTTCAACTAGGAAATATCTCAATGTTTTTGTTACACGTCTCATGACCACCTGCTGGGCCGCAACAAGGTCATATCTTGCTTGATCCCAAGGCATAGTCTGTAATATTATACAGTTCTTGACTGTTTTCTGGTTCAAACAAAGAGATATTCATAACCTTATATTTGGATGGTAATAATATTGAAGAAGAGCATGCAGAACGGAAAAAGCACGCATGCTTATTTCCAGGTTTATGAATCTTGCGAGATTTGACGGAGCGATTTCGCGATGAATCGGAAACGAAAAAACGAAAAGTGTGATTACACATCGCCAAGACGTTGCCGGGCGATTAATAACGCCCTCACCAAACAGTAATATGACGGGCGGAAGAGAAATGCGTAATAAACCAAGTAAATCCGTCTTCTTGTATTCGATAAAGCGATCAGACGGTAGGAAACAACAAAACGAAATTTCTTGCTGAACGGCATAAAAGCTTCATGGAAGGCACCGGCGGTTGGGAACCACTGATCTAGTGCGTCAATATGCTTTTTCTGATTTAAATGGCGTTTTTGATAGTCAACTTCCCATTCCCAACCACGATTTGCCTCTTCCAAATCACTATTAGGTGCCACTTCCCGACAAACTTTGCAGATAATCACATCACATTCCTTGACACGGAATAGCGATAAATTTCGGAAAGTTTAAGAGTTTTTTTTAACTTCTAAAAACTACCGGTATCACGATTGCAAATTGGTGTCAAACACTCTTCTGTTGCATTTAGCCATTCCACTTTAAAATCAATGTTCTTGTTTTTAGCCATGCTACCCGGAATATACATTTTACTCACACGTCAGATAAATAATCTTAGTATATTGGTTTTGGTTAATAAACCACTCATTCTAGTAACCTGCTGAATATTAAAACGCTTAAAACCCTTTTAGAAATTTCAGGTGAAACATACTTATTATATAACATCGGTATCATTCAGTATAACCTCATGGTATCGTGTGTCCCAATCTGGAGATTCAAGAGCCGACGGCGCTAGCACTTGCTTGAACTCAGTCCTCCTTCAAATCCCAACTAGTTCAGCCCAGCCATACGGCTAATAGCGAGCAACCAACAAGCTTCCTGTAACAAACAGTGAGCACCAGCTTTGCAACATTTTAAACCTGTTAAAATTCTAAACCTTCCATATCTTCATCTGTATTGACTACATACAAGATTTTGTCGGGTCGACAACACGAAATTCATAGCGCACGATGAAAATTTCAAAATGCGGCACCGGCCCACCGGCATACAGAAATCAATGTACTTGAGAGCGTGACATACACGTGTTTGACATCACAGTGACCAGTGGTCACCAAAATACGCGTGAAACATAGAACGAGCATTCAAGTTAAGCGTTAACAAATATGACATATGAAATATGAATCATGCTTTGAAAACGAAATGTTGCAACTGCGCGAGAATGAGATTTTACTGCGCAAATGTCTGTTGGCACTGGATAATTGCGCAGTTGCGCGGCTTAGAGGGAACCATGTGCGAAAACACGGATTGGTATGCTTACGGATTAATAAAAAAACTCTTATGATTTACGGCAAGTCTTTTCATGGTTTCAAAAAAGTTTGGAAGAGAATTCAACAGTGAGTGAAACCTCACTACATTCACTACTATTCTGCCTCTTTGTTATTTTTAGATTTCTGTGGTCGATAATTTAATTAGTCAATAAATTTCTTTTTTCCAAACGGCATTGATGCAGGAAAATAATAAACTAATTGTAATAAAATAGCATTTGTTCCGTAAAACCCAAAATCACTATGTGGTCCCCTTCAATTCGTACATTTACCACTGAAATGTTTTCCCATTGACCCGCGACTGTGGGTCACTGGCGGGTTAGTGGTTCGCCATCCCTGCTCTAAGGACTCACTTGACCGGTATCGATGCGCGACTATCGTGTCCATGTATTTGAGAATAGCTTTATTACTTATCGATTTTAATCGGTGAATATGTTGATAGGTATTTGTCTGACCGTATGTCTGTTTGTCTGTTAGATGCACGCGATATCTCCCGAAAGCGAGATTGAATCTGCTCCAGATTTTGCATGTGCATTCATCTTATCTCGGACCAGAAGCCTATTATTTTGGGCGAATTATGTCGTATAATTAGCGAGTTAATAATTAATTAGTGATGGGACACAGGGTGTCACTATGGAGTAAGAGCGCTTTTTTGGGGGATCCCCTAACTTTCGATCGATAAGTCTTCGGTCTCTGACACATATTCTCGTTGTCCTAATAGGAGGTTAGAAAGGAAATCTTGTTCATTTAACTATGGGTGATTGCTTCTCGAAGCAGCATTACTCAAACTATCATCATCATATCTACAACTAATTAGGTAATGCCATATAAATCTACTAAGGCGTCACAACGACGCCGTCATAAAATAAACGCCCGGAGGAAGTCGTGACTAGTCAAAAATAAATGCTGAATAGATGAACGTAAGAATTAGCTTTACCGTGTTTTAATATAAACAAATAATAATTATAATCGTATTCCAAGTGAGTTTCAATGAAGGCAAGTAAATAGTTTGGGAGAATGTTTGTTTGGCAATACCTCTTATTGCTGAAAATGAAGAAAGTAATTCATTATGTATGATATTAAAGGCGTTGGTACTGACTTTATCTGTACCAGTGTAAATTTGCATTCAGTCTAGTATGAATTTAAAGTTAAATAGCTATTGTTTAAACGTTTTTCTCTCAAACCAAATTAAAATTGGCGGGCGAAAACTTCTCTTCTTAAATTACCACGTCAAGCGATCCATCGCGTCGTGTATTTCAGTTGAAAAACTTTAATCGAACAGCATTTTTGTGAAAACAACTCATTATTTTATCATGACCAAAATTGTTGCTCGTTTCGGACTCCCGAATCCATTTAAGAATGAACATATAATAATTGCAAAATTAACCGATAATCCGGCTTTTCAATCCATCGAGTTACATCAACTTCACAAATAGCTTCGGGGCTGTAAATAAATATTTTGTCTTCGGAACCAAAAGAGGTGCATCTATTCAAAACTCAAATATAGTACAATGAAGTGTAATTATGGGTTGACGCGTAATTTATAACAGATTATGAATGGCAAACATATTTTGTAACTTATTACAAAGTATACTTGTTTTTATGATAACCTATATATAGTTATCAAAAGTTCAGAAGATGTTAAAAAAATCAGAATATAACAGTATTCGTAACCATATTTTGTTGCAAAGTATCAATTGTCGAAATTATTGCCACCATCGGGAACCCGGATTATGGCCTCAATATAACACGCTGTTATTACCTAAATGTACAATTGTTCAAGTTGTTGATGCATTATGTCTGTGTCCATATTTTTAATTCGGTTTAATTAGGCAATTCGAGCTGATCTGAGCAATAACCTTGGGGCTTTGACCTTACGAAATCTTGTTAGACGCATACTGCTATAAAAATTCATGAATTCAATTGGAAATTTAGATAATTTTTTTAAATAGGAATACTGCGTAATTTTAGTTTAGCTTTATTATTCGATAATGTATATGATTGGAACACGAATCGTCAATAACTTGATTTTGATATACTATCAATATCTCCTAATGTATACAATTTGAGAAGCGACATTACAATTCCGATTCCAAATAAAAATTTATGGATTTGATTGTATTATACATTTTAATTAAGCACTTAATAAGGGTTTATACAAACATATACGTCATTTATTTGAATTGGGACCCTTTATAAAAGCTGTCTCACCTCTCATAAGCCTCATTCGCTCTCGCTCTATTGTACATAAAGAAATATAGGAATGTCCGGTTGTATTTGAGAAGACACCGTAAACGGTTTTCCGAGCAAATATGTTTTTTAGCATGTTTTGTATTGAAAACAGTGCAAAATGGTGCAACAAATACAAAATAAACAATTTCTATCTTTTTTTTTCTAAAATGAATATTTTCAATTTCAGGATCAATGACGATAAACTTTTTAGTGGATGAGTATTCAAGTGGTGAGTATTCAAGTATTCGAAAATTTTAGATTTCCATGAGCATTTCTAGAAAAAGTAAGATCTCAAAACGCATTAGGATATTACCATGGTTTTCAATTATTGCTACATATCTATAAGTATAAGCGTGTTGTTGTCAATTTTTTTCGTTAAATGTTAAATGAGCATTCCAATAAAAATCAACCCGATTTGAACATTAAGTATAATTCGTAATAAATCTAATGCAATTATCTGTTATGAACGTTCTTCAATAGACTACAAGGGATTTGTTGCTCTCAGTGCTGCTGGCGTTGGCAGTTATTTTGTATTCAAAGATGAAGGAGATTTACAACGTCTCTTTACAACGTTCATCCCTAATTTTACCTGAAAAAGTTTGATGTTAATTTTAATGCGCAGAGGCAATCGTAATGATGTTTATTGATAAAGCTTTTCAATAAAACTGAAACTTTCTCGGGTTTAAATGTAATTTTTTTCGAATAAAACTTTGAAGACATAAAATTATTGTAAATTTGATATGTAGATTCGACTATTGGGTAGGAATCGGATTCCAATTTTGGGTTGTAGGAATGCTTTTTTAGTATTTTAAACAGGAAACGTATTTTCAAATTCTCTGCGTTGGATTCATCATTTTCGGCTGCCCAAACTGAAATAGGTTGAAATTATATATATATCATTTCCGATGGAACATTAGCTCATTCATATGGTAAAAGTTGCCTTACCAACATCCACAGGCCCAAACTATCTAGGTCGCCGATGAAATCATGTAAATTTTTTTAAAGGTACCTATTTTATTATATTCCCAGTTTATGAGAAACTGCAGCTGAGAAAATATTAGCATGAGGTGTTCACCTTTTTCTCAAACAAGACTCATTCCCTGATAGTATTTATCCATTAGCAACTCGAAGTCCGAAATGATATTTTCATGTCATTGTAAACAATAATTTAGTTTATCCTGGATGAGATGATAGGCGAGGAGTACCAAACGTGGTCACTATTATACGTATATCCTGGAATATGACTTAGTGCACGCTTACCCACCAACCTATTGCATCTGTGGGTGTAACATAGCAACACGCTAAATACAACGTTTTAAATAGCAAAAAGAAGTCAATGTTCTTTGTACAAGCTTAAATTATAATGCATATTCTCAACGCCACGGCGGGTAATATAACTAGAACATTTGTACGCGATCTTGGTTGTTGTTTATTCGGATAACTTGCCAATCATACAATATTGTAGATATTATTGGGTACGATTTTTTAATATTTTATTTGTAAAAATTCGTTCAATTTCCAGTAGAAACTTCAAATCGTCGTAATGGGAAGAATACTATGATTAAAGCACGTGTATTGTAATATATATTTTACTAGCAATTGGAAGTATATACTTCTAATACAATTTCATTTCAGAAAACGTCTGCACAATAATTATTCATGTATCTTTCAGGCCACGTCCCTCTCGCATATATATCTGTAAATTCTTGAACATGGCGCGTCGTCGAGGTCTGTCGGCCAATCGTATTGGGTCGTAACGCAGTCTTGATTTCCGTAATTATTAGGTTCTCCGGCTCTCCAAGGGGTGTTAGATTTTGTTGACGTCTGCCCATCAGACCAAATGAAACTACCTTCATTTTGAATATCATTTAAGCCTACCCAGAGACGAAGCCTTGATGTCCGTACTGCATCAAATATTGTTTTCTGTGTTGACGAGTCGCGAATACTTTTTGCAACTAATCGTGCGTGCCTAGATTTACAATCTTCGTCAGCAACTTGCCATGTTGTAGCTTGTTGACTAATCCAGTATTTGTATCGATTTTGTATAGTTACCCATCCTTCTAATTCTTCGATTCTTGTTCTTAGTTTTTCCAATTCAATTATTGCTTCTGACGATGCGTCACCTTTCGGTCCAGTGTAACCACGCAGACCCCTTTCACCATTCTCGCCAGGGGGCCCCTGGGGTCCAACTACACCACTGTCTCCTTTTACTCCGACACTCCCTTTGTCTCCTTTTGGGCCACTTGGCCCGATGGCCCCTCTTTTACCAGGTCTACCTATTCCATTATTCGCATTTTCCCAATCAATATCGAGGGTCAATCTAGATCGAGAACTGTCGTGTTGTACCGAACATGTCGAATCCAGAATGACTTTGGGCAAAGATACGATAAGTAGTATCAGTGAAACTGAAAACATCATTATTTTTCTACAACTGCAAAAAAACAGAAACAAAGAGCACATACTTTTAATGACAATCACTTTATTGGTTGGTCTGAAACAGCGAAGTGCACTGCTGCCTAATATTTACGAAGATTAATATAACACTAAACATGTTCCATACGCCTTTTCATTAGAAGAACAGGAATTTGGGTAGCTCATGATATCAAGAATTAACGATTAACGAAACCAAAGTTTTGAAAGTGATTGTCGACAGCTCTATAACTAAGGATATATATAAACTATTTATCCACCTACATATTGCATGTCAAAATTGTCAAATAACAAAATTTGACGAGGTCTGACCAAGATCTTAATTCAACACAATGCAGGCATTCTGAACATTGTCTCTTAGTAAAGACAAATATTGACATACATACATAATACAATGGGAGCATTGAACCTTTCAGCGAGTTACCGAATAGCAAACTGTATATGGACTAATAATACAGCTATTCAATTGTTCTGACATTTTATTTTGGATGCCACATCAAACTAGCAACAGTTTCATGAATAAGAAAAAATGATATTCATTATTCGTTGAAGCTTATTTTGACTAAAAAAGTTTAACAAACACTAAATAACAGTTATGTTTACGTAATAGATATTTTTATCTTACAACTAGCTGAGGCAAAACTTGATTAAATATGACAAATTAGAACATCACGCATATTTATCGGATCTTTCATTTTGTGCATTCCACTTTCAGTACATTTTTTGATTCAACCATGGGAGAATATGTTCTCCAGCTTTTAATTAACGAATTTTAGCCAAACCTGTACAATTAGTGATATTTATCAATTTTTTATATTTGATGAATTTTTGTTTGCCTTTAAGGCGAGAAGATCTTTGAAGGTCGTTTGGTAATTTATACAAAATATCTGTTGCAAGACATTCTTCAAGTTCGCGACTTTCAGATCTGTTGTTGTTGTTGTTATGTTCACCGGTCACGATTGTTCGTTGATAATAGCAGCAAAGTCAATGATCTACGCCAGTGATCTTGAACATGTACAACATGCACTCATGACGCACTTACTTTGGGAATGAACCAATTTCTGGTACTCCACTTTAGAAAAGTCATTTGCGAAAACACGGATTGGTATGCATACGGATTGACGAAAAACGTTTATGCTTTACGGCAAATCTTTTCATAGTTTTAAAAAAGTTTGGAAGAGAATTCACAATTGAGTGAAACTACACTACATTTAACCCTCCCTTTCTCTTCTGTCCCTTTGTTATTTTTAGATTTCTGTGAGTGATAATTTAAGTGTTGTATTGCATGCGGGAAAATAATAAACTGCAAAGTAGCATTTGTTTTGTATGAAACAAAAATCACTACTTGGTCCCCTTGAGTTTACACATGTATCACTGTATTGAACCCAATATCACTTTTCCCATATTAATTCTTGACTTTGGGTCATTGATGGGTCAGTGGCTCGCCATCCCTGCTCTAAAGACTCGCGTGACCGTTATCGATCGCGACTTTCGTGTCCGTGTATTTGACAATAGCTAGATTTGTCTATTGAGATTTAAGAAGAAAATAATGTTCATTCAACTAGAGGCGGCTACTTTGTAAGGCATTACTCAAATTATCGCTGTCATATCTACAATTAATTTGGTAACGCCATGTACAACTACTACAAGGCTGATTTTGATAACACGCTGGCAAAACGGGGCGTCGTTTTTAAAACGATGCAGACTCAGGTATCATAGGTTATCCTCACAAGGTAAGTAAGATAAACAGTTTACACGTTTCACTTATATTATCTAAATATTTAGCTAAAAACGAGTTATATCTGGTTATAATTACGCTTCCGCGTACTTCAAAAGCCACTGAGCGTACTTACATTATTTTAGATAATTTACATTAAAATGCCGAAAAAACAGACAATTTATACGTAATAATGACGCCGTCATAAAATAAACGCCAGAAGGAAGTCGTGACTTGTCAAAAATAAATGCTGAATAGGTATACGTAAGAAATAGCTTTACCGTGTTTTAAAATAAACAAATAATAATTATAATCGTATTTCAAGTGAGTCTCAATGAAGGAAAGTAAATACTTTGGGAGAATGTTTGATTGGCAATATCTCTTATCGCTGAAAATTAAGAAAGTAATTCATGATATTAGAGGCGTTGATGCTGTCTTTTCGTGTTCCAGTGTATACTTGCTTTCAGCATAGTATGAATGCTGAGATAAACAATTTTCACTCAAACTAAATGAAAATTTGCGGTTGGAAACATCGCATCATAATTTACCACAAGCGATCAATCGCATCGTGCATTTCGGTTAAAAAATCGAAACCGTTGTATAAACAACCTATCATTTTATCATGGCCCGAATTTTTGCTCGTGTCGTACTACCGAATCTAATCAAGAATGAACAAATAACCGTAATTGCAAAAATAAACTAATAATCAATAGCCACCTAATTTGGATTTTTTATCCGTCGAGTTACATCAACTTGCCAAATAGCTTCGGGGCTTCAAATGAATATTTAGTCTTTGGAACAAAGATGTGATTCAGTCCAAACCTCAAGAAAGGTACAATAAAGTGTAATTATAGGTTGACGCGTAATTAATAACAGATTATTATTAGCGACCATATTTTATATTAACTGAACACAAAATATACTAGTTCTTATGATAACCCATATATGTATAATTTTTTAAATGTTTATTGTTTCATTGTTTGCGATGGCAATAAGAGAAATACAAAAGCTCTACAATGATCTTATATTGCAAATAACGTGCAATCAAAATAACCCAAAATATAACAGTATTTGTAACACATTTCATTTTGTCGCGAAGTATCAATTGTCGAAATTATTGCCACCATCGGGATCCGGATTATGACCTCATAGGAACATGTTGTTATTTAATCCCATAATTTCCACTTGATCCGCAAATGTTCAATTGTTAAAGTTGTTGATGCATTATATCTGTGTCCATATTTTTTAATTCGGTTTAATTAGGCAATTTGAGCCGATCTGAGCAATATCCCTGGGGCTTTGACCTTACGAAATCGTATTGGACACATGCTGCTATAAAAATTCATGAATTTAATTAGCAATTCAGAGAACTTATTTTGAATAGAAACACTGCGTACTTTAATTTTAGCTTTAGTATTCGATAAATTATATCATTGGAACACGAGTTATCAATAACTTGAACTTAATGAAGTACTAATATTTCATAATGTATACAATTTCGAATCCAAATTGAAATTTACGAATTTGATTGTACTCTTTAATTAGGCAATTAATAAGGATTTATACAAACATATACGTCATTTAATTGAAATCGGGACCCTTTATAAAAGCTGTCTTATCTCTCATGAGGCCCATTCATTTTATTGTACATAAAGAAATATAGGAATGTACGGTTGTATTTTAAAAGATACCGTAAACGGTTTTCCGAGCAAATCTGCATCGTTTGTTTTAGTGAATAAGCTTGGCTCGTGTGAATTCTCATAGTTGTAGTTAAATTCGAAATCTGAATATTTCAATGTAGAAAATGGGTATTATTTATTTCCAATTTTAAACGAACTCGGCTCTAAACAAGCAATAAAAAGTATTAAAAGATAATGGATTTATTTAGTAATCAAATGGTAGTCGCAGTTGGTAATAATAGAGCTTTGAAGATTTAGTTCGCTAAATTGCGAAAACGAACATAATCTAATAGGAACATCTGATTAAAATTCGCCTTTGCCTCGGTCATTGTTATAAAAATTTCGTTTTACATTTTCAATTAGATATCCAACATCTTTATCAATATGAGAGTCACAAAAGTACTAGTCATATTGATGGTGTCAATTTATGGAGTTTTTGGGGCAGTTCTGCCAGATTCGTCAGAATCTGTTTATGATGGATCAATGGAATTAGCCGAGGGTGTATATTTAGAATGGAAAGTAGAAGGAGACTTTATACTTTTAAGGGTTAGTAGTAAAAATTTTAAAATTGTTTAATGTAAATAAATGAATATCAAACGATATTCTGTTGTGTTCTATGTTGTCCTCGTTTTGTATAAAACCAGTTAAAGAATGTAATATTTAAAATGGGCAATAAAAATCACACCTAATACATAACCCACATGTATTACTATGAATTTTATTTAAATATACACAGGATCAAACAATTTTTTAAATCACGTTTCAATAGCTAATTTATATTTAAATTATACGCGACCTTCTAAAAATATTTTTCAAATTACTACGTGTAATTCCGTCGAAAGCCTTCCAGGATTAAATCAATTTATCTAAATCAATTTATTAGTCACCGATTTAAAACTTGTTATATCGTTTCAGCTCGACTACATGGCGACAGGATGGATTGGCATTGGATTTCCTAAAACTACGAAGGCACACGGCATGAAAGACTCTGATATCATAATGGGATGGGTGAATAACAATAAAGGATATGTTTTGGTAAGTGCAGTGAGCATACTGGGACACTGCTTGCAAAGTTTCTTAGTAGTATGAGTTGAATTGGTTAGTCAAACGTAATTTGTTATCGACGTCATGTCTCATTTCACTATGGCAGCTTTCTTTATTACGAGATTTGTATCATTTTATTTTATTAATTCAATTCACATTGAATTGAAAATGTCCATGTTTGGGCTATGTAGCAAAAGTGTTGTGTTTTCAAAGGACGCATACGCAAAGAAGAACGGAGTTCCAGAAGTAGATTCCACCTCTGATGTTGAGATCATCAGTGCAAAAGAAGAAGGGGGTTTCACAACCATGGTTTTCAAGAGACCAATCGTTGCAATAAATAAAGATGACGTCACAATTGAGGTATAATTATTCAAACAATTTGCGCAAATTCTGTTTCAATTAAAAATCCCATACAAATCAAATGTAAGATGATAAGAGTTGTGCTCGATTATATTGTAACGCTCAAGTGGAACATTTTTTCCGTAGTCATGGATTTTATTTAGATAAGTGGTTTTAAAATTTTTCAGTTTCCTATATTCCCACATATAATTTTAGATAACAATAGATTAGAGGTTATTTGCTGAACTCAATTTATAAATTACAGGTTTAGTTTACATAGAACTTTAAATAATGAATATATTACCACAGGAATATTGCTATTTTATTTGCTGGTAAAAAACCTTGTTATACCATTTTGGAAGAGATTTGTCATAAAACTTATAGTCTGCCTGTATGCATTAAGTTCCAATATGCAACTTGTTCTCAGAATCTCAGATTTTTTTGGAGATGCGAGAAAAATATACACTGTATTGTTGGTAGTCAAGAAACTCGATATATTTGAATATGTGATTCCAAACTTGATACGATAATCATCCTTGTAGCAAAAATTTATTTCATTTGAATTATCCAAAGGACCCGCATTTAGTTGCAATGTATTAAATTTTTGTGGCAAATATGGTTCATTCTAAGTTATTTTTAAATTTTGCAGAAAGGCGAGATTGCAATTATTTGGGCGTATGGAAACATAGGTAGTTTGAGTGAAACTATTTCGGGCGCTGAACACCACTCACAAAGAGGTAAGAAAATCAAATTACCAACTTCAAAGGTTGGATAATTTCTAAAATAAGCACTTTACGATCAATTACACGGTAAATTTTTTTGTACACATACACTTGGACAATATTTTATCTGAAATGTGTGCATATATATGTTTTATGCAAATTTTATTCTAAATTAAACACCTGAAACGATTTATTATTGAGCAATTCAATTCTGAAATAGAACATTGACCATAAATTTTTTTTATTTTTTTTTTTTGCATTCGAACAATAACATTTCATTATTGTCAGGTCAGGCAAGAATAGCTTTGATACCTGCGGAGAACAAAGTACGTCCTCGAGGCAAAATACGTAAGTTTAGTTACGGCTTTCTAATCTTAAAACAATTTTAAGCAATTTTTGTCAGATTGAATAATCTTTAAACAAAGACGTATTTGACGGGTATTTGAAGTGGTTGAATAAACTCAAAAATTATATCAGGGGATATTTTTGCATTGCGAACCACTTGGTTTTGCCAAAGCCGTCCCAATTATAAAAAGAAAAAATTTCTTTTTAAATGTCCTAATATTAATAAAGTTGAAGACTTGGAGGTATGACACTTTTCTTTTTGTGTACGCGATAGTATATCCGTGTTCCCAGCAAAAACAAACTCAATTTGAATTTAATTTTGTCCATTGATGGCAGATAATACTAGTATTATTGAAATTAAATGAATAATAATGCCTAATTTTATTTGCTTTTGAAGCGATAATTGAAACTCCCCTTGATCCAAATACTCCAACAAGCGTCCAGAAGCAAAAAAGTGTGACACCAAATGAACACGGTAAGGTCAACACACCAGTGTCCCCAAATAAACCTGGCAAACCTATGTCCCCAATTACCCCAGGAGAACCAAAGACACGAGGAGGAATTGCGAGAAGCAGCAAAAATATATATATAACTACCCCAAATGAGGAGAGCAAACAAGAAAAAGACACAACTGAAAATCAAGAAAAGAAGAATGCCACTGAAATTATTCCAAGTGAGTCAGATAATGTCAATTCTGCAACAACACCCGGTGGATATGACAAGACAGTAAGTCCACGCAAACCCAACAAACATTCCTCGAGTAAAACAAGCACTCCCGTATTATCAGAAATCCAAACCAAAACTGCTAAAGGAAAGTCAAACAAACCTAAATCACCGATGCCGCCAAATAAAACCGACAAACACAAATCACATAAAAGTCCCGGAAAAGCTGCCAAATCGCCAATGACACCAAGCAACAAAGATGCTTTGAAAGGTAAACCAGAATCAGCAATGACTCTAATTGATCTCGACAAACCCAAATCCCCAATGACTCCGGATGGACCCACCAAATCTAAATCGAAGAAGACACCAAGAAACAAAGATGCTTCAAAAGGTAAACCAGAATCAGCAATGACTCCAACTGATCTTGACACGCCCAAATCCCCAATGACTCCCGGTAAACCCACAAAAACAAATTCGCCATTGCCCTCAAGTGAATCATCAACCCCGGGTGTACCCACCAAATCTAAATCGAAGAAGACACCAAGAAACGAAGATGCTTCAAAAAGTGAACCAGAATCAGCAATGACTCCAACAGATCCAGTTGAGCCTGAATCATCAATACCCCCGAGTGAACCAATTGAATCTGAACTGCCAGTAACACCAAATGAATCCGTTGAAAGCGAATCCCAAACATATCCAAGCGATTCCCAACTCGAAGAATCGCAATCGCCAGCACAATCAGGCGGGTATTTCAGATCTAAAAAACTGGAAACACCAACACCCCAGATACAACGTCACATGATACTCAGGGGAGGATATAGAGGTCTTGATCAAATGTATGATGACGCAATGTCAAAATCTACCATTTTAGACGCCGAACGAAATATAAAGTTTAGTTGGAATTACAATGATGAATATATTGTATTCGAGGTAAGGTTTTGTTATATATTGTATCCTTAGTTGACATCGATGGTTAGGAATCCCCGGCCCACCATTTTACCCAGTCTGTAATCGATTGACCCAACCGAAAAAATACCGGTTTTTCAAAAAATATTAGCTCTTTTCATATCAGAGAAAATTTGTCATGAGATTCCGCTAATGACTAGTATACGACACTCAACGTTATATGCCATAACTCGCGCTGACAGATTCAATAAACTTTTAAACAGTGATAATTCATTGTTTTTGTTCGTTACTTACAGGTCTCGATACCAACTCGCGGTTGGATTGGTGTAGGTTTCGCGCCAGGACCGAATATGGCGGGTGCAGACATCTTTATTGCGGGAATAAGAAGGAATGGAGTATACGCTTCGGTATAGTATTGAGAATTAAATGATTCGTCAGAACTCTCTCCCATCATATTTGTGAATAAATAAGAATTGCAAATTAAAGAATGTTGAATTGAATTGAGAATATATTTTGTATTAGTCTTTTGTACTTTATTCTAATTGGTTAATTTTTGTAACTACACTTTTCCGTTTGCCAAATTTCATTTTTATACAATTGAAAATATCAGCATCAAATTGTCCCAAATACTCGATTGGGACGCTATATTTAAATCACTGCTGATATAATGCTTCTACTCGTGAAATTTTACAAAAAAATTTAAATTAAAATGATATACTAAAACCTTTTATCGTAATTTTACAAAAAAAAAATTTAAATTAGAATTATATACTAAAACCTTTTCGTCGTAAAGTGCATATTTTTTGTCAGTATTTAAAAATTTTCTAAGGTTGTCAACGATGAAGGCATAATTTTTATTTTTATTCAATCCCGAAAAGTAAGATATATAAAAGTATTTGATTTCGAATATTCTTTTTCCAGATTAAAAAAATCTTCAGTAATGATTCAGATAGTTTTAGTTGTATAATCACAGGTTATTTTTTCTTAACAGTTCAAAATTTGTAGGTCAGGCATTCTGCTTCTGTCTATGTTTTGGTAATAGAACTGATGATAAAAAATATTTCAGTAAATGTGTTCGATATAGTCTGCAAAATTAATGATTGGAATGATATGTTATATAAGAATTTGGTATTTCTAAAGTCTACTCTAGATATAGGGAGAAATTACATAGATCGCGAACTAGTTCTATGACACCGTTCCGTAATACAACTATACAAATGGACGCTGTTTATATTTCATATGATTTCGCATAGTTTTTGATGTTATGATTAAGTTTGTCAAGTAATAAACATCGGCAAAATTTGAGAGTAAATGCAAAGTTTAGATGTCAATTTTGTTTTTACAGGACGCGTTCGCGTATAAAAATGGAAAACCGTCGATTGACGAATCTCAAGATGTCCAAGTTTTAAGATATCTGGAAAAAGAAGGATTCACCACTGTTATGTTTGCAAGGAAAATTGATACTACCGATGAAATGGATTTAAAGGTGAATACTCGACATAGTTTTCTTTGTGTATATATTGGATAATATAGAATCCCACTTCAATAGCTCTTAAGGTTGAGATCTAAGCAGTAATCATAGGGCAAATTGACAAACATAATAGGTAAAATTTTATCTTATCCTCAAAAATAGCGCAGCACTCTTTGAGTACAAGATAGCTGGAAAGTATTGAGCAAATTCAAATATTGTATAGCCTTCTTCGTCGTTTACATATTCATGGCATTTATAATTGAAAAACAATGGCTTTGATCAAATGAAATATATTGTCTATTTTCAGATTGATGGCACAAGCAAATATGTTATTTGGGCTTACGGGCGAGCTGATATGGCGCTAAAGCCTAGGGAATTTTACCACGGTATGAATAGAGGTAAGTCAAACAGTTTTATGTTATACTCGTATGTGGTAATATCATCCTGTGAATTAAACATTTGAAAATGAATCAACTTTTTTGATGTGAGTTCTTCATTTTTGATATGGTGCACTAAACTTGCAATGCAATTTGTAAGATTATGTGTGGCATTCAATATTACCGTTATCTCGGTAGTATATTTATTTTCATAACACTCCATATTCATCTGGGTGATGCCCATTCCCAATGTGCGTTTTTTTAATTCTTATCCAACATCATCTGCTTTCAGGTGCAAAAATGCTGAATCTCACTGATGGGTCTGGTAAGTTGTTAATATATTTGCACTTTAGTCTTTATTACTTCTTATTTAAAGAGATTCTGTTTAATCAGGAGTCGGCCCTCGTTCGACTAAATATGAAATAAATACATTTTGACGAATCATAAATATAAAAGCAACCTCATTGTATCAATTTTCAGTTGTCATGGTTTGTTACTCAACCTCTTAAGGTCATCTGTGACCAGCGGCAAATAATTATATATAATCTTACACCACGAGAAGAGACAGAAATTAAAATGTGAAAAAACTTTGATTTCATCGTTATTTAAATATAAACAAAAGTTATTAGTGCTTATTTTCTCACGAGTGTATCTGAATCCATTTTTCGTATAAAATAATTAATTATTATAAATGAAAACTTGATATTTCATCACAGGCGGACTTCCGACAAACTTTCCAATGGCGCCACTGTCTACCGTTCCAGGAAGAATAAAATGAATTTAATTTTGAAACGAATTACTGTACTATAGTGTATGTTTTAATCGCAATGTAAATATATCGTTTTTTCTAGTAAAAAAATATATTATTGCTAAATCAAACATGTACAAAGTCAATATCTATTATCTAACGAGTGATAATTGGGGGTCGGTTTGTAACCAGTGATTATATTACCCATTTGCCAGAAGAACAATTGTTAATGTCCTGTTAGTTCTGTTTTAGTGCGAACATGCACTTCGTTGAGTGAGTATTAGAGCATCGAGCAAGTGTTATACGCATTATGCATTGAAAGTAAAATAAGTTAGAGTAAATCATATTTTGTCGGTCAGTAGCCAGCTTATGAGTAGTAAATTGCAGCCTAAGAAGTCTTTGCAGTTTGTTATTCAAGTCGCAGCTGATGCATTTTTAAAGCAAGGCCAATTTATTGGAATTGTGCAAAAATTCAAAACAAGTAATGATTACGATCTTTAAAGTATGTCATTAAAGTGACTATTGTGCTATCGTACTAGCTGAAATTTATTTTATTCTTCACGTCAACTATGGACCATGCATGAATCGTGATTAAGAAACTGAATATGAAAAACGAAACCATTGGTCCTTTATATTCCTATTAATTTTATTTAGGCATGTCGTAGGACCAGTATAAAAGCCTGGGGCGTACATTGACTCGACGAAAAAAAAACGAGATATCTGCGCAGAATTGAAAAAAAAAATCAAATTTTTCTTACAGAACTTGCTTCTGAAAGAAACATATCTGATGGTTTTGAAAGTAGTTCAGTTTACTTGATTTGTCACTGTGCAAGTGATCCACGTAAATAGTTTTTTAAGTATGTCAGTTTAATGATGTTTTCTTTGTCAAAGTTTTACAGCAGTTCAAGTTGAAGTTGATAATCTATTGACTCACACTATCTGCAAATTAAATCAGGGTCTAAAATTATTTCTCAGATCATAGTTTTACAAGTAATATCTTAGAAAAGACAAAAAGGGCTCACGAATAGATGTTATTAAAAGAAAATAAATATACTTTATAAATTTGCTCCAGGGCCAACTCCGCTAAATAGCCAATATGGCAATGGATTATAAAATGTTAATTATATTTCCATTGTTCTTTTCTGTGGTTTGGGGAGGAAGAGGCACACCGTCACAGAAAATAAAATATGAAGGATCTAAAGATTTATCCTCTGGTATAAATGTTATGTGGAAAGTAGAAGAAAAGAGTATAGTTTTAAAGGTAAAATGCCGCAAGGGCGAAATGTTTTCAAATATTTCTATTTTTAATTGCAATTGCGTTGATGAGTTGAGGTAAATTTAAGCCTTCACTCTGACTGTATTAAGTTAGGCATACACCGAACCAAAAAGTGTCTAATAATTCCAAATATAGTTGATAAGGCATTTGCTTTTCTCTGATTAAATGTGTGTAAACACAACAAAAAAGTAATGGCACTGTAATGAATTTTTTAGAACTGATACACGATTAATAGTGGTTAGAAATCACACCAGAGTTATTCCTGTTTTCATACTTTTATGTCTCACTTTCACATTTTGCTAAAATTATAGACAATCATACTATTCCGTACAACCCTTCAAATTGGAAATTTCCAAATATGTTAAAATGCAATTTCTTGAGAGTTACGAGTCTCCAAAAAAATCTATCTATTCATTGAAAGAAGTTGTTTATTTATTTTTTCCTCTCACGATCACTTTTTTACAACAGTTGAAATACAGAGCAACAGGATGGGTTGGCATTGGATTTTCAAAATCAAAACATCCACAGAGTATGGCTGATTCTGATATCACAATAGGCTGGGTTACTATGGGCAATGCGTTTGTGTGGGTAAGACAAAATGAAAATTATTTTTGCATGCTAATCCCATATAATAATAGCCTTGAAGTCACATAATCGACGATAAAGACAAATAGGAAATGCAAAACTTGCTACAAAATACACGAGAACTTTAAACAGCAAGTTATTAATTTTTTGACAACTTCAATACTACGTTAATCGACAATTATGCGACAAATACACACAGTGAACAACACAAACTCTTTTTATAAACCTGGAAATATACCCTTACAGGTATTTATGTGTGTGTGTGTTTGCGTGTGCAAATAGAATGAGATTTTGACAACAGTTTTTGGATAAATGAAACATATTACAAAAGCCGAGCCTATTTTGACATTTGATATAATTTCAACTAAAATATTTAATCAGGACGCTTACGCCAAGACAAACGGAGTTCCAGATGTTGATAAAAAATCAGAAGTGGAACTGATTAGTGGAAAGGAAGAATCTGGTTACACTACAATTGTTTTCAGGAGACCAATCATTGCAATGAATGATGATGACGTCACAATTCATGTGGGTTGCAAAGCGTTAATACAGTCATAAAAAAACAATGGCGAATTAACATTGTAATATGACTCACTTTGATTGGTCAAAGTCATAAATATTTTATTTAAATACTCGCAAATATGTCATTTAAAATTAAAATATTTACAGAAAGGTGAAATTGGAATTCTTTGGGCCTATGGAAGATCAGATGTTACAGGAGGAACTTTGAGCGTTGTAGATTATCATGCGAGAAGAGGTAAAAATCAAGTTATCTATCATAATCCACTTCATCGAATAAAGAATTAATTTTAATTGAATACCATAGTTTTGTATTGCGTTACCCATGATTTATGTCCTTGCAGTCCAAGCGATTGTTTATTTTTGCAATATACAATATTTTTTGAGACTTATAAAAATTTTAGGAACCATTCAAGGAAAATTTCTCAGTGTTGGCACATTAAAACCTCTCGTCAGTTCATTTTTTGGCTCTTTATTTTCTCATCAAGAAGTATTAAACACAGTGGTAAAGTTAGTTAAGTTACCATCACTCCTACTGCACATGGGCTACTACAGTCAATAAAGTAATACAGTACTCCATAAAACATTCTTGTGATTTTTACTAGTAAAAGGATTATATTCTCAAGGTATTTCGTGTGAAGACGAGAAACTAAAATCAAAAGTATCATTTCAGGTTATACAACTCTAACATTAATCCCCACAGAAGAAATCGCTAGTGAACCAAGTCTTCCAGGTAAACTATGCTAGAAATTTTATTTGATTGCTTTCAACAGTTTTTGGTAATAGATCCCAATAGACTTACCTTAAAGGCATTTATAAACGACAACTCCAAAGTTGGAAAAGCCCAATCGCCGTGTTATAACAGTAGTGGATATATATGAACGAATACTAACTATTGCATAAAATAACAACAACAGAACAATTATTTATTTATTTATTGCTAGACCCAGCTAAACCAGAAAGTCCAAAAGATGTTGAAGATCATGATGACGCCGATGATGATGACGACAAACAAGCTCATGAACATGATGATAAAGATTTGAATCATTTCATTTATCTGGATGCAGACAAGAAACTTTTCCTTCGATGGGGAGTCAAAGGTCAAGAAATAACTTTCAAGGTACGGAACATGCTTTGTTTTCAACGAAGTTTTAACTGTAATAGTTCTCTTTTTAGTTGTTTGTGAACTTAGTATATTTCAAAAACATATCTATACATTTCTAAGCATGTATAACTTTTCTAATATGTAAACTTCATCAAACCTACAAACTGACTGAACTTCATTGAGATTTCAACACTCTGAATGACATAAACGACATATAATTTTTACTAATTCGCTATAGTTATGGAAATGTTATTATTAAGAGCGCCTGCGGCGCAACACTAGTTGAAATGCAAAAATCATTTTATTGTCATTTTCAGTTGAAAGGAGAAACTCTGGGATGGATGGGAATAGGATTATCGCCCGGACATGGGATGACAAATTCAGACCTGATGATTGTTGGAGTTAACAGAGAAGGAAAAGCATATGCATATGTAAATAATATTATAAACTATTCAGCAAAAGAGTGTCAACCGTATTCTTGTTGCTGATTACGCACACATGTCGATTACGTATTTAAAAGATCACGTTAGCAAGATTAGGTCCAAATAGCAATAAGTACATAATACATAACGGCTAAATATTACAACGTTACATTCCTCAAGTCGGATGCAACTACTAGTTAATAAAATCATTTACATATAATATATATAAAACATATTGGATGTATTTACAAAATTTACATATAGATCAGGGTGGTCCAAGGTTGCGAGGTTGGCAGGCCTCAAAAACTTCTGAGGATGTCTCGCGGGCCGCTGTCGGAGAGAACCCAATAGTCATCACAACATCGGGAGTTTACTCACTTTACATATATTTAGAAATGAGAGTTTACCGTTCTAATCAGTTTAAGGAAGATATGTAAAGCCTTTAGTTATTTTAAAATTGCATCCCAAGAAATCTCGTGGTATTTTCGGTAGCTTTTCTCGTGTTTGGTTTTGTAATGGCGCTTCAAATTATATTCCCTCGTGACAGATATTACTTGAAAACACACCAGACACTGCGGTTTAACGTTGTTGTGGGTTGGGAAATACGTTTCCTCAGTTCACCTCGGTCAATCTTTTTACCTCATTGTATGATGAATTGTTATATTTGACTAATTTTATTACCTATATCGTGAGCAGGCCTAGTGATATCGTCAAAGAACAACCAAGTCCGTCCAAGTTAGGATTCCGGACCCAGCTAAAAAAAAACTGGATTGCGTGGCGCTAAGTCAGCTCACATGGCCAACGCTTAAAAATAGAGGGGTGTTTTTGCTAAAATAATAGCGAAAACTGTCTCTCCGAATGAGGAGTTACTTGACGCGAGCTTAAGGTACAACGTTTAGATAAAAAGTGCGACCCATCTCATCGCCTTGATTCTGTCTGCACAAGACAATCCATTCTCCTTGTACCGATCGCACCGTCTTGACGTTTAAAGATACAACTTTGAAATTCCGTGATTTCAACAAACATTAATCCCGATATTGGGGTTGAGAAAAGGGCTATTCGCAGTGGGAATAGTTTTAAAATAACTCAAATGTCCCGCTAATGATTTAGTGCACGCTGACTTAATGAAACTATTCGAAATTCGATAATTACAATTAAATTTTACCTTCCTAGGATTGTTTCGCTCCTGAAAATACTACTCCGTCGGTTGACAAAACCCAGAACGTTGAAATCATTGAATATGATCAGACTGATACTCATACAACAGTCACATTCAAAAGAGCTCTTGTTACAGATGATGAAAGCGGGAACGATCGATCAATACAGGTTGAATAACTTCTAATTGTTGAATGGAGAAAATAGATATATATAGATAAAATGTACGATAAAAACACTCCGTATTGTTACCGCTACATTTATTTGCTAACAACAAAAGACAAACAAATATTTTGACTGGCTTAAAATATGTATTAAAAGTTTTTTGAATTGGTATTTATATACTCATATCTATTTCTTTTGAAAGCCAAAAGTTGTATAACAAAATTGAAAAATATTGTGCAAAGAATTGCATCTTGAAAAAAATTATAATCCTGATTGCAAATCAAAAATTGTAAACTTCAGTCAATATAGAACTCATCGTTGCAAATCCTATTTTATAAGACTAAAAATGCTCGCTATAAACAGAATGCTGATACGTATTTCCTTTGGGCTTATGGATTGTATGACGTATTAGGAGCACCAGGTATCGTCAACTATCATTTTGGACGACGAGGTAATAGAAATATCATACATATTATATTATGATTTAATTAAACAAACTTTTTAATGCCAAAATATTGCATGTATGTTTGAGCAAAATACATTGATTAATACTAGTACAAAAATGATAAATGTCGACAAATATTTAATCCGGCAATTAAACAGCCATCTTTGATCTTATGTTGGCTATTTCCCATACACGCCAGCCTGACATTCCGACAGAGTCCATTGACAGAGTCCAGTCTGACATTCCAACCATCGTCAAAAATTATTTTACAGTCTATCTATATAGTGTGGTGTGGTAGCGTGTGCAAGTTTTGAACTATAATGGACCGTCAACGATATAGTTTTTCCTTTCATTGCACTAGGTCATTTTTTACCATATCACACCTAAGCGATCTTTTGTCACCAACAATGTAATGAGGTTGTAAAGCTTCAGATAAACTTGATTTTATTTTGTTTAGGATACTTGAAATTGAATCTGCTTCATGGAGAGGGAGGTAAAAAAAAATTTTTTTGGTTTTCTTACGAAATAATAAAAACTATCAATTTAGTCTGAATGGGACGTTCAACAATTATGTTCCGGGTATTGAATAAAAATAAAATTGCTCATTAGCGGATTTACGTGGAGCAACAAAATTTACAACACTATTGAGCTATTTTTTCAAAGTTTCGATAAATCTCAAAAGATTTAAGATATTTTTAAATATATTGTATATAGACGGCGTAATATTATTGTTAATGTTTAATCATCTATTCACAGAGGCAATGAAACCAGCTGAAAGCCCGAAATCACCAGAAGGTAAATCCTATTGTAATTAAATGCATATATACAGTATATATATATTTTTTTTGGATTCGGATTTTATTTAAAAATTCTAAACTAAAAGCGCTAGCATAATGATATATAAAAACGTTAGAACGTTTGATAATTTTTCGTTTCTTCGTAAACTAGGCAACGTATTTTAAATCAATCGGTAACTGAATGTCACGGTGCGAAATAACTAGCCCGCAACTTTATACAGTCATTGAAGTTAGTGAATTAAATAATATAGTGTGAATTTTCAATTGGTTTCCGCTGCACATCGCTTTTGTTCAAATGTTAAAATGAACCCTCTGGTATCTTTTCATTTTCATAATTGCGTTCATTCTCTATTTTCAGGTGTTGAAATGGAAGAGAGTGAAGTACCAGAAGGTGAATATTTCTATAGGAACTCTATACAGAATGTTTTCTGCTTCCCCAAGACTTTTCCCAATTGTATGAATGTCACTTCATTTAAATAACCGTTACAATTATCTTCTGTTGCGTCACCACACAAAATTTCAACAACTAAAGGAAGTTTGGAAATAAATATAAAATATTGATGGCCATCTAGTGACAAGGCCAATCTTCAACCACTGAAAACTTGGCAATTGGTACAGTAGTTAATGAGAAAAACGACTTTTCATAACAACAACGAGACAAAGAATTCTAACAATAAAAACAAAAATATTGAAATGATCTATAGGTCCACTCAGTGTTCAATAATTTAGGTAACACGAGAGCGATACTCAAATATATGGACACGAAAACCAAAACAAAGTAGAAAGTGTATGCAATTTGTCACAGAAGACTACCGGTACCGAATGACCTTCAGATCGCTCACGCTAAGACGGAACCGGCACAACGTTCACAATTTTTAATTTTAATGACGTCTCGCACAACAAAAGAAACGATTTCTTTAGAGCCCGCGGAAATTTTTGTAAATAAATAAAAAGAATAGCTTTTTACCAAGAAATACAATCTTTAACCACTGAAAATTTCAAAGCAATTCTTCCAGTATTTAGAGAGAAAAACGTTTTTTTTTTTTTATAACGACAATACGATATATACTAACAACATGAACAAGAACAACAGCAAAATAACAACAAAACGATATATATTTACATTTCGTGTCCAACACGAATTACAACAACAACATAATACCAAAAGGATCCTTATGTCCACTTGCCCAATAATATCATCATGATGATCAATATGATAATTAACGCTCCCCGTCTACATATACCTAATTGTTATACTACTAGTTGATAACATTCAGGTAGTCAATGATTACATCAATTACAAACATATCACGTACGAATTACCTTTTTTCTTGTTATTTTGTAGGCTTCATTTCCGTTAAAGGATACAAGAAACTTGATGAAGCCGGAGATGTTGTTCTACAATGGAGTACTGCTTATACTTCTGAAGCAGTAATTTTTATACAGGTAAACAATCAATATTATTCCAAATATATAAAGAACTTGAGCAAACTTGAACTGAAGTTTTGTATTTGAAATGAAGAACCAACGATCGGACCACGTTTTATTGTTTTATTAGACCGTTTTGTTAAACTTGAGGAAACATTAAAAAAATGGAAGCAATGCTCAATGGACACGAAAGCCAAAACGAATTTTTTTTAGCTCAAAAATCATATCCTGAATAGAAGTTGAAATTGTGGAACAGGTACCGTAAATTACCAGTACCGGTACAGGGGTACCGATAACCGGACTGTCTCAGCTTCCCAAAGTTCCGTTACGAATTGAGTCCAACGGCAATTGAAATACCAACTTATTCGAGTCAAAAATGTAGTATCAAATCTTTTACAGTATCGGTAGTCTGGTAGTCTTCTTAGCTGATAAAGAGATCGGTGACACATGGTCGTTTAGCCACTACAAGTAGTTTTCAGTTTTGGTGACGTCATTACACAACACTTTAAAGTGAAGAGCAAACGCTATAGAGACAAACGAAATTTTGAAATCCAATAAAAGTAATATCCTTTTTTCACAACAACATCAACATCAACAAGCAAAATTCTAATAACAACAAAAATATTTAACAAATCCATAGGTTCATTTTGTATTAAATAAAGTATCAAACCTTTTTCTGCTCGTAGCTTTCAGCCCCAACAACAGGATGGGTTGGACTTGGGTTTTCTCCTGGTAATACTATGAAGGATGCTGATTTAATTGTGGCAGGAATAAAAGATGGAACTCCTTACATTTTTGTGAGTTTGAAGACGTTTTATTAGTTTTCTATTTTCGAATTTTGAATACTGTAAGAAATAGTTATGTGTCATATCATAAGCTTTTAAGTAAATGGATTTTTTAACTTTCATGTAATTTCCTGATGACATTTAATATTGATTTATTGTGAAATGCACTTTATACTCATTTATATTTAACTCCCTATTCCCCTGTAAAATTTTCTGATTGAATTCCTTGAACTAAAATATATCAAATGGAATGTAGTATGCGCATCGCTCCAGCTTAACTTCATTGTAGTAATAAATTGACGGTGAATTGAGATTTTTGATATTTAAAAGGACTTACATGCTACAAGAAATACTTTACCACTGGTGGACGCAAATCAGGACGTGCTCTTATTTCAAGCAGTTGAGGATGGGCCGAGAACAATCGTTATGATGTTGAAGAAATACAAAAGCGGAGACACAGAAAATGATATTGATATTATGGTATGAATATAGTTTATTTCAGTGAACTCAATATGGGAACTTTTTATTAGATTGAAATCATTTTAGATGACATATACTCAAATTACTTATGATGTGGCCACGAGTCAAATATAAAACGTTTTGACCTGGGCATCCCAATATTTAGGCTATAAGGGCTAGTTGGTTGAAGTTTTTATAAAATAAAAATCCACAATTATGGTTTATCTCTAAATAATAGTAAAATTTTTAATTCCGGGATAGCGCCACTTTTTGTATTGAAATTTCTAGGCAGGAAAAATGAATGTGCTTTGGGCATATGGAGAAACAGATGTCGATGAAAAGTTGACTCGAATGAATTACCACGGGCGAAATAGAGGTAAGGTATTTCATGCCCGTTTGTGATACCAAAGCAACAAGAAATTTCGTAATTTTGTAATTACTAGTCTCACAAACTTTTGTTGTAACATTTACGTAAACCTGCTATGAACCTGCTGGTAAAACAAATAATTGTGACAGATGCAAAATTATTCAAAAAATAACAAATTGCGAAAGCAAATTATTGCGTTGTTGCGCATTTGATGGAGCTCACAATATACCTTTGGAATTTTATAGCAAGATCATAAGCGTGTAATTAAGTCAATTACTTGGTCATATTGTTGAGGATGAAACAAAAAATAGTACTATTTGCAATATTTATACAATACAACAACTTTCAATAACAACGTTATATTCAATAATACCGTTAACGCTTTGCGCATATTGATATGTACCCTTTAAAAGGTAATGGTTTCAAACGTCTATTCTATATCAAGGGCACGTTGAAGTAGAATTCATACCGAATGATACTAGCGCCATTCCAGGTAAGTCCATATTTTCATTTTGTGTATATTGCTCAATATTTCAAAGTCGTTCATTTTTGATCAATATATAACATTTATAAATCAATTATATTATTTATTACTTCACTTTATAACCAATCCTATTTGAGAGTTGCTCTTGGGAAAAGGTTTTGATATTTTTTATTAGCACACTGGTATTCTATAATAAAAGGGCCGTTATAAATGACAAATCAAAATTGGAAACGCACATACCTCGTGTTCATAACTCTAGTTGGTAGATAATTATAAATAAATAATAATAACCATTGCACAAATCAACAACTCTAAAAGATATTGAAGATCATGATGATCACGATGATGATGATGATGACAAACAAGCTCATGAACATGATGATAATGAGTTGAAGCATTTCATTTATCTTGATGCAGACGAGAAACTTTTCCTTCGATGGGGAGTCAAAGGTCAAGAAATTACTTTCAAGGTACGGAACATACTTTTGTTTTCAACGAAGTTCTAACTCGAAAGGTTATTTTTTAAGTTGTTTGTAAATGTAGTATATGTATAATGATAAGCATTGTATACATCTTAACTTTCAACAGCCTTTGATGCAGGACTATTTAAAAATGCATAAATCATTTTGTTGTCATTTTTAGTTGAAAGGTGAAACTATGGGATGGATGGGAATTGGATTATCGTCCGGCCCTGGGATGACAAATTCAGATCTAATGATTGTTGGAGTTAACAGAGAAGGAAAAGCATATGCATATGTAAATAATATTATAAACTATTCAGCAAAAGAGTGTCAAACGTATTCTGGTTGCTGATTACGCACACATGTCGATTACGTATTTAAAAGATCACGTCAGCAAGATTAGGTCCAAATAGCAATAAGTACATAATACATAACGGCTAAATATTACAACGTTACATTTCTCAAGTCGGATGCAACTACTAGTTAATAAAATACATTTACAACTTTATAGTTGATATTTTATATATGTTATTGTATAATCATATGCGGGAATTAATGAAATTGTTTAAAACTTAATGAAATTCGATAATCGGTAATTGAATGTTAACCTTCTTAGGATTGTTTCGCTCCTGAAAATACTACTCCTTCGGTTGACGAAACCCAGAACGTTGAAATCCTTGAATATGATCAGACTGATACTCATACAACAGTCACATTCAAAAGAGCTCTTGTTACAGATGATGAAAGCGGGAACGATCGATCAATACAGGTTGAATAACTTCTAATTGTTGAATGGAGAAAATAGATATAGATAAAATGTACGATAAAAACACTCCGTATTGTTACCGCTACATTGACTTGCTAACAACAAAAGACAAACAAATATTTTGACTGGCTTAAAATATAAAAAAAAATAAGTTTTTTGAACTGGTATTTATATACTCATATCTATTTCTTTTGAAAGCCAAAAGTTGTATAACAAAATTGAAAAATATTGTGCAAAAAATTGCATCTTGAAAAAAATTATAATCCTGATCGCAAATCACAAATTGTAAACTTCAGTCATTATAGAACTCATCGTTGCAAATCCTATTTTATAAGACTAAAAATGCTCGCTATAAACAGAATGCTGATACGTATTTCCTTTGGGCTTATGGATTGTATGACGTATTAGGAGCACCAGGAATCGTCAACTATCATTTTGGACGACGAGGTAATAGAAATATCATACATATTATGTTATGATTTAATTAAACAAACTTTTTAATGCAAAATATTGCATGTATGTTTGAGCAAAATACATTGATTAATACTAGTAGAAAAATGATAAATGTGAAATGTCGTGAAATATTTAATCCGGCAATTAAACCGCCATATTTGATCTTATGAGGGCTATTTCCCATACACGCCAGCTTGACATTCCGACAGAGTCCAGCCTGACATTCCAACCATCGTCAAAAATTATTTTACAGTCTATCTATAAAGTGTGGTGTGGTAGCGTGTGCAACATTTGAACTATAATAGACCGTCAACGATATAGTTTTTCCTTTCATTGCACTAGGTAATTTTTTACCATGTCACACCTAAGCTATCTTTTGTCACCAACAATGTAATGAGGTTGTAAAGCTTCAGTTAAACTTGATTTTATTTTGTTTAGGATACTTGAAATTGAATCTGCTTCATGGAGTGGGAGGTAAAAAAAAAATTCTTTGGTTTTCTTACGAAATAATAAAAACTATCAATTTAGTCCGAATGGGACGTTCAACGATTATGTTCCGGGTATTAAATAGAAAATAAAATTGCGGATTTACGTAGAGCAACAAAATTTACAACACCATTGAGCTATTTTTTCAAAGTTTCGATAAATCTCAAAAAATTCAAGATATTTTCAATTATATTGTATATAGACGGCGTAATATTATTGTTAATGTTTAATCATCTATTCACAGAGGCAATGAAACCAGCTGAAAGCCCGAAATCACCAGAAGGTAAATCCTATTGTAATTAAATGCATATATACAGTATATATATATTTTTGCCATTCGGATTTAATTTAAAAATTCTAAACTACAAGCTTAGCATAATGATATATAAAAACGTTAGATCGTTTGATAATTTTTTGTTTCTTCGTAAACTAGGCAACGTATACTAAATCAATCGGTAACTGAATGTCACGGTGCGAAATAACTAGCCGGCAACATTATACAGTCATTGAAGTTAGTGAATTAAATAATATAGTGTGAATTTTCAATTGATTTCCGCTGCACATCGCTTTTGTTCAAATGTTAAAATGAACCCTCTGGTATCTTTCATCTTTACATTTTCATAATTGCGTTCATTTTCTATTTTCAGGTGTTGAAATGGAAGAGAGTGAAGTACCAGAAGGTGAATATTTCTATAGGAACTCTATACAGAATGTTTTCTGCTTCCCCAAGACTTTTCCCAATTGTATGAATCTCACTTCATTTAAATGATCGTTACAATTATTTTTTGTTGCGTCACCACACAAAATTTTAACAACTAAAGGAAGTTTTGAAATAAATATAAAATATTAATGGCAATCTAGTGACAAGACCAATCTTCAACTACTGAAAACTTCGAAATTGGTACAGTAGTTAATGAGAAAAACGACTTTTCATAACAACAACGAGACAAAGAATTGTAACAATAAAAACAAAAATATTGTAATGATCTATAGGTCCACTCCGTGTTCAATAATTTAAGTAACACGAGAGCAATACTCAAATATGTAGACACGAAAACCAAAACAAAGTAGAAAGTGTATGCAATTCGTCACAGAAGACTACCGGTATCGAATGACTTTCAGATCGCTCACGCTAAGACGGAACCGGCACAACGTTCACGATTTTTAATTTCAATGACGTCTCGCACAACAAAAGAAACCGATTTTTTTAGAGTCCGCGGAACTTTTCATAAATAAATAAAAATAATAGCTTTTTACTAAAAAATACGATATTTGACCACTGGAGATTTCAAAGCAATTCTTCCAGTATTTAGAGAGAAAAACGATTTTTTTCTATTTTTTATAACGATAATACGATAAATACTAACAACATGAACAAGAACAACAGCAAAATAACAACAGAACGATAAATATTTACATTTCGTGTCCAACACGAATTACAACAACAACATAATACCAGAAGGATCCTTATGTTCACTTGCCCAATAATATCATTATGATGATCAATATGATAATTAACGCTCCCCGTCGACATATATCTAATTGTTATACTACTAGTTAATAACATTCAGGTAGTCAATGATTACATCAATTACAAACATATCACGTACGAATTACCTTTTTTCTTGTTATTTTGTAGGCTTCATTTCCGTTAAAGGATACAAGAAACTTGATGAAGCCGGAGATGTTGTTCTACAATGGAGTACTGCTTATACTTCTGAAGCAGTAATTTTTATACAGGTAAACAATCAATATTATTCCAAATATATAAAGAACTTGAGCAAACTTGAACTGAAGTTTTGTATTTGAAATGAAGAACCAACGATCGGACCACGTTTTATTGTTTTATTAGACCGTTTTGTTAAACTTGAGGAAACATTAAAAAAATGGAAGCAATGCTCAATGGACACGAAAGCCAAAACGAATTTTTTTTAGCTCAAAAATCATATCCTGAATAGAAGTTGAAATTGTGGAACAGGTACCGTAAATTACCAGTACCGGTACAGGGGTACCGATAACCGGACTGTCTCAGCTTCCCAAAGTTCCGTTACGAATTGAGTCCAACGGCAATTGAAATACCAACTTATTCGAGTCAAAAATGTAGTATCAAATCTTTTACAGTATCGGTAGTCTGGTAGTCTTCTTAGCTGACAAAGAGATCGGTGACACATGGTCGTTTAGCCACTACAAGTAATTTTCAATTTTGGTGACGTCATTACACAACACTTTAAAGTGAAGAGCAAACGCTATAGAGACAAACGAAATTTTGAAATCCAATAAAAGTAATATCCTTTTTTCACAACAACATCAACATCAACAAGCAAAATTCTAATAACAACAAAAAAATTTAACAAATTCATAGGTTCATTTTGTATTAAATAAAGTATCAAACCTTTTTCTGCTCGTAGCTTTCAGCCCCGACAACAGGATGGGTTGGACTTGGGTTTTCCCCTGGTAATACTATGAAGGATGCTGATTTAATTGTGGCAGGAATAAAAGATGGAAATCCTTATATTTTTGTGAGTTCGAAGACGTTTTATTAATTTTCTCTCACAAAATTATTAAATACTGTAAGAAATAGTTATGTGTCATATCATAAACTTTTAAGTAAATGGATTTTTAATATTGATTTATTGTGAAATGCACTATATACTTATTTATATTTAACTATTCCTCTGTAAAATTTTCTGATTGAATTTCTTGAACTAAAAGATATCAAATGGAATGTAGTATGCGCATCGCTCCAGCTTAACTTCATTGTAGTAATAAATTGACGTTGAATTGAGATTTATGATATTTAAAAGGACTTACATGCTACAAGAAATACTTTACCACTGGTGGACGCAAATCAGGACGTGCTCTTATTTCAAGCGGTTGAAGATGGGCCAAGAACAATCGTTATGATGTTGAAGAAATACAAAAGCGGAGACACAGAAAATGATATTGATATCATGGTATGAATATAGTTTATTTTAGTAAACTCAATATGGACACTTTTTATTAGATTGAAATCATTTAAGATGACAATTATTCAAATTACTTATGATGTGGCCACGAGTCAAATATAAAACGTTTTAACCTGGGCATCCCAATATTTAGGCTATAAGGGCTACACGTTGGTTGAAGTTTTTATAAAATAAAAATCCACAATTATGGTTTATCTCTAAATAATAGTAAAATTATTAATTCCGGGATAGCGCATTTTTGTATTGAAATTTCTAGGCAGGAAAAATGAATGTGCTTTGGGCATATGGAGAAACAGATGTCGATGAAAAGTTGACTCGAATGAATTACCACGGGCGAAATAGAGGTAAGTTATTTCATGCCCGTTTGTGATACCAAAGCAACAAGAAATTTCGTAATTTTGTAATTACTAGTCTCACAAACTTTTGTTGTAACAATTACGTAAACCTGCTATGAACCTGCTGGTAAAACAAATAATTGTGACAGATGCAAAATTATTCAAAAAATAACAAATTGCGAAAGCAAATTATTGCGTTGTTGCGCATTTGATGGAGCTCACAATATACCTTTGGAATTTTATAGCAAGATCATAAACGTGTAATTAAGTCAATGACTTGGTCATATTATAGAGAATGGTAAAAAAATAGTATTGTATGCATTATTCATACAATACAACAACTTTCAATAACAACGTTACTTTACGTGCCTTTCAAAAAAATGCTTCTAAACGTCTATTCTATATTCAAGGGCACGTTGAAGTAGAATTCATACCGAGTGATACTAGCGCCACTCCAGGTAAACCATATTTTCAATTTATGTATATTGCTCAATATCTCAAAGTCGTTCACTTTTGATCAATAAATAACATTTATAAATCAATTATAATATTTATTATCTCACTTTATAACCATTTCTATATGAGAGTTGCTCTTGAGAAAATGTTTTGATGCTTTTTATTAGCACACTGGTATTTTATGAATATAAGGGCTGTTGAAAATGACAAATCAAAATTAAAAACGCCCATACCTCGTGTTCATAACTCTAGTTGGTAGATAATTATGAAGAAATAATAATAACTATTGCACAAAACAACAACAGTACTATTATTTATTGCTAGACCCAGCTAAATCAGAAACTCCAAAAGATATTGAAGATCATGATGACCACGATGATGATGACGACAAACAAGCTCATGAACATGATGATAAGGAGTTGGAGCATTTCCTTTATCTTAATGCAGACGAGAAACTTTTTCTTCGATGGGGAGTCAAAGGCCAGGAAATTACTTTCAAGGTACGAAACATACTTTTGTTTTCAACGAAGTTCTAACTTGAAAGGTTATTTTTAAGTTGTTTGTAAATGTAGTATATGTATATTGATAAGCATTGTATACATTTTAACTTTCAACAGCCTTTGATGCAGGACTATTTAAAAATGCATAAATCATTTTGTTGTCATTTTTAGTTGAAAGGTGAAACTATGGGATGGATGGGAATTGGATTATCGTCCGGCACTGGGATGACAAATTCAGATCTAATGATTGTTGGAGTTGACAGAGAAGGAAAAGCATATGCATATGTAAATAACCTCACACTGTAAATTATTTAGCACAAAAAAAGAGTGTCAAACGTATTCTGGGGAGTCACCTAATAATAAATAAATACAATTGTTGCTTACGTGTATATTTAAAAGATCACATTTGCAAGTTTAAGTCAAAATAGCAATGGGTACATAATACACAACGGCTAAATAATGTAACGATACATTCTCCAGACCGGATGCAATAACTAGTTAATAAAATACATTTACAACTTTATAGTTGATATTTTATATATGTTATTGTATATTCATATGCGGGACTTAATGAAAGTGTTTAAAACTTAATGAAATTCGATAATCGGTAATTGAATGTTAACCTTCTTAGGATTGTTTCGCTCCTGAGAATACTACTCCTTCGGTTGACAAAACCCAAAACGTTGAAATCATTGAATATGATCAGACTGATACTCATACAACAGTCACATTCAAAAGAGCTCTTGTTACAAATGATGAAAGCGGAGAAGATCGATCCATACAGGTTGAATGACTTTTAATGGGTGAATCCAAAAAATAGTTACACATAAAATGTACGATAAAAAATACTTCAATTTATTCTGTCATCTACATCTATTAAAAGCCAAAGGTTGTACAACAAAATTGAAAAAACATGTTGCAAGAATTTACATCTTGAAAAAATTTATTGCAAATCAAAATTTGTGAACTTCAGTCAACATAGAACTAACTCATCGCTGCAAATCAAATTTTATAAGACTACCAATGCTCGTTATATACAGAATGCCGATACGTATTTCATTTGGGCTTATGGATTGTATGACGTATTAGGAGCACCAGGAATCGTCAACTATCATTTTGGACGAAGAGGTATGAGAAATATAATACAAATTATACTACAATTTAATTATTAAACTTGTTTGATGCAGAAATATTCACGTATGTTAGAGCAAAAAACATTGATTGAAACCGGTACAAAAATGATGAATGCTGTAAAATCAGTCAGTACTTAAACAGTCATATTTGATTTCATGACGAATATTTTTCATACACATCAGTCTGAGATTTAGACAGAATACCATCTTCGAAATTTATTTTATCATCTAAATTCTAAACATTATCATGTGGTCGGATAACAAATACAAGCTTTCACCCATGAATGTACTGTTAACGTCATTTTCTTTTAATGTACAATTTAATTTTATACCATATCCTATCCAAACTATCGTATGCCACCAGCAATGCAATGAGATTGTAAGCTTAGTAGAATCTTGATTTTGTTTTGTTTAGGATACTTGAGATTGAATCTGCTTCGTGGAATGGGAGGTGACATTTTTTTTTCTTTATTTTTTGGACGGAATAATAAAAGCTTTGTTTCAGCCATAGTTTATACATTTTATCTACTGTCAACCTATTTAAAATAGGACGTTCATGATTTATGTTCAAGGTATTGAATAAATATGAATTTGCCTATTTGCGGATGTACGGAAAGCGACAAAATTTACAACACTATTGAGCTCTTTTTTCAAAGTTTCGTTGAATCGTCAAAGATTTGAGATATTTTAAAGTATATTGTATACGGACGGGTTTACTATTATTGTTTAACAATGTATTTATAGAAGCAATGAAACCAGCTGAAAGTCCGAAATCACCAGAAGGTAAATCATATTATGATAAATAGCATATTTTTGGATTGGTATTCGGAGTTAATTTAAAATGCTAAGCGTTAGCATAACGATATTAATAAAAGTACGTTAGATTTTTTTTTAATTCTTCGTTTTTCTGTAAACTAGGAAACATATTCTAAATTAATCGGTAACTGAATGTCCTGCGCCGCTTCTCAACATAAATATATATCATGTTAGTGCGGCATAACTAGCACGCAACGCGTTCCCGACGACTTCACACAGTCATTGGAGTATGTATTATTTTTGCATCTTCAATTGGATTCGTTGTACTTCGCTTACAGATTTTATAGAAATATTGTTGATTTTCTATTTCCAGGTGTGGAAACGGGAACGCCCAGAGGTCCAGAAGGTAAATAATTTTATAAGAGAATACGATGTGACTTGAAAATGTTGTCTTCCACTTGTCCCACTTCTCTAACATTCGTCCTAATCGCTTGAATCTCCTTCATTCAAATACTGTTGCGTAAATTTTGCCTGAATGAATGCGTGAAGTACGCTAATATAATATATTATGGAAGTAATATTATGGAAGTAATATTACCAATATGATAATGAACACCGTACCTCGTCGACACATACTTAATACATTAGCCATACATTTGTAAATGATTACATTAATCACAAACTTATCACAGATCTGTCGTGCAAATTACCTTTTTTCTTGTTATTTTGTAGGCTTCATTTCCGTTAAGGGATACAAAAAACTTGATGAAGCCGGAGATGTTGCTCTGCAATGGAGTACTGCTAATACTTCTGAGGCAGTAATGTTTACACAGGTAAAGAACCAATAATATTCCATTTACAGGGTGTTAAAAAAGTTACGCAATAATTAAGGTGAATATTTTCGTCATGGCAAGGTTATAAAAGTAACTGTTAAGAAACGTCAGTCGTGAAATGTTCAAATAGCAGTTAACCGTAATTTAATACCGTTAAAAGGTGTTAATCGTTAAAAGTAGCATTTCATCTCAACTTCTGGTAATTTTGCGTTACTTTTTTAACACCCTGTATATGAATAAACCGAGTACTGTACTGAAGTTTCGTATGTGAAATAAAAGACGCAGGTATTGTAAATTACCAGTACCGACACCCGTACTGTCCTAGCTTTCCCATGTGACGATGATGACAATGCTTCCAGTCTCAAAGCAAATAGCAATACCAAATGATTCAAGTTATCAAATATTTTACCGGTAGTATGGTAGCATATCAAAAACTCCCGAAGAGATCGGTGACGAATGACCGGGAAGCCGCTACGAGTTGTCTTTTTATTTTGCTGAGGACAAAAAACACACATAAAACTTGAAACGAAAAAACAAATGCCATAGAGTCAAATATAAATTTGTAAAATTAACAAAAGAACATTCCTTTTTCACAACATCAACTAGAAGAAGAATTCTAACAACAAAAATATTCAACAAAACGATCCATAGGTCCATTTCGTGTCCAATAAAGTATCGAACTCTTTTCTGTTTGTAGCTTTCAGCCCCAACAACAGGATGGGTTGGACTTGGGTTTTCCCCTGGTAATACTATGAAGGATGCTGATTTAATTGTCGCAGGAATAAAAGATGGAACTCCTTACATTTTTGTGAGTTTGAAGACTTTTGCTTATGTTATTTCTCTTTAGAATATTAAATACTGTAAGACATAATTAGGAGTTACACCATCAACTCTAGAGCATGTTTATTCTTTAGCTTTGTATGCAATTTTTTGACTGTATTTGAATATTGATTTATTATGATATGCACTTTACATTTATCGTTCTTCATCCCTATTGCCTGATTTTTCTGTCACATTTTCTAATTGAATTCCAAATAAAATGTAGTATGCGTATCGTTTTAGCTTACCTTCATTTTAGTAAAAAATTGACTTTGAATTGAGATTTTTGATATTCAAAAGGACTTATATGCTACAAGAAATACTTTACCAATGATGGACGCCAAACAAGACGTTCTCTTATTTCAAGCAGTTGAAGATGGGCCAAGAACAATCGTTATGATGTTGAAGAAATACAAAAGCGGAGACACAGAAAATGATATTGATATCAAGGTACGAATATCGTTTATTTGGTTAAATCATTATGAAAACTTTTATTCGATTAAAAATTATTTTGGATGAGAATTAATCAAAAAGTACTTATTCCATGTCCACGTAGCAAAAATAAAACGTTTAGGCGTGGACTTCCCAATATTTAGGCTGCAAACGCCACGTCGGGTGGAATTTTTAATTCAATATATGGTTAATTCTTAATATTGGTTTATCTCTTTAGCAATAGGAATGTATTTATTCAAAAATATTGCCACTTTTTCTATCGAAAATACTAGGCAGGAAAACTAAATGTGCTTTGGGCATATGGAGAAACAGATGTCGATGAAAAACTAACTCGAATGAATTATCACGGACGAAATAGAGGTAAGTTATTTCAGGACCGTTCGTAGTTCCAAAACAACAAAAATGTTCGTAAATCTGTAATTACAAGTCTCATAAAGTTTTCTTGTAACATTCACGTAAATCTGCCACGAACCTTTTATTAAAGTACAATAATCGGGACAAGTGCAAAATTATTTAAAAAATATCAAATTACAATTACATTATTGCAAATTTGATAGAGACCAAAATAAACCGTTGGAATTTTATAGCAAGAAGACTATCTCATATGCATTATTTCAATAATTTTATACAAAAGAACGAAATTAATTAAAATAACAACGTTAACGCTTTGCGCATATTGATGTTGTGCCTATTGAAAATACGTTTTTAATGATTTGTTTCATATCAAGGACACGTTGAAGTAGAATTCATACCGAGTGATACTAGCGCCATTCCAAGTAAGTCCATATTTTCATTCTTTGTTATTGCTTAGTATTTCAAAGTCGTTTTTTTTAAGATCAATATATATATAAGGTATATCAAATCCATCATAATATTCATTACTTCACTTTGTAACCAAGCCAATATCAGAGTTGCTCTTGCGAAAATATTTTGATATTTTCTGATGCCAAGCTAGTATTCTGTGACTCATCGTACTGAAAACTTTCCATAATGGTAAATAGTGCCATCAATTTCTTAAATCTCTTTTGCATATTATTTTTAATCCTTGTATATTGATGATTCAATATGTAAGCAAAATCTATTTCGATTATTGTTATTATATGCTTATGAATATATATGTTTTTGATATTTTACCAAAGCCGATGTACATTCGCCTGGAAGTCCAAAGTCACCAAAATTAGAAACAGACAGTCCCGTTTCTGTAAAACCGCCAAAGGTACCGGATGTGACTGGAATGTCACCACCAAGCCAGTCAGGACCAGACATGGCAAAATCTCCATTGAGTCCGGTAACTCCGGAGGATACAAATAACGTTGGATCACCGATGAGTCCCAATACTCCTGAGGATGGTAAGTCTCCGCCGAGTCCGGAGAGTCCAAAGAAACCTCCTCAGAAAATTCAGCCCGTTCGACGTGGAAGAATTTTACAGGGTGGCTCTAATAATATTGACAAACTATTCGATGACGACAAAATGTATAAACAAGCAGTTTTAAATGTTGCACATAAAGTGAATCTCAAATGGGCTTATAATATGGACTACATCGTGATTCAGGTTAGTTAAATTCCTAGTAACTCACATTTTTTCAACTACATTGTTTATTTCAACGATAGTTTATTAATAAGGTTGTAAAGCATACCAAACTTTTGTAATTTTATTAAAATATTCTTGATGTGAATATCCAATTAAAATTTAGATATCGATCCCCACGCAAGGATGGGTTGGAGTTGGATTTTCTCCGGGACCGAATATGGCCAGAGCTGATATTGTTATTACAGGAGTAAGACGGGACGGAGTTTATGCAGTGGTAAGTATTTAACGAGGCAAACTCAGCTAATACTACAATCTAGGACAGGGTTTCACAAACTATTTTGGCCGCGGACACCTTTTTGTCAATCCTATTTTTCATGGACCCTCATCCTATGCCATATCAATTTATGTGCCTGGCCAACGAGAAAGGATAATGTTTCATTTACAACACAACAACACAAACGACAATAATGTGATGAATTAGGTTGCTTTTCACTGAACAATTATTCGATTCTTGGAGCAATTTGTGACAAGCAAACTAGTATATCCGACTCTACGGCAAGTGTCGACCTTTATTTTGTCATCCCATTGGTAAGAGCTGAAAATGATTCCCTTACACATGTAGGTCGTTGCAAAAGGAAATAAAGTTTTAATTTACCTTCTGATAGCAATGGATGTTCGGCAGCAAAATAATGCATTGGCTTTTTGATAAAAAGTCAATCATTAAACATTGATCGAAATATCGATATCGACTCTTTTCATATCGTTGCGAACCCCAAGTGTAGTAGTCATCACGGACTACCAGGGATACGCGGACCCGTGTTTGAATAACTCTAATCTAGGACATACATTCCAGGTGTTTAACGCCCTCGAAATGAATAAAGATAAAATCTTTGATTTCATTAAGCTGCAAAACTACTTTTTCAAGAAACACATGCAGTGCTAAACTTGATAATATATTATTTGTCTCTATAGGACGCATTCGCGAGCAGAAATGGTAAACCGCATATTGACTCGTCACAAGATATCAAGGTTCTCAGATACGTAGAAACCGCAGGCGTAACGACAGTTACTTTTGCAAGGAAACTGGATACAATGGATACTTTGGATAACAAGGTTTAATTGCGAATTGATATCAATTATTTATTTTCATTTCGGAACAATTAAAAAGAGTACTGTACTGTGTATATTGTACATGCACATAACGAGTAAAACAATGCTCTAAATAGGATGTTATTGATACGATTTGCTGCACGAATATGAATTCAACAAATTTTTGTCACTGCACTATGCATCCTGGAAATAGGTCATACAGATCTGATAATGACCCGATGCCAGAAGACTATAGTATTTAAATTCTTGGGTCTAATAAGAATGCTAATTATTTTCCATCATACACAACCAACAATTTTGTCAACTTTTTAACAAAGATTCAATTATAATTTTCGCTTTGCTTGACGTCTTAATGAGGTCTTTATAAACTCACGTGCTCAGCGTGAATAAATTTACATAGAATTCTAGGCATAAAACACTCAAAAATGCTTTGAAATACACGCGTGCCATTTGAACCAATAATCGAAGCAATATAACTCATTTATTCATATATGTTGATAAAAGATTGGTGATATCAAATACGTGATATGGGCATATGGAAGAGCTGATTTTGCAAAGAAGCCAAGAAACTTTTACCATGGATCCAATAGAGGTAGTGCAAATTGTAGCACATTTCTATTTACTTATTAGGCATCTGAATGTGTTCAATAATAGCCGATGCTTTGACTTCACTCTCTGAGATTTGGCAAGTTAAAATATGGCGATACAGCTACAAAAACTTTTACATAGTTAGGGTCGGTCGCAATGCTGTAGTCTCTTTGTACGTATTTTGTTTATATATTGGAATGAAGCACGTAACAAAATTTTTTCACTTTAATTCAGGAGCAAAAATGCTGACTCTTATTGACGGACCAGGTGAGCCATTTTTCAGCTACTGCGACAAAGCTAATACCTGCTAATTCAGTTTTAATAAAATTGTTATACGTAAAACAAATGCACGATCGCATGTTTCCAATGCATGTTTGAAATTTAATATTTCATTCTCATTTTTATATTTTACAGGTGGTTTGGCGGCAGATTTTGAAATGAATCCATTAGTGCTTGTACCAGGAAATTTGAGGTAAACAAAAACAAGAATGAAGTTTATTCGTCAGAAGGAAAGAAAGAGACTTATGCTAGTTTATACCAATGCCTCATCATTTTTGTGCATTTAGATTTAGACAGTACTTTGATACTTTGAGCCAAACATGTCATATGGTTTTGGCGTGACGAGTTACGTCGAATGATACAGATGGAATGTATTATTAACAAACCACCAAAAGAAACTAGTTGGAATGACCAAATATTTGTTGCAATGTCTGCATTACATGCATCATCCAATTTTTAATTATAATTCTTTTTAAATAAAGTGAAACATAATCGAACAATCTTTTGCAATGTCATAACTATATTGGCAGCACTAGAGAAAGATTTGATAAAAAATTTAAGATTTTTGGAAGACGTGATTTTTCCGTGACGACAACATATGTATGGTTAGTATGATGTACGAAATTTCAAATCGAAAGAACGCTCAAGAATTTACCACAGCACATGATGTACATTAGAACGGACTATCATTAAATTTAAAGCAGCGTTGGCAGTTTTTACAAGAATGTTATTATGAATGATGCAGAACTACGTTTTCTGTCTACGTTTTCCGCCTTCAAAATATCTGTAGCGGACCAGAGTCATCGATACTTTGACACATAATAACAAAAGTGCAGTGATCAGATACATGTACATGGACACGAACGTCAAAATGAAGTAGTATCAAACATTTTACACTTAGTCTTCTTTGAATTTTAAAGAACTTTGTTGCTTTCGGTATTTTTTTGCCCTTCAAAGCAATGACAAAGTAAATATACTTCTGTGATACAATGTAATAATCGGTAAAATAGTCGATCAAAGTTAATGACAAGTGCAAATAGAATAAAACGGAACTGATTAGTCTAAAAAAGGAGCTGAAAGCGCTGCACCTGAAATCCTACTGTAGTCATTTGACATGCTCGACACTTACCTTCATAGCAGCTGTCTAGTAGTAGTTCACTATCAGACTTTACACAGTGTGCTGTGTCGTAGTGACAAATATCGTCGTGATAAATAAAATTCCTACAAAATTCATATCCTGAAGCTGGAACTGTGGAACAACTACATGTGATATACCTACCTGACTAATCAGCCAGTACCGCTACTCGGACAGTCCGAGTTCTAATCACAAATATTTAACAGTACAGGTACCGGGAAGTCCGTCTACTTTATACAGCTTATCGAACAAAAACGACTTTCACTGAGCAGGACTTTCTCTGATTGCGACAGCGGCACCTCCACACGGTGCGCATTTTTTTAGCATTGATGGCGTAATCAAACAAAACTTCGAAGTGACAAACGAATTCCATAGAGCCCACAGAATTTTTTGAAATATATAAAAGTAATAGCCTTCTAGCAACAAAACAATCTTCAACCACTAAAAGTTTCAAAGCCGATAATCCAATATTTAAAGCAAAAAGGGAATTTTTTCACAACAACAACAACAACAACAAGAAGAAGAATACAAACAGCAACAACAAAACGATCACTTCGTCGTCGAGTATATTTTGTATTTTCTTATACCAATCATACTATTCGTCAATTATTAGGTTACATAGCATACTTCACCGTGATTCATTTATGATACGTCGCATTCATTACAAGATAGGTAACATGGTTGGCAGACGATTGTTCTGATACCTTTTAGCTTCCACTGTGTTAAACCAATCTTATTTTCCCAAATGACTAATTAAAAAATGCTTGTGATCTTGTTGGTATATGTTTCTTTGCAAGAATAGTTAATGAACTACATAATTGGAACATGCAAACGTAGGTGTTCTGAGTGAAAATATTACAGGCGATGATTGTCATTACAAAAGAGGTAAGAAAATGTAATTGTGAACTTATTGAATTATTGCCAAATGAGTTACTTGACGATCAAGTGTAAGTTAGAAAATTCTCTATACATTCACTTGTACAAAATTTCATGTTTTAATCATATTTTGTTATATATTGAACACATATATGTAAACTATTCAATTCTGAAATAGAATATGTGCTTTATTTTTATTTCTGCATTCAATAACATTTTATTTTTGCCAGTTCATGCTAGATTAACTTTGATTCTTGTGGAAAATAATTCCCCGAGGCAAAACACGTAAATTCAGTTACAGCTTTATAGGTTTAAAACAATTTGAAGGAATTTTTGTAAAGGATTTGTCAGAGTGAGAAAATATTCTGCGGATACGTGAACATTTAAATAAATCAAAAAATCCTATTAGTTTCTTCACTATGACGACCTAAAATTTTTTAAAGTAGTTACTGTTTTAACATAGATGAGGAGGAAGAATTTTTAAGAAGTCAAAGCGTGACTTTCCCCTCGTATACATAGTTATATATCAAAGTTTCTAGCAAAAGCACGCTTCACTCTGAATTGAGAAGTTTTGTGGTCATGAATGATAGACAATATTTAAATTAAAACAAGAGAGTAATGCTCAAATATATGAACCCAAAAGTCAAAACGATTATTTTACCCACAGTGCTCTCAAAAAGCATATCCTGAACGAAGCTGTAAATGTGGAACAGGTTTTGTAACTTACCCGGACTGTCTTATATTTCCCTGTTCGGTGACGGTGATGATCATAAACCCAGTCTCAAGATGAATCGAAATACTGAATAATTCGAATCCGATATAGACCACAGAAATCTTTAAAATAAATAAAAGTAGCCTTGCGACAACAACAATCTTTAACCATCGAAAATTTCTAAGAGATTGGTCTTGTATTTAAAAAGAAAAGCGAATTTTTTCAGAATTACAACAAGTTGAATAAAAAGACTACTAACAACAACAACAACGATCCATCAACTTCCTGTCTAATATTTACTAAATAATTCGTACAATTTGGCTTGAGGCTTATAGAAATTCCTTTCGATCCATAAACTCCAAGTAATTTCCAAAATAATCTAATTTAATCTTGTTGATAAACTTTCCCAAAATATGTTTATCTGACAATGCGTATCATCTTCTTTCAATTGCAAAAATGCTAAATCTTATTTGTAAGTCTGGTACAGTATGATCGAGTCATTTCTTCTAAATGCTTCTCCTTTCAGTACAAAACAATTCATTCAATTAGAAATCAAAATTATCCCCTTTCGATTTAATATAAAATATATGACCTTAGACCAGACTAGTTGGGCAAAATTTTTGGCCCCTGGTTCAAAAACCTTGCCCACACCTGACTTAGACTATTCATAGTTAAAAATCGATTTTATTTGATTTCAATGTATTCATTTTCACTTTTTGTGGTTCGTGGCTCCAACTGCTAGGTCACCTATGGCCAGCGGTATATAAATTTATAAAATTCGAAACCATGAGAGTAATTAAGAACTTAGGGTGTGGCAAAACTTTCTTTTCATTAATCTTTTTAAAAAAAAGAAATTCGAATTTATCTTGTACATGATTGATGCCGCTGGGGATGTGTAGTTCTATATATCACTAGATAGGAGGAAAATATACCATAAAAATCTTTATACTTATATCTCTGAAGAAATAAAAATATAAAAGTTTCTGCTTTATTGCATCGCACTATTGTTTCATAATCTATTTATATATTTTGATGTTTTATACAGGTGGACAAACAAACTTCACGATGACGTCCTTATCTATAAAAAAATAAAATAGATTTAACTTGTAACCGCGATCAATTACTTTTCCACAATCTGTTTTCAATCGCGATATAAATTTTAAAAGAAAAATTATTTTATTGCATAATCAAACGTTGAGATGTGAGATGTGTCGATAAATGTAGTTAAAAGGAATATAGCACAGATTTGGGATAATAGAGTAAATCTATATCACCTAACAACTGACAGTAAATTTGTAGTCAGCAGTTACATTACTTTGCCTGTGGCTTGTTGTTCAAGTCACAGCTGTACAATAACAAAGATTGATTTATTGGAATCGCGAAGAAATTAAAAACAAGTAATAATTAAAAGCTTCAAAATATGTCATTAAAGTTACTGAGTTACTATTGCGATATCTTTCAGTGAAATTTTTTTTATGCTCACCATGTGTCATACATGGAGCGTGTTTAAGAAACTGAATCTTAAAATGCAAGGTCAAAACCGTTGGTTTCCTTTTTTATTATTTTATTTTATTACGTCGCAAAAACAGTATAAAAGCCTGCGGCGTACATTGACTCGACAAAAATCGATTAATCTGCAAAAGTTGAAAAGTATCTTTTTATTAACTTGTTTTTGAAAAAGACACATGTAGTGCTTTTGAACGGGTATCAGTTTACAGTATACGTGACTGTTTAATAGTTTCGTAGTCAGTTTCGTCAGCAGTATAGTTTTGTGTATGTGTATTTTCCGCGTTCTACAGCAAAAATCAAACAAGAACAAAAATCAAAAGTTCGAAGTTTGATAAATCGTTGCTTTATATATATGCGAATGCTGTCGGGATTTGAGAAGAAAATAGGAAAAGATCACGAATAGTAGTTGCAGTGAGAAAATAAATAAATAGTATATATATTAAATAACTACATAAAAATTAATGAATATTTGATCAATTTAAAGCAGATTCGTCTTCACTTTGCCAATATGGCAACGGAATATAAAATATTAATTATATTTCCATTGTTATTCACTGTGGTTTGGGGAGGAAATGGCCCGTCTTCAAAGGAAATAACATACGACGGATCTAAAGATTTGTCTTCTGGTATAAATGTCATGTGGAAAGTAGAAGAAAAGAGTATTGTTCTGAAGGTAAAATACCGCTAGGAAAAAAAACGATTTTTTATTATTACCATCTCTGTTTGAAAGTGTGTTTAGTTAATATTAAGTCTTCTCTCAGGCTAATAATAAGTTGTATTAAGTTGGACAATGTCGAATTGACGAAAGAGAAAGTTTTGATTACTTCCAAATACAGTAGCTTCAGAGGTATCAAAGACTTTTTGTTTGGAGTTTTCTCAGAACCAATGTGTTAAAACAATTGATAAGAAGTAATTAAATAATATTTAAAAATTTGGAATTTTTTTTACCAATTTCAGATTAATTTACTAGAAATTAAAAGATACCTTTTCACACAACTGGTGTAACCCACCTTTTGTTTGTATTCATGTCTCACTTAGACATTTTTGCTAACATTATCAGTAGTCATACTATTCCGTAGGTTTTTTTAATAAAAAATTTTCAAACTTGGCAAATAATTCAATGTTACATAATTGGAGAGATTCTGCGAAAAAAATTAAACAGTATGTATATGATAATTTCAACTACTTTTTCGACTAAATTGCGTCTAAATAATTTGTCATATGAATGACTTTAATTATTTTTTTACGAAACGTGGTGAATTCGGTTTCTGATTTATTGCAAGTTGTTTATATTTGAACATTTTTTCACAACAGTTGAAATACATAGCAACAGGATGGGTTGGCATTGGATTTTCGAAATCAAAACATCCAGACAGTATGGCTGATTCTGATATCATAATCGGCTGGGTTACTATGGACAAAGCGTTTGTGTTGGTAAGAGTAAAAATAAAATAAATGTGGACAATCTTTAATCATGCTGATCGTTAGCAATTTCAAATAACGATGCGATTGAAGCTTGCCATATTTACCATATGTGTATCGTTGTAATATGCCCCGTTAAGTCTTCAGACAATGCCTCTGGGATTGTCAATATTAGGGCTTTCAGCTCTCATTTCACATCATTACATCACAGCTATTTTATAAGTCGCGTACTGTCCATGCAAACGAGACCCTTCAAGTCATAAAATTTGTTTGAAAAACTTTTATATAAATGACGACAATTCTAGCAAAGCGACTTAGTTAAAACGAATCAGTTTAACTCATAATAAAGCTCATCAACTCCCCCCACGCGGTCTTTGATTACTTCGATATACCCTGAAAAATGAATCAAAACACAGTGCCCGAACCTTTCGATTCAAGCTGCATAAAAATTTTATTACTAGCTCGGTTTGTAGAATTTATTTTTTTAGAAGCCTCCAATAAATGAGCATAGTTGAACTAATTTATATGCAGCAAGTCACTTTGTATAATCAACAATCTAACCCTCTCTCCTATAGCAAGTGTGTGTATGCCTGGGTATATGAGTGGAATGAGAGTTTGACAACAAATCTCAGAATACGTAAACATAATTCTAAAGATATAGCACACTATCACATATAATATAATTTTCAACTAAAATTTTATCAGGACGCTTACTCCAAGGAAAATGGCGTTCCGGATGTTGATAAAAAATCCGAAGTAGAGCTGATTAGTGGAAAGGAAGAATCTGGCTACACCACAATTGTTTTCAGAAGACCAATCGTTGCGATGAATGATGACGACGTTACCATTGAAGTAGGACAGGAAAAATAAAAATTGGTAGTCATATGGGAGCTATAACAGTTATATTGTTGGGTGCAAGAAGTATGAAAACGAGAAGTACAGTAACAAAGAATATAGCAAATACTTATATGAGCAAAAGTTTGAATCTTTTTCAATGTAAACTTGTAAACCGTGTTCGTATTTATTACGAAATATTTCAATATTCAATCCTAATCATATACTGCATTAGATGTGACACGGTTGTGTCGAAACTAAATTCAATCTTTTAAAAAGTCATGCTGAGTTAAAGTCTATGACATTAAAATTAATTTCTTTTCATAGAAAGGAGAAATTGGAATTCTTTGGGCGTATGGTAGATCGGATGGTACAGGAAAAACTTTGAGCTCTGCAAATTACCATGCAAGAAGAGGTAAGAATCATGTTCTTCAGCACAAACCTACTGCAATGATCAATATTTACATTTTTTATCCAATTTCTTGTTTTGCATTGAGTTACTAGTATTATTTTTTTCTAAATACGTTTTTGTCATTTTGGTAATTCTAAATATGTTTGTAGGACAAATATTGTTTCCACACAATTCTAAAACGCATGGTTATGATCATAGTTAAGTTTCTCAAATTTGACACATTTCTTGCTTCTAAACCTCTGATAAAAAAAAAAAAAAGCTAATTGAGAACAGTGTTATGTATTTTTAACTAATAATCCAATATAACTCACTGCAGTCAATAAAACAATTATAAATGAAATATAATGATAATGTTACTGGTAATAGAACTTCCCCCTCAAAGCATTTTATGTAACAAAGAGAAATAAAACTTATAATTTCAGGTCATACAAGTTTAACATTAATACCCGCAGACGAAAGTGTTAGTGAACCAAGTGTTCCAGGTAAACTATTTTGTAAATTTATTTGATTGCTTTCAAGGTCTTTTTATGTTGAATATCAAAAACGCTGTTTGTTTTGTAACAATCTATCAAGAATAATAAAAAAAATATGAAACGCCCAATTGGTGTATATTGGTATAAACTATTAAACGAATAATAAACGCAAAATAACAACAACAACCACAATAATGTGTTGCCAGGTCCAGTTAGACTCGGTTCTCCAAAAGGGGTTGAAGATCATGATGACGACGATGATGATGACCACGAAGAATCTCATGAACATGATGATGAGGAGCTAAATCATTTCATTTATCTTGATGCAGACAAGAAACTTTTTCTCCGGTGGGGAGTCAAAGATCAAGAAATTACTTTTAAGGTACGAGACATTTTTTCGTTTTTAATTAATCTGTAACTGTAATGTTTTTTTTCCGTAAACATAGTATCGTAAAGATATGTTATATAAATTTTGAATTTCAACATCCGTATTATTGACATTGAATTTTCATTGCGTAATACGAAATATCATACGCAAAAATGAATAAATCATTTGTTTGTAATTTTTAGTTGAAAGGAGAAACTCTGGGATGGATGGGAATAGGACTATCACCCGACCATGAAATGCGCAATGCCGATATCACTATGGTTGGAGTTAACCGAGCAGGAGAAGCATATGCATACGTAAATAACTTTATGAATGCTCTAACATATAGACTCTAAATTAGTCAGTTTGTTAAAGCTACGCTCAGCTGTTTAATTTTACCCCCCAATCAATATTTTTTAAATAATATATGGTGTTGAACGCACTGATCCAAAAACATACTTGAATATATCTTCCATATCGCTTTTGTGTCAATTCAAAACCTGACATAAACGGTTCAAACATCACTTATAACCATAAACATGCAGACGTATGTAACCACTGCATTAATTAATCTTAAGTAATGAGCATCAATACCAAATTGTATTTTTGAAGATGTATTATGCAACTCTACTAATAGCAATATCGTTCTATTGAAACTGAACTGCTGCTACTGACCACTCACCCAAGGGTGAACTGTACATGGCGATTTACAAACTATTATTTTACACCCTGCAAAAAGAAACTGAATAGTTAGCAAAATACATTTACTGTGACTACAATGTCAAATATGGAAAATCCAAATGTAGAAGTTTATGATATTTACTCTCAGAAAAGAAAAGAAAGTAAAATAGTTTTCATTTTCGTCCAAAAAAGTCCACAATTATTTGTTACCTCTATCAGGATTGTTTCGCAACTGAGAATACTGTTCCTGCGGTTGACAAAACTCAGAACGTTGAAATCCTTGAATATGATCAGACTGATACTCATACAACAGTCGCATTCAAAAGAGCTCTTGTTACAAATGATGAAAACGGAGAAGATCGGTCGATCCAGGTTGAAAAGTTCTTTTAATTGACGACATAGATAACAAGTTATAAGATAAATATGTACAAAAAAATAGATAATAAATGCTTCAAAACGTGAAGAAACCGCTACCCATTTTCCTAATGAGGACGGAAGATAAACTGTTAAATCAAATATGTATTGGGAAATTTTGTATATACATTTATATACTCATAATTATATCTTTAAAATCCAGGAATTTCATGACAATTTTAAAGAGATGAATACTATTATAAAATTTGCACAATAAAAAAATCAAAAATATTGCAATCTCGAATCGTTGCAAATCAAATTTTATAATACTATCAATGCTCGTTATACACAGAATGCTGATACGTATTTCATATGGGCTTATGGATTGTATGACGTAGTAGGAGCACCGGGTACTATCAACTATCATTTTAGACGGAGAGGTATGAGATATACGCATTATGTTGTATTAAATTAATCATGGTTTTTACTACCTAATAGTCGTTTGCTAAAGCTGTATTGTCTTTTACTTGGAAGTGTGCGATACTGAAAACATTCACAGTGTCACTATTTTTCTAACTATTCCTGAATAATTCCTTACTATATTGAAAGAACGAAAGACGAGTAAACTAAAATGTATAACGTTAGATCGAAATAAATTAATTATAGTGCAAAAATGCAACATGTCTCAATATAATCAGGCCAACAATCAAACAACTAAATTAAACCTTATGATGACTGTTTCATTCCATACGTTTTTTCATCAGTTTAACACTGCGAAACATTAAAAGACTTTATTTTATTTCGTTAAAATGTGTACTTTTAAACCTTGCCACCACCAAGCCTTAGTATATCACTGACGAAGTGATGATGCGGTTCCGGTTATAACACTTCGATACAAACTTGATTTTCTCCATTCTTCCAGGATATCTAAAATTGAATCTGCTTCATGGAATGGGAGGTGAGATATTTATGTTTACCTTTTTTACCTGTAAAAAGCTCAATAATATTTTATGAATCATTGTAATATAAACGGTTTAACTACAACACAATCGAAATGGCAGTTTGAGACGGTTTTCAAAATTTATACAGAGCTGTACGTTTGTAATTGTGACATGTTATACGGATAATATAAATGAACTCGCCTGTATAAAATGCACTAAAAAGACCAAATTTTGAAAACTACTTTTAAATTTCTTTTTATTTAAATTACTGAAAAATCTTCAAAGATTCATGACATTCATAATTATAAGGTATATGGACAGCGTACTGTAATTATTTAACCAATTATTTATAGAAGAAATGAAACCAGTCGAAAGTCCGAAATCGCCAGAAGGTAAAATATTCTGTACTTTAATCAACAACCTACTTTTCTTTAGAATTAAGAATTTACTTTGAACTCTAAAGTGTAATCGTAAACATTTGATATTTGAAATTCTGTCACAATATTTCATAATAGACAAAATCATTGAAGTTGTAAAAATGGTATTAGGCATTCATAATGATTTTATGCAACCTTGTAAAGCGATTTAACATGTCTTATAACGTGAGCTAGGTAAAGTTGGTTTGCAAAGATGACACAGCAATAGCAATAAGATTGCAAAGCATATGATAAGGATAATACTAAAAACATTCATTTTACATTCCCAGGTGTGGAAACGGGAACGCCAGAACTACCAGAAGGTAAATAATTCTAGTGAATACAAGGTGTCTGAAATGTGGACTGTTTTCCACATGTCCCATAATTATCACACTTGCCCCAATTGTACGAATCTCACCTCATATAAATACTATAGCCGTCTGACAAAGTATTCCAAGTGGAACAAATGTGATAAATAGAACAGACATGGGACACGTGGTACCTGAAATTATTGATAAACTGGAGAAAATATTATTTCATGCGATTCCACCCAACATACAAATAGTTTCTATACTATTAGTTGATAACAATTTGGCAGTCAATGATTACATCAATCACAAACATTAAAATATCACATATAAATTACTTTTCTATGTAGGATTCATGTACGTTCGAGGATACCAAAAACTTGATGAAGCCGGAGAAGTGGTTCTTCAATGGGGTTCTGCTTATTATTCGGAAGCATTGATGTATATACAGGTACAGCGATAATATTCTTGATATGTGTATATGTTACGAAACAGGGAAACTGGTGTTGAACTTTCGGTTGTGAAATGATCAGACCGCGTTTCACTTGTTTATTTAACCGTCTCACAACATTAATACAACAATAAGATGCTTGAGCAGAATATATATCTAATTCATTTGTTTGTAACACTTTTGCCGCGATTTCATGAATAATAATTAGGCTGTAAGCAGTAATATAAAACTTTTCTATTTATACCTGATGTGTGTACTTGACAACGAACTGAAAAAATCCTGATTTATCGTGTATCCAAAAATAAATATCTCAAAGTTCTTATAGGTTTTGTATAAGTGGATGTATTTGAAATATATATGCTGGAGTACGTTTCATACTTTTATAGACAATATTACGATATATACGCAATATTTTTAACATTTTAAAGTACTAAACTATTTACTGTTTGTAGATTTCCGCCCCAACAACAGGGTGGGTCGGATTTGGGCTATCACCTGGCGATTCTATGAAGGATTCTGATTTAGCTGTGGCAGGAATAAAAGACGGAACCTCGTACATTTTTGTGAGTTTGAAGACGTTTTATAATTTTTATTCTCGATCATTGAAGATATAGGGTTACTCTAAGACTTAGTTTTGTGTTAAACTATCAACTTCATTGTAAGATTTGCATTCATTGTTCGTCGTTCTTATAACATATTTGTTCAGATTTTTCTGATTGAATTACTAAAAGCATTAAATCAAATGATTTAACGTATCAGTCCAAAAACTGGTTATGCGCGCCGTTTATTTCGAGTTTTTTATAATATTAAATTGAATATGGATTTTTTTTAAGGACTTATATGCTACAAAAAATACTTTGCCAATGGTTGATGCAAAACAAGATATCACGCTAATTCAAGCCGTTGAAGATGGGCCAAGAACCATCGTTATGCTATTGAAAAAATACAAAAGCGAGGACACAGAAAATGACATTAACATCGTGGTACGAATATCGTTTATTTTTCATTTTACTCATTTCAACGATTTATTGAACAAACCCGTTACTATACGTTATTATTCGGTGAACAACCGAGGGGCTGCAAACTACGTTGCGTTTAAGTTTTTGCTAGAACAAAAAAAATTAATGAAAAAGGGTTCATCTTTATAGGAATACAAAAGTTTTAATTTATAAATATTGATAGTTTTTCTATCAAACACACTAGGCAGGAAAAATGAATGTACTTTGGGCTTATGGACAAACAGATGTCGATGGAACGCTGACTGGAATGAATTATCACGGACGAAACAGAGGTATGTGACTTTAATGCACATACGCGGTACAGAACCAACAACGAAAATGATCATAACTCTAAAATTTTGTTTTAAAATTTTGTTGTAACATTTACGTAAGCCATAATTCATCGACTTTCTCATAATATTAAAGATGACAAAAAACATTATTTTATGCAAAACAACAAAATGTACTTTTAGTAACAACGTTAACCCATCTTGCATATAGTTGTTGTGAATATCAAAAAGTGTATAAATAATTGTTCCATATTAAGGGCACGCTGAAGTGGAATTTATACCGAGTGATCCTAGCCTTATTCCAAGTAAGTTCAATTTTTACTGCTTTGTTCGTTGTCTAATATTTCAGTGCCGTTTTTTTCGACCAATGCAATATTTATGATTTAGCTTAATGACCATTACTACATAAGTGCAGTTGCTAACGAGGAAATATTTTAATAAATTTTGAAGGCACGGTAGTATTCTGCGTATAAATGAAAACTCTTAGTTATGTTATATAATGAACGTTTCAAATGCCAATTTTAAACTTTGTATATTGATGAATTAAAATTAAAACCAAATCAGAGGTGATTAATTTTATTTGATCCGTGTAAATATATATTTTTTCAAAGTGGATGGACATTCACCCGGAAGTCCGAAGTCACCAAAATTAGGAACTGGAACAGACAGTCCCGACTCTATAAAATCGCCAAAGACTCCAGGTGTGACTGGAATGTCACCACCAAGCCAGTCAGGACCTGGTATAGCAAAATCTCCAATTAGTCCGGATAGTCCAGATACTGGTACGTCTCATACTCCTGTGGGTCCAAATAACATTAGATCGCCGATGAGTCCTAATACTGGCAAGTCTCCACAAAGTCCGGAAAGTCCAAAGAAACCTCCTCAGATAAGCAGACCGGTTCGACGTAAAAGAATTTTCCAGGGTGGCGCTACGGATATTGACAAATTGTTTGACGACGATAAAATGTATAAACAGGCAGTTTTAAATGAGGCTCATAAAGTGAATCTCAAATGGGCTTATAATAAGGACAACATTGTGTTTCAGGTTAGTTAAATTCTAAGTAATTCGCCGTACAAATCTTATAGCAACTGTAATGACTAATGAGCATACCAAACTTTCGTACATTTTAAGAAACATGTTTGATGCAGATATACAATTGAAATTTAGATATCGATTCTCACAAATGGATGGATTGGAGTGGGCTTCTCACCAGGACCGAATATGGCCAAGGCAGATATTGTTATTTCAGGAGTACGAAGGGATGGAGTATATGCACTAGTAAGTATTTAACGAAGCAACACGGTAACATGTATGCTATACAGTCCGACTTTCTAGAAATAAATCAGTTGCATCAACAACTTTCTTAGGAATACGATTGAACAACTATACTGTGACCCTATAACACTGCATTTGGACACCGGAACGTAGTATTTGTACCAGGTTAGGGTTAGGCCATAATTTCAGATACAAAGACTGCGGGAGTCACTTGGCTAGTCCCCGAACTCGTAATAGAACTAAAATAAGAAAAATTGGAATAAAATTATGGCCTAATTCTAACCTGGTACATATACTACGTTCCGGTGTCCTCCATCTTGGTTCACATACTTCAGGAGTACCCATTTTTGGCTCTTTTAACTCGCAGGACGCATACGCATCCAGGAATGGTAAACCACAGATTGATTTGTCACAAGATATAAAGGTTCTCAGATACGTAGAAACTGAAGGCGTAACGACAGTTACGTTTGCAAGGAAACTGGATACAATGGATTCTATGGATAACAAGGTAAAAGCATAATATATATTGTACAAATTGCAAAAATTATGAAACATGATCTAAATAGGCAGTTGTGGAAGCGAGCAGGCACACATATGCATTTCACCAAGTCCGACAATGAACCGAGATCATTATATCAACACATATAGGGTCCAATAAAATAGCCAAATATTTCAGTATCAAATACAATATAAAAATATTCATACAAGCCAAAATAATTTTTGATGTGAAAAATTTTAAATACCTAATGTGAATTGTTCTGTTGTCGACTTTTCATAAAAGATTTAATTCTAACGTGCGTTTTGTTCAGCACCTTTGACTATAGGTCTAACAAACTCATATACACTGTGTTATTATATCTTTTTTCTTTTAGAATCACGTTTTTACATAAACATAAGGTGACAGTAACGCTGTCATAATGCTTCGTATGAAAACCTGTTTATAGAATTTTTGGTATAAAACACTGTAATACAACCGCACCCTGTAACAATACTATTCTTTCATATATGTTTATTAAAGATTGGTGACAGTAAGTACGTGATATGGGCATATGGAAGAGCTGATTTTGCAAAGAAGCCAAGAAACTTCTATCATGGATCCAACAGAGGTAGTGCAAATTGTAGTACATTCCAGTCTACCTATTAATCATTTAAATGAGTTTATTAATATATGGTTATCAGTAACTTTATATTCTAAAAAATTTGTCAAGTATAAATAAAAGTAGTAGGTATATTCATTTTTGTATTCTCCTGGTGGGTACCAAACTTGTGTTCGGAATGAAACACGAAAATCTTACAAAATCTGTTCCAAGAGTATTTTTTATTGAGACAATCAGGCTCCAATAAATTTAATTTTTTTTTTTTCAATTCAGGATCAAAAATGCTGACTCTGATTGATGGTCCAGGTAAGCAACTTTTTCTAAGTTAATAAACACTTTGCATGTTTGTGATACGTGATTAAATATTTCCTATTCAACGTTGTGAATATTTTACAGGTGGCTTGGCGGCAGATTTTAAAATGAATCCATTAGTTCTTGTACCAGGAAAGTTGAAGTAGAGAAAGCGAATGTATTCGATTCAGCAGAAAGACAAAAACTCATGCTAGTTAATACTAATGCCTCATCGTTTTTACATTTAGATAGTTATTAATGAAACACTAAATGGAATTAGGCTAAATGATTGTATAACGTTAGATAGGTTTTCAATTGTATAATCTCTTATTAAATAAAGCAAAAAATAATCGGACCCGTCCTCGAAATGTTATAAATATATTGGCAACAATAACTGAAGATGTGTTGGAGGACACAAAGGCCCTGTACCGGTATATTATGCGACTTGGAATCATTCAGAATCTCAAATCTGAGTTGTACGTCTTGTCCCGCGCCGTTGCAATTCACATCGGTACCAATAAAGCGCCCAACTGGCACGAGCGTCAGTGAATAAATATTGTGGACTGCTCTGTTGTAATGTCACGAGCAGGCTGGAAATTTATAATAGATAGGTCCATCACTTACAGAGAGAGGATTTTTTCCAGCAATAACAGAATAATCTCCAACAACAAGAGTAACAACAATTTAGCAAAACCATTCCTATTCACACTCCGTGTACAATTAAGGTGAGAACATTCTTGTGGCCATTGTGGTGTTCACTTTATTATTTTCTAGTCCTTGCAGTTTGCTGGATTGTGTAGTCTCTAATTACTGAATTTATGGAATTTTTCATGAAGTATGCAAACACCACATAAAGACTATTCTAACTTTATTACTGCTAAGAACATGCCGCACTGCTCAGAAAGAAAATTTTGGCCTCGTTATTTTACGATCGCTCTGGAGCAGGAGTGTGCAACCTTTTTCGTAGGCGGGCCAGATATCGATAACTAGGTAAAACCGCGGGTAGTACCTTCATTTAACATAGGCCTATTAGTTGCATACAAAGAATAGTGTCTTTTTGAAACGCTGCTGGACTATTTTCCCAACTAACTTTATCCAAATTTGCTGTAATGTAAGTGCTAGCAATTCTATATCCATTTCCAAGTCATTGTCATTCAGGCGGTTTCATAAGGCCGATTTACCAAAAAAATATGTTGAGCCGAAAATTGCCATGACTTTTTCAAATATGGAAAGTTATCTTGGTTAAGATGATTTCAGTAAAAATCGCTAGGATTCATTTCTAAATAATTTGCTGTCTTATTCTAGATTAGATTTAGACAAAATCAACTGATAGGTTGAAATCAAAACTTATTTAGCTTTTGTATCTATTAATATAATTTTTTTTAAAACTTCTCTCCTAATGCCTAATTTTCAATTGCCCGTTCTTACTAATTCATTATCGTCTGCTCCGCACTGTCCTCAAATTTCTCGCTGCTCAGCAAGTGACAGCTTTCTGAATCGCGTTGTTTGCTTCGCTGTTAGGAGATTGTAACGCCATATGCATAGATAATAAATTGGACTCGAATAGAAACTCTGCCACGCAATGTGAACCAGATTAAAATAAATTGAAAACTCATTTTGCTGGCTGGACATCATTCAAAGTTAGCACTTCTCCGCGGGCCGCACTTTGCACACCCCTGCTCTGGAGTATTGAATAAAATTAGCGAATGCCAATTTCTCGAGAACATGTGAGAAGAAGACACTTTAGGAGACGTCCGTTTTGGAGCAAAGAAATTCCCTCGAATATTCATGATAAATAGCGTAAATGTAACACAGCTTTTCGCGAGAAGGTTAGTGCTTCACTAACACGGTAAATATTAACGATGTTTGGCGATTGAACCCTTGATCTTTCAATGATCGCAACGTTCTTGTGGCAACATACGTGAACAAATTATATTAATTAAACGCATTCGAATGCACGTGGTAGACTAACAGAGATATTATTAAATTTGACGTGAGCGGATTTTACGACAATATAATTTTAGTTGAGACCCAGGTTTCGCGCCTACGATATACACCCGCAGCTTCGAGTATCTGTAAAAAACAAGGTCATCGTTGTATTAACAAACATTTGACATATATATCAAGATACCATTATGTCTCGTGCTTACATCATGCATGCTACTTGTCAATTATTTTTGCACGAGGCGCCTTGCGTGAGATTTCTTGCTATGACGCGTTTATCTATGATGTGACGCATTCTCGACAGATACGTAACGCGGTTGTGCCACAGATCGTGGTAACTTTAGCATTCGTTACGTTAAACCAATTTTATGTATCAGAAATACTTCAAAAATGCCGTTTGGTTTTAATGACATGTATCTCTCCCAAAATGCTTTCTTTTTTTTATTATTGGTGATTATCATATATTACGTCGGTAGATTTTGTACGAGTAAAACAAAAATCAGGGATTGATGTACTCCTGGCGAATTAAAGTAAGAGTATTCAAATTTAACTTTACAAGCAAACAAAAAGAGCAATAATTGTCCTGGCATCAATATGAAGCATTGACTGTATAAGAATACTATATTATGGTTTTCAAGCAATGCATCAAACACAAGAACTAAATCATATATTATTTCAAACAAAGCATTCTCTTTCAGTATGCAACCGAAATAAACTCGACCAAATCAAAATTACAGATGTTCCATAGAATGGAGTGACGTGACTCGTACAATAAAAACCTGATTTTAATTTGCATGAGGAAAAACACTTTGGCGTCGTTGGTTTACAAGAAAACTTTCTTGATATACCCAATCCTAATACAAAATTTTAAAACACATTTTTTAAAAGTATACTAATATATACATTGTGCACGCCTGTGAATAATGTATACAAGGTTTAGCGAAAGCATTCAAGCAATAATACTAATCAGCTGCGTTTCGAAAAACTTGATATTTCCTGTTTCACGTCTTATACTCACTAATATGCAGTTCTCATCAACACATATTCGAATATGTTTGGAAATAGGCCAAAGAACATCAGTAGGCTACGCATAACCCTCATACATGAGTTCGCATTAGACTTGTTTGTGGTAAAGTTAATACAATCTGATTAAGGCTGTAAAGATACCAAGACGATTACCGAAAGTAATCAGAATACAGATGAGATCTATAAATATGCTCGTGTTATAAAGTGTGTCAGTCATAGTTCGGGGTATCGTCGGTGGGATTATCAAAGACACCACAGCTGTGGCTAGGATGTCGGTTATCAACATTATTGTGCCACTGACCACTGAACTTCGTATATTGCGAGCTACCGGATTAGTTTCCAATGCTTTGTTCTTGTTACCGAATATCATGCGGTGCCATATGGATGTCAGATTGTTATTTTTTCTTGAGGCCATATTTGTAGATTCTGATGTTTCAGAGCTGATTTTAGTCCATGCTATATTTGTGCGAATCATGATGTATGTGAACAAGCTGACGATAAGTACTTGAACAAGAAAGAGTAGCATCACTGCCATCGTAGCGTAAGATACATTCGATTTTAGTGAAGGAACCTTGGTACAGCCGAGAGCAGTTGGACGATATTTCGTACTGATCACGTAGTAACAAAATGTTCCCAACGAAATAAGAGTCAGACCAACGAACGTAATCCAGCTCAAGGCATTCACACATAATCCCATCAAATCCCGGACGGCCGGATGTCCAAAAATAATTCTCTGACGCAACCAAAGGAACAAATAGATGGAATACATAGATGCAAAATATGTGGTACTTCCCAACTTGCCCATCAGTTCACAATGTTCCAATCCATATTCAATTCGAGGAAGCTGAAATTTCACTGCAGTGTACACAAATCTCAAAAACACAATGATACCAACGACAAAACATAAATCAAACACGATTCCGCTGTTATAACTCGAATTTCCGGATTTTTTCGTCCAGCATCCAGTTTTTCTTCCGTATACGATTAAACTTATTAAAATCCAAATTGTTAACAATATCAATAACCCGTTAAAGGCTTCACAAAATAGTAGCAAAATTTTCATCGATTCGTTGATCTCGTCGCTATTCAATGTCATTGTCGAGTTTATGTCGGTTTTATTGCCTTCCATCCTAACTATTCAAGCTGCACAATGATAGAAACACATAAATAACAGCTGTATTCCATGCAAAGAAAAAGTTTTGCAAATTATAGAGACTGTGACTCACGCCTTGACATCTCCAACACGAACAAGCCACACCGCGTAGAAATGTTTTGGCTGTGTCGTATACGTTCTATTCTTACTTATACTATTGTGTTAATTTCATGATCTAACGATTGTTGCGCAATTATTGTCACGAGTTTTTCTATATTATTGTTTAATTCGTGTTCTTAGTAAGATATTTCGTGCACATCGATAGACTTGTAAAATAATTACTAATTTCATGTACAGATCTTCTAAAGAATAAGATTAAAAAACTAATGTCATTCATTAAGTACAAAATGAAGGTGAGATACGCCAAACAAAATATACTCACACTACTAATAGGCTTTCAAAATAGCAGAAACGAACTAAAGCGTAAACATATTACATTTTCTACGAATGGCTTGCAATTCCTCTTCATTGGAGGAAGGTATCAATAAAATGAAACGCCCTACTAATTTATTTATATTCTAACTCTTACTAACGCTAGACATAGCATACGTACTTCCCCTGCACATGAGTTACATTATTTAATATTGTTTCAAGAATCACTCAGTGCCACATTTGCATTATTGAAAAGCTCGGAAATTAGAAATGAATGAGTAATAAAAGTACAGGAAAGGCACCGGTCATATATTTTATTTTTCTAACAAACCTGTATGCTGGATATACTAGGTAACTTTTACATTCTCACGTGTAGTTACAAAGCAAATCGCCTAACATGGATGAAAAATAGTGAGGCCTTATGAACATTACTTATCATGGACAAATATGCAACAAATTAAAAAAACAATTTTTTTTCCGAAAATGTTGACTAATTTGATCAAGTATTTAATTTATTATCTATACAATATATATATAGTGGAAATAGATGAAATACGCAACAGCGGAAAATATATTAATTCTTTCACACTATATTCCTTTGGATACGTCGCTCATATGATATTTGGCGACGAATGAACTGGGGAATTCTTAACGCTAGGTAGAATACGCGCACCGTCGATACGAACATTTTTCAAGCAAGATTTTTCCATTTTTGAAAGGATACAAAATCAACATGCCGAATAATATAAATCTCATCCTTTTAAAATCATCATAATATTCTGTATTTTATTCATTGCCTACTAGTACCACACTCCACCTCTTGATCACTTCCAGGAA